TTTTGTACTATATCCAGTTTGACAATTATCGCGATCAAAAGTTAAAGATAAAATACGATTCCTTATCTTTGTTTTGATTATCTCCATATATAAGAATGTTCACTCGACATCTGCACTACCATGTGGCAAAAGTTAAAATTATTAGACATATTTTGGAAATACACTTCACAGGTTGTGTTCTTACCACCTACTACCATCTATAGCGTCTCCATTGAATAAGAATTACCGACCGGTGATTACCACAGTCGATTGGAAAGATATCTGTGTTTAGATTTGGTTACTAACTGCACTCAATTTTTTTTCTGGCAAAAATATCCATCATGTGTACCTAAATTGCAAAATTCCGCTACTTTTAACAAAAAATCCAATTCCACCGCTACCAGTAGCGGAATTCCGCTACTTCTGGCAACACTGGTGGACAGTGCTACCAAGTGTAGTGTCGATATCTTTTTGGTAGATTTTTGCGAAAGCAAAAGCTTGTGGGTTGTGGGTAATTGAAAGTTGAAGGTCTATACTTGTGTTTCGTTGAATTATATCTGAAACATACGTACATTCAAGAAATTTGAGATTTTTTTGTAGATTTGGTGTTAAAACCGGTATATAGTTCGGTAAAACAGGATTTAAAATCAGTAGACCTGATAACACTTGACATAGGTTAGTATACGACCTACGCCCTACGTCTCTATGTTGAGCGAGAAAGCGAAATTTTGTTTGCATTATATGAAACGCCCAATCCGAAGATTGAGCAACGAAAAATTAATTATAGACTCATTTATGTTGTTCCCCTCCACGGAAATCTTTAGTAAAAGGCGAAAGATTTATTCGCTTTGAAGGGAAACCAGAGTAACGATCCAAGGTATAACAAGACTTTTGGTATATTTTATCTGATTAATGCAAGCTATGCGTGCCGCACTGCCATCTATCGAGAGTGAAAAGTAAGCAACCGACAAGGGAAAAGAAGGCTCCGACCGTGAAGCTAAGGTGGCTTCATACCTGGTTGCCCGTAAAAATTCTAATATGATTTAGACGTTTGTAATATAATTCCTTGTTTCCACATGATCCGTTAATTAATATGACGATCATTACGTTAACAAATAAATTTAAAAGCGTTGTGTATAATATCTTTTGATGGAAGGTGCACACTATATTACACAAATTCATCGCTAACAAGTAGATGGTTTTATAGTCAATCTGCGAAATTTTTCTGAACGGGCAACGGGGGTCCGCATCAAGTGCTGAAATCCTGTTATGGGGTGATCTATTCTTGTGTTTCTATTATATTAGAAATAAACTACTTAAGGATTTGAGAAATTTTCTGCAGAATTTGCATTAAAATCGGTAGATCTACGGAATAATCGGTAGACCTGGTATAATAATTGTTTGACCACCATATAGGTTTGAGAGTTGAAGAGCGGAACGGGGGTTAGCATCAAGTGTTAAAATGCTGTTATTTAAAAAATTGACGAGCATAGGGCTGCATCGTTGACTGTGGAACAGGTGGTCTCTGTTCTTGTGTTTTTTCTTTCTTTGAATTATATCAGAAATATACTATTTAACAGTTTGAGAAATTTTGTCGTAGAATTAGCGTTAAAATCGGTTATTTGGTGGAATAGGACTAACATCGGTAGATCTACCGAAGAATCGGTACATCGGTACATCGGACGACCTGATAATGCACTTCACTGAAAATTTTCTTTGGATTAAATGAAATGGGCCGATCCCGGAGGTACTGCAATACCGGGCCAACCCGCGACGGGAGTGGAGCAAGCCCCTAACCTCCCATCAATTTCCAAAAATCAGTTTAATATTCTGGCCCCACATGTGGGGCGTATCAGATATTAAGCTGATAAGAACAGATACTACACTTTGATCTTAGCCAGAGGCCGAGAAGCGATACCGGAACCACGTACCGTCATAGTAGTTGTTAAATTTTATGAGAGTCGTTATAACAATAGGCTGACAGCACCATCTGCCAGGCAGATGTTGTACCTCTTCATACGCAGGTGCGGAGTCGACGTACGCGAATACAGGTATTCAGCTCGACGGCCAAACAAAGACAACCGTTTCATGATCTTATCCACTAGATGTGCTTCGCAGAAGATCTTGCAAAAACTATTCAATATTAATTTGGTAGATACTATCAGTTTTTGGATAAACAGTGTAATGACAACATAATTTTAAAACAGCTTTGCTTTTCTACAAAAATCATTGTCAGTGACATAATGCATATTTCCACGGTTATAAATAGAACTCTCAATAGTTACCATGTTAATGAAACACTTGAAACTTATCATTTGGTTTTCACGCTGTCATGTGGATAATCCCCCACGTTTGTCTGACCACTAAATGAAACCACAAATACTTGGTAGCCAAAACGTCGTCCATAAATAGCATTTCAAGCATATGAAGATAGACGAACATGGAGGATTAGTTGCATTGTATTGAAATTTAATAAATAAATCCATAAGACAAATAAATCGAAAATTAAAAAAATGTTTTTTTTTGCAAAGCGCTGCATATTAATATATCTAACCAGCTTTATCGATATCAAAAATCCACAAACCTTAATTTCTCTCACATCACGATCATCTAATTCATGCTAGTGTGTTAACATATGATTCAACATTAGTTTGTTTCTTTTAGATTTATTTAGCATTAATGCTACAATATCCATGTTATACAGTATAACTACAACACATAATATTATGGCTTCAAGACTACATATTTTTATACAACATTTCACTATGAATTTTGGTTTTCCGTGAGATATTTTTTTAATTTTCCCTTAAACATTTTCGAACTGACACACATCTTGATATCATTACTTAATTTATTAAATTCGTACAATTCCTTTTGAAATACTGCCTTTCTCGTTATATTGCTAATACAATTTTGTAGATGAGTCTATACTCTCTCTAGTAAAATAACTATGGTCTAAGTGATTTAGTAGATGATTTTTTACTTGAACATGAAAATTAAAACCAAGCTATGAAATTTTTGATATTCAACTATTGTAGTTCTTTCAGCATAAATTTTATTCTAGTAGATTTATTTTTATTTAAAATTATTCTCATAGCTATATATTGTAATATTTGTGATTTTGAAAATAGAGGTTCATTTGCAGTGAACAAAATAGTCGAACAATATAACAAATGAGGAAGAATGATAGTGTTGTGTTGTACACAATTTTTTTAGAATAAATGTTTAACAAGTTTTATCAAAAATGCCTTGCCATTATATTTCGGGCAAAAGAGAAAGATACTTTGATGCACTATTGTGGATGTTACTTTCAGCATTGCAAATGCCGCAAATAATTCAGAATCACAGATACAGACAGTGTTGCCAGAAGTGGTAGCGGTGGAATTGAATTTTTTGTTAGAAGTAGCAAAATTTCGCAATTTAGTGATGATGGATATTTTTACCAGAAAAAAAAAATGAGTGCAGTTAGTAACCGAATCTAAATACAGGTATCTTTCCAATCGGCAGTGGTAACCACCGGTCGGTAATTCTTATTCAACGGAGACGCATATAGATGGTAGTATCTGGTAAGAACACAACCTGTGAAGTGTATTTGCAATGTCTAATAACTTTAATATGTGACACATCGTAATGTAGATGACGACTGGACATTCTCATATATGGAGATAATCAAAACAAAGAAAAGGAATCGTATTTAACTTCAACTTTGTTCGTGATACTAATCAAACTGGATACAATAGAAAAAAATGTTGCTGTTTAGACTTCCAGTTTGGTGAAAATCATTTTAAAAAATACAAAAATAATTTATATAGAGAGAACAGAAATGCAACAAGAAGAATCTGATACAGTGACTAAGTTTAAGTAACTCCAAAACTTCAATTTTTTTGTGCAAAACAGAAATGGCCTTTAGTCATATGCTTTTTATTTTTTAGTTTCCTGTGATATTTTTTTAATATGACTGCGTAATAAATGTTCGGTTGTTAACAGTTATTTGTAATATGGTATTGGTTTTTATAGTCAAATGTTTTTTTATTAGTTTTATGTTATACTTTATCACGCTGTTTTTGTTTTGCTTTTTTGACACAATGTTGGCTCTGGCAACACTGGATACAGATTTTTTTATAGACCATTGATAATGCTTCTGCATAATGATCATAAATTGGTATCAATATCAAATTTGAATTTATGTTTTGATTATTTTAACACCGGGACAGCGCGTACGCAGTCCCGACTACCAAAAATTACGCGCCCGAGTTATCCGCATTAGGGATAATCGCAGGGGTCAGCCCAATCGTAGTGCAATGAAAGGGCCTCACCCTGGGGGAACCGCCTTAATGATCACGGTAACCCCTACGCCAGGTAAGTATGCTTTCCGATGCGCCGAAGAACATAGTTGTTGAATTTTGTTAGGCGTGTAACGGTTACAGCTACACTGACGTCCTCTGGTATTATGAACGGTAACTGGTAAAACGCCATGACAGCGTCAACCTGTTTCGGTGCGCGGAGGCATAGTTACCTACACCGAACGATGTAAGAACTGTGGCCTGTGGCGCCACATTTACCCAGTATTTGTAACTATATTGCGTTGTCAAGATGGATCAGGACAAGTTCTGTCTATCAGCTCAGTATCAGTCATTTCATGTTTTGTGCGTTTCATATCCTCTATGTTACAATGTAAATCATACTCTGAATCAAATTAAATAATATGAACATTTTCAACCGCAGAATTGCCATGGTGATACAATGTTCGATTTAGCTGGTTGATGAAGATACCTAAACAGATTAAGGGGAAAACTAGAAAACCCAAAATTACTTTTCTGAAGGTATTTGCAAATAAAATATACCATATTCATAAATAATATCCATTTCATCCTAGCCGTCGGTAAAACCACAGATGTAAATTGAAGAATTTCTACCGTTTCGGCCACCTTGATGGCATTTCACATTATACTTTGAAAAAGCTATTTTAGTCTAGAAGAGGAACCAGTGATAACGAGGGACTTTGGTAACGATAGTGGTAAATGAACACTGATGAACAGTCAAAGTCACAAGATAAAAGTGTTTAATGTCAAATTGGATGTGGACAGTGCTACCAAGTGTAGTGTCGATCTCTTTTCGGTAGATTTTTAGGCGAAATTTTTTGGTAGATGGTATACCAAAAAGCAAAAGCTTGTCGGTAATTGAAAGTTGAAGGTCTATACTTGTGTTTCGTTGAATTATATCTGAAACATACGTACATTCAAGAAATTTGAGATTTTTTGGTAGATTTGGTGTCAAAACCGGTATATAGTTCGGTAAAACAGGATTTAAAATCAGTAGACCTGATAACACTTGACATAGGTTAGTATACGACCTACGCCCGACGTCTCTATGTTGAGCGAGAAAGCGAAATTTTGTTTGCATTATATGAAACGCCCAATCCGAAGACTGAGCAACGAAAAATTAATTATAGACTCATTTATGTTGTTCCCCTCCACGGAAATCTTTAGTAAAAGGCGAAAGATTTATTCGCTTTGAAGGGAAACCAGAGTAACGATCCATGGTATAACAAGACTTTTGGTATATTTTATCTGATTAATGCAAGCTATTCGTGCTGCACTGCCATCTATCGAGAGTGAAAAGTAAGCAACCGATAAGGGAAAGGAAGGCTCCGACCGTGAAGCTAAGATGGCTTCATACCTGGTTGCCTGTAAAAACTTTGATATGGTTTAGACGTTTGTAATATAATTCCTTGTTTCCACATGATAAGTTAATTAATATGACGATCATTACGTTAACAAGTAAATTTAAAAGCGTTGTGTATAATATCTTTTGATGGAAGGTGCACACTATATTACACAAATTCATGGCTAACAAGAAGATGATTTTATAGTCAATCTGCGAAATTTTTCTGAAATTTCGGTAGACATCAAAGGGGGACCTTATTCCCTTATTTGACCACCACTCGGTTTTGAAAATTGAACGGGCAACGGGGGTCCGCATCAAGTGCTGAAATCCTGTTATGGGGTGATCTATTCTTGTGTTTCATTATATTAGAAATAAACTACTTAAGAATTTGAGAAATTTTCTGCAGAATTTGCATTAAAATCGGTAGATCTACGGAATAATCGATAGACCTGGTATAATAATTCGAGGGGACACCTTGTTTGACCACCATATAGGTTTGAGAGTTGAAGAGCGGAACGTGGGTTAGCATCAAGTGTTAAAATTGTTAAAATGCTGTTATTTAAAAAATTGGCGAGCGCATGGCTGCACCGTTGACTGTGGAACAGGGGATCTCTGTTCTTGTGTCTCTTTCTTTCTTTGAATTATATCAGAAATATACTATTTAACAGTTTGAGAAATTTTGTCGTAGAATTTGCGTTAAAATCGGTACATTTGGTGGAATAGGACTAACATCGTTAGATCTACCGAAGAATCGGTACATCGGACGACCTGATACTGATAATGCACTTCACTGAAAATTTTCTTTGGATTAAATGAAATGGGCCGATCCCGGAGGTACTGCAATACCGGGCCAACCCGCGACGGGAGTGGAGCAAGCCCCTAACCTCCCATCAATTTCCAAAAATCAGTTTAATATTCTGGCCCCACATGTGGGGCGTACCAGATATTAAGCTGATAAGAACAGATACTACACTTTGATCTTAGCCAGAGGCCGAGAAGCGATACCGGAACCACGCACCGTCATAGTAGTTGTTAAATTTTATGAGAGTCGTTATAACAATAGGCTGACAGCACCATCTGCCAGGCAGATGTTGTACCTCTTCATACGCAGGTGCGGAGTCGACGTACGCGAATACAGGTATTCAGCTCGACGGCCAAACAAAGACAACCCTTTCATGAACTTATCCACTAGATGAGCTTCGCAGAAGATCTAACAAAAACTATTCAATATTAATTTGGCAGAGACTATCAGTTTTTGGATAAACAGTGTAATGACAACATAATTTTAAAACAGCTTTGCTTTTCTACAAAAGCATTGTCAGTGACATAATGCATATTCCCACGGTTATAAATAGAACTCTCAATAGTTACCATGTTAATGAAACACTTGAAACTTATCATTTGGTTTTCACGCTGCCATGTGGATAATCCTCCATGTTTGTCTGACCACTAAATGAAACCACAAATACTTGGTAGCCAAAAAAGATAGACGAATATGGAGGATTAGTTGCATTGTATTGAAATTTAATAAATAAATCCATAAGACAAATAAATCGAAAATTAAAAAAAATGTTTTTTTTTGCAAAGCGTTGCATATTAATATATCTAACCAGCTTTATGGATGTCAAAAATCCACAAACCTTAATTTCTCTCACATCACGATCATCTAATTCATGCTAGTGTGTTAACACATGATTCAACATTAGTTTGTTTCTTTTAGATTTATTTAGCATTAATGCTACAATATCCATGTTAGACAGTATAACTTCAACACATAATATATTATGTCTTCAGGAATAAATATTTTTATACAAAATTTCACTACTATGAATTCTGGTTTTCCATTAGATATTTTTTTAATTTCCCGTGAACATTTTCGAACTGACACTCATCTTGATATCATTACTTAATTTATTAAATTCGTACAATCCCTTTTGAAATACTGACTTGCTCGTTATATTGCTACTAAAATTTTGTAGATGAGTCTATACTCCCTCTAGTAAAATAACTATGGTCTAAGTGATTTGGTAGATGATTTTTTACTTGAACATGAAAATTAAAACCAAGTAAGCTATGAAATTTTTGATATTCAACTATTGTAGTTCTTTCAACATAAATTTTATTCTAGTAGATTTATTTTTATTTAAGATTATTCTTATAGCTATATTTTGTAATATTTGTGATTTTGAAAATAGAGGTTCATTTGCAGTGAACAAAATAGTCGAACAATATAACAAATGAGGAAGAATGATAGTGTTGTGTTGTACACAATTTTTTTAGAATAAAAGTTTAACAAGTTTTATCAAAAATGCCTTGCCATTATGTTTCGGGCAAAAGAGAAAGATACTTTGATGCACTATTGTGGATGTTAGTTTCAGCATTGCAAATTCCGCATATAATTCAGAATCACAGATACAGACAGTGTTGCCAGAAGTAGCGGAATTCCGCTACTGGTAGCGGAATATTCAAGTGGTAGCGGTGGAATTGGATTTTTAGTTAGAAGTAGCAAAATTTCGCAATTTAGTCATGATGGATATTTTTACCAGAAAAAAAATGAGTGCAGTTAGTAACCAAATCTAAATACAGGTATCTTTCCAATCGGCAGTGGTAACCACCGGTCGGTAATTCTTATTCAACGGAGACGCATATAGATGGTAGTATCAGGTAAGAACACAACCTGTGAAGTGTATTTCCAAAGTATGTCTAATTCTAATAACTTCAATATTTGCCACATCGTAATGCAGATGACGACTGGACATTCTCATATATGGAGGTAATCAAAACAAAGAAAAGGAATCGTATTTAACTTCAACTTTGTTCGTGATACTTATCAAACTGGATACAATACAAAAAAATGTTGCTGCTTAGACTTCCAGTTTGGTGAAAATCATTTTAAGAAATACAAAAATAACTTATATAGAGAACAGAAATGCAACAAGAAGAATCTGATACAGACAGTGACTAAGTTTAAGTAACTCCAAAACTTCAATTTTTTTGTGCAAAACAGAAATGGCCTTTAGTCATATGCTTTTTATTTTTTAGTTTCCTGTGATATTTTTTTAATATGACTGCGTAATAAATGTTCTGTTGTTAACAGTTATTTGTAATATGGTATTGGTTTTTATAGTCAAATGTTTTTTTATTAGTTTTAAGTTATATTTTATCACGCTGTTTGGTTTTTGTTTTCCTTTTTTGACACAATGTAGGCTCTGGCAACACTGGATACAGATTTTTTTATAGACGATTGATAATGCTTCTGCATAATGATCATAAATTGGTATCAATATCAAATTTGAATTTATGTTTTGATTATTTTAACACCGGGACAGCGCGTACGCAGTCCCGACTACCAAAAATTACGCGCCCGAGTTATCCGCATTAGGGATAATCGCAGGGGTCAGCCCAATCGTAGTGCAATGAAAGGGCCTCACCCTGGGGGAACCGCCTTAATGATCACGGTAACCCCTACGCCAGGTAAGTATGCTTTCCGATGCGCCGAAGAACATAGTTGTTGAATTTTGTTAAGCGTGTAACGGTTACAGCGACACTGACGTGCTCTGGTATTATGAACGGTAACTGGTAAAATGCCATAAGTCAGCGTCAACCTGCCTCGGTGCGCGGAGGCATAGTTACCTACAGCGAAAGGCGTAAGAACTGTGGCGCCACATTTACCCAGTATTTGTAACTATATATTGCGTAGCCAAGATGGATCAGGACAAGTTCTGCCTATCAGCTCAGTATCAGTCATTTCATGTTTTGTGCGTTTCATATCCTCTATGTTACAATGTAAATCGTAATAATATGAACATTTTCAACCGCAGAATTGGAAGCAAATTACAAACTACAATAATGTCGCGCCTCCTAGAAATGCCATGGTGATACAACGTTCGATTTAACTGGTTAATAAAGATACCTAAACAGATCAAGGGGAAAACTAGAAAACCCAAAATTACTTTTCTGAAGGCATTTGCAAATAAAATATACCATATTCATAAATAATATCCATTTCATCCTAGCCGTCGGTAAAACCACAGATGTAAATTGAAGAATTTCTAACGTTTCGGCCACCTTGATGGCATTTCACATTATACTTTGAAAAAGGTATTTTAGTCTAGAAGAGGAACCAGTGATAACGAATAACGATGGACTTTGGTAACGATAGTGGTAAATGAACAATGATGAACAGTCAAAGTCACACGATAAAAGTGTTTAATGTCAAATTGGATGTGGACAGTGCTACCAAGTCTAGTCGATCTCTTTTCGGTCAATTTTTGCGAATTTTTTTGGTAGATGCTGGTATACCAAAAAGCAAAAGCTTGTCGGTAATTGAAAGTTGAAGGTCTATACTTGTGTTTCGTTGAATTATATCTGAAATATACGTACATTCAAGAAATTTGAGATTTTTTGGTAGATTTGGTGTTAAATCCGGTATATAGTTCGGTAAAACAGGATTTAAAATCCGTATGCCCTCTCCAGACTCACGCGCGATTCGCGCGCGAAGCCGCGAACTACCCGCGATCCATGAGTGTGGATCCCATTCGCGTATTCTTCGCGGCTTCACGTCGCGTTCGCGCGTTGTTCCCGTTTGTTGTCGGTTTTTTGTCCCGCGACAAAGGGTTCGCAAGGCGCGAACATGACTAGGCTCCACATTCGCTGGTGGTTCAGTTGCCTCATAGCGAGTGTCGGGAGTGGTTGTGTTTTTTCCACTTATTTTCAATTGCTCTAGTTTTACTTATATATGCGTAATTATAAAATGCCAAAGCGCAAAGTAGCACTGCAGCAGCAGTAGCAATTTCACCATCCATACTCGTCAAGACCGCGAACTATACTGTGAAGCAGGCGCGAACATCTGCGAGTGTGGAACTGTAGGAAGAAATTTCAGGATTCGCACCGCGATCCGAGCCGCGATTTCACGCCGTGATTCGCGCGTGAGTCTGGAGAGGGTAGTAGACCTGATAACACTTGACATAGGTTAGTATACGACCTACGCCCTGCGTCTCTACGTTGAGCGAGATTTTGTTTGCATTATATGAAACGCCCAATCCGAAGATTGGGCAACGAAAAATTAATTATAGACTCATTTATGTTGTTCCCCTCCACGGAAATCTTTAGTAAAAGGCGAAAGATTTATTCGCTTTGAAGGGAAACCAGAGTAACGATCCATGGTATAACAAGACTTTTGATATATTTTATCTGATTAATGCAAGCTATTCGTGCCGCACTGCCATCTATCGAGAATGAAAAGTAAGCAACCGACAAGGGAAAGGAAGGCTCCGACCGTGAAGCTAAGGTGGCTTCATACCTGGTTGCCTAAAAAAATTCTAATATGGTTTAGACGTTTGTAATATAATTCCTTGTTTCCACATGATCCGTTAATTAATATGACGATCATTACGTTAACAAATAAATTTAAAAGCGTTGTGTATAATATCTTTTGATGGAAGGTGCACACTATATTACACAAATTCGTGGCTAACAAGTAGATGATTTTATAGTCAATCTGCGAAATTTTTCTGAAATTTCGGTAGACATCAAACCAAAAATTTGTCGATTGAAAATTGGAGGGGGACCTTATTCCCTTATTTGACCACCACTCGGTTTTGAAAATTGAACGGGCAACGGGGGTCCGCATCAAGTGCTGAAATCCTGTTATGGGGTGATCTATTCTTGTGTTTCTATTATATTAGAAATAAACTACTTAAGAATTTGAGAAATTTTCTGCAGAATTTGCATTAAAATCGGTAGATCTACGGAATAATCGGTAGACCTGGTATAATAATTGGAGGGGACACCTTGTTTGACCACCATATAGGTTTGAGAGTTGAAGAGCGGAACGAGGGTTAGCATCAAGTGAAAATGCTGTTATTTAAAAAATTGACGAGCACAGTGCTGCACCGTTGACTGTGGAACTCTGTTCTTGTGTTTCTTTCTTTGAATTATATCAGAAATATACTATTTAACAGTTTGAGAAATTTTGTCGTGGAATTTGCGTTAAAATCGGTGGAATAGGACTAACATCGGTAGATCTACCGAAGAATCGGTACATCGAACGACATAATAATGCACTTCACTGAAAATTTTCTTTGGATTAAATGAAATGGGCCAACCCGCGACGGGAGTGGAGCAAGCCCCTAACCTCCCATCAATTTCCAAAAATCAGTTTAATATTCTGGCCCCACATGTGGGGCGTATCAGATATTAAGCTGATAAGAACAGATACTACACTTTGATCTTAGCCAGAGGCCGAGAAGCGATACCGGAACCACGCACCGTCATAGTAGTTGTTAAATTTTATGAGAGTCGTTATAACAATACGCTGACAGCACCATCTGCCAGGCAGATGTTGTACCTCTTCATACGCAGGTGCGGAGTCGAGGTACGCGAATACAAAAACCGCCAAACAAAAATAACCGTTTCATGAACTTATCCACTAGATGAGCTTCGCAGAAGATCTAACAAAAACTATTCAGTATTAATTTGGCAGATACTATCAGTTTTTGGATAAACAGTGTAATGACAACATAATTTTAAAACAGCTTTGCTGTGCTACAAAAATCATTGTCAGTGACATAATGCATATTTCCACGGTTATAAATAGAATTCTCAATAGTTACCCTGTTAATTTTACACCTGAAACTTATCCTTTGGTTTTCACGCTGTCATGTGGATAGTCCTCCATGTTTGTCTGACCACCAAATGAAACCACAGATACTTGGTAGCCAAAACATCGCATTTCAAGCATATGAGGACAGACGAATATGGAGGATTAGTTGCATTGTATTGAAATTTAATAAATAAATCCATAAAACAAATAAATCGAAAATTATAAAACTGTTTTTTTTGCAAAGCGTTGCATATTAATATTTCTAATCGGCTTTATCGATGTCAAAAAATCCACAAACCTTAATTTATCTCAAATCACGATCATCTCTGACTCATGCTAATGTGTGTACACATGATTCAACATTACTTTGTTTGTTTTAGATTTATTTAGCATTAATGCTACAATATCCGTGTTAGTAGAACCACAACATAATATATTATGGCTTCAAGACTACATATTTTTATACAAAATTTCATTATGAATTTTGGTTTTCCATGAGATATTTTTTTAAATTTCCCTTGAACATTTTCGAACGGACACACATCTTGATATCATTATTTAATTTATTAAATTCGTACAATCCCTTTTGAAATACTAACTTCCTCGTTATATTGCTACTACAATTTTGTAGATGAGTCTATACTCCCTCTAGTAAAATAAATATGGTCTAAGTGATTTGGTAGATGATTTTTTAACTTGAACATGAAAACTAAAACCAAGTAAGCGATGAAATTTTTGATATTCAACTTTGTAGTTCTTTCAGCATAAATTTTATTCTACTAGATTTATTTTTATTTAAAATTATTCTCATAGCTATACTTTGTAATATTTGTGATTTTGAAAATAGAGGTTCATTTGCAGTGAACAAAATAGTCGAACAATATAACAAATGAGGAAGAATGATAGTGTTGTGTTGTACTTGTAAACAATTTTTTTAGAATAAATATTTAACAAGTTTTATCAAAAATGCCTTGCCATTATATTTCGGGCAAAAGATACTTTGATGCTCTATTGTGGATGTGGATGTTAGTTTCAGCATTGCAAATGCCGCAAATAAGTCAAAAGGCATTGCGAATGATTTTCATATTAAATAGATGACTTCACGGAATCATGGATCAGTTATATGGGGATTGGGGAGTACTTCTCTTTCAAGCTAAAACTCTTCTACTTATAACTTATAGTATGCTAAGCTAGCGCTGGGGGACTAGAATTTAGGATTAATTTTGGAATCACAGATACCGATACCAAAAAATACAGAGATGACAGTTAACACTTCGCACTTCGTGTATTTTTTTACACTGATTGGTAATGCTTCTGCATAGCGTAGTGATCATAAATACACTGATGTCAGATGGTATCAATATCCAATTTGAATTTATGATTTGATTAATATAACACCGGGACAGCGCGTACGCAGTCCCGACTACCAAAAATTACGCGCCCGAGTTATCCGCATTAGGGATAATCGCAGGGGTCAGCCCAATCGTAGTGCAATGAAAGGGCCTCACCCTGGGGGAACCGCCTTAATGATCACGGTAACCCCTACGCCAGGTAAGTATGCTTTCCGATGCTCCGACAAACATAGTTGTTAAATTTTGTCAGGCGTGTAACGGTGAGCAAAACACCGCGCCCTCTAGTAGCGTTACTTGCAATTCATTACGCCGCACCAAAGTTCGCGCCCTGCTTTAATAGTAAAGTAAGAAATAATGCACGAACTAGATCAGCTAAAAACATTAGCACATACATTGTAATATACAAATGTATATCCGAATACTGTTAATCAAAAATTTCATAACTCACCTCCATTACTCGATCTTCAAGCTTTTTATTCTCATCAGTCAAATTTGCGATCTTGTCACATAACATCTGTGTGCTCTCATGGAAGCTTGTTACTTCATTGTTGATAGTTTCACTGCATATTGTCAGGTCATGAACTTCTTCAGTCAATTTTTGCTTCTCCACAGTTAACACTTCAATTTGCTTTCGAAGATCACTATTGTCTCTCCACATAATATTTTTGATGTTTTCTTGGCTTTTCAAAATCTTTTCAAGATTTTCAACCTGATAATACACAGTATGAAATTTCATTTTTAAGTTAAGCTTACAATTTTGAAAAAACATTATGCTTGTTTACATTATCGGTGTGTAGAAGTATGGAATTTATGCTTTATAATTAATATCCTCCAAATGCCCTCTCAGCAGTTTATACAGACGATCATTCTTAACTAAATTTTCAGTAACCTTTTTGGACAATAGCGGCTCAATTACTCCTTTAACTCGAGAAATGCTTTGATTCAAGCAGAGTAAAATTTCATGATCTCGCAAGTTGCCAGACATCATTACGAGAAGTACCACGGCAAACAGGAAGGCAACTCCGAAGTTTTTCTCACTTGCCACTATATTGTTGAAAAAAGAATTGCTAAGGTGCAGTTTATCCAACTAAGGCCACGGAAAGTCCATATTTGTAGATGCCGTAAATATACTAAATGACATAGAAAATGCACTACCGACTAGGAGTGCTGCAATTTTGAGCATACGTTTACAATTTTTAGGTCTACTGAAAGTGATTAAAATTTTAGCTCGAAATTTCGCAAAATATCCGAGATATCCCACCTTAATGTTAATAATGTGTTGAAACTCCTCTCTCTGTTCGCCACACGTTTGTTAAGTCGTCGCGGTATTGATTGGATTAGGTAATTGATATCTTCTTGGTGTATTGTATCCCAGGTCATCTGAATTTGGCTTCGTAGAGGCTCCAATGTTTGTGGAGGGTGCGTTGAATTTTGCAACCCATTTCCCATCATGTCGCATACATGTTCGATGGGGGAAAGATCTGGAGATTAAGCAGGCCACTGAAGCAGATTTACTGCGGACGCTTCTAAAAACCGTAAACTAACACGTGCGACATGAGGTCGTACATTGCCCTGCTAAAAAAGTGGATCTTGCAATGTTCCAAAAGGGAAGCAGATGTGATTGTAAAAGGTCGTGGATATAGTGCTGGTCAGTCATGAGAGTACGATGAATATGCCATTCGATGGCATATTGGACGTCTTTCACCATGTCTCCTTCTTACTCTTGCAACGTCCAAACAGAATCTGGACTCATCGCTAAACACGACCGAGTTCCATTCCATATTCCATTCAAGTCTCTCCCTACTCCATACCAATCGTTGCCGACGATGCTGTGGGGTTAGAGGTAGTATACGATGGGTATGGTATGAAAACAGTCCAAAAGACCTTATTCGGCGATAAACCTCATTGTTGTTACCCTTCTGACAACATCAAACCCCTGGTTTGCAACTGCCCTTGTTGTGGAAAATGCTAGTTGCCTTAAGTAACGATCCCGTCGCTCTGTAGTCTGTCTTTGACAGACATCTAACAGTAGCTTCCTTTCAATTCAACCGATTAGCGATTTCTCTAAAAGAAAATCCGGCTTCACGTAATCCGATTATCCGATCCCTCTAAAACTCGGAAAATTGAGTGAAATTAGCGCATCTGCGAACTCTAGGCATGATAATGCAATGAAACAAATGAAACCAACACAGAGAAATAACTGAATATTAAGTAAACATGTTCATATTGTTCAATGCCTTCAACATTTCATCAGCATATACTTCCATGACAGCAAATATATTTATAAATTTTTATCAAAATTCATTAATTCTGGGTGTTGCATTTTATATGTCACTTAGTATACAGCAGACGCTGGATAACGTAAACACGGGATAATGAAAACTTGCGCTAATGTAAACACAAACTTCGTTCTATAGGATCAAACAGAACGCGCGATAACGTAAACAATGTGTACGCTCGATAACGTAAACAACTCTCGGTGCACGGAAACAGCGCGACGGTAAAATGCTGAAGCCTAGATGATTTATGTCGGGCGTCGGGGAGTCCCCGATTTATGATGTAGAGTGTAGGGGATTCACATCTGCGATAAAATACGACAAACTCGGTCAGTCGTATGATCGTTTAGGATACGTTTATAAGTACGTATGTATTTCATTTTTGAACTTAAGTGAATACATTGCACGCGTTAATATATTTTACGACTATGGCATCCACATCCTATAAAAGAAACTGTTTAAAGTTGAGTGAGAAAGTGAAAATCATAGACGAAGTTGCACTAGGTGCGGGAGTGACACAGCAAAAAAAATATGGAGTATCGAAAGCAATAATCTGTAAAATTAAGCGTATGAAAACTCAAATTTTACAAAGAACGTGCAATACATTTGGAGGTCCGGGAAAAAGGAAAACTTAAAAAAATGCGAAGGCACCTAAAATGGAAAATTCCCTGTATAAGTGTTTTTTAAAACAACGGGAAAATCATGTCCCAGTTAGTGGCGAAGTACTTAAACAGAGAGCGAGACTGTTAAATGAAAAACTGAAAGAAACTGAAAATTTCGTTGCTAGTGATGTCTGGCTACAACGATTCAAAACAAGATATGGAATTCGACTGCTGTCTATATCTGGTGAAAAATTATCAGCACAACCACAATTAGTGCAACCATTCAAAGAAAAATTGATGAAAACAATTACCGAGCTAGATTTAAGAATGGAACAAATTTACAACGCAGATGAAAGTGGCCTTTATTGGAAAATGTTACCAGAGAAAACCTATGCTGCATCATTTGAAAAATCTGCCCCGGGAAGAAAGCCGGAGAAACAACGAATAACGTTTCTAGCCTGCACTAATGCTAATGGTTCACACAAAATAAAGCCACTGGTAATTGGGAAAGCAAAAAATCCGCGCTCATTTAAAAATGTTAATATCCCTGTTGATTATGACTGTTCAAAAACAGGTTGGATGACTAGCAGTATATTCCTGAAATGGTTCCAGAGGTGCTTTGTCCCTCAGGTATGACAATCAATTATCACAAATGCTCTATTCATAATTTGAAGATGTGCTTTCAATTTGTAGGTAAAAGGTTTCCTAAAACAACAGAAGCTTCCAAGCTTCCAGTTGTTACTATTGGATAATGCACCAAGTCATCCTGCCGAGCACAACTGAGGAGCAGGGATGGGTCAATTTTCGTCATGTACATGCCGCCCAACGTAACACCGTTAATTCAACCGATGGACCAGAATATAATAAGACTCACCAAACTTTACTATAGGAAGTTTCTACTTTCGTCTGTCTTATCAAAGAATCCTGAAAACTTATCTGAGGCTTTAACAAAAGTAACATTACGAGAAGCTGTTTTAGATTTACATATGGCCTGAAATGAACTTAACCAGCAAACTATTCAAAAATGTTGGAACAATCTCTTTTGTACCAATAATGAAGGTGATGAAGAAGACGATGTCCCCTTAAGCGTAGAGAACGTTTGCGATGTTATTAGTGTGTCATTGGATGTTGTTGATTTATTGAAAACAGTGAATCCCAACATTGTTTGTACTCCTGCTGATATTAATTTATGGAACGAAGATAAGCAGACGAATGATGCTGATAAGGAGGAGGATATGGACAGTGAGGATGATGAGAACGATCCCATTGAAGTCAGAAGTGTAGTGACTGACGCGCAAGCTATACAAGTTTTTAACCAAGCTTTAGATTGGGCTGAAAGAAAAGAAGTTTCATACACGGATATTTTAGTTCTTCGTAAATTACGGGCGCAGGCATTGGAAGACAATGCTAAGCGCAAATTTACGCAGACAAAAATTGTTAATTATTTTTCTTCTAATTAAAAAAATACTTATCGCTGTTAGAATATTTTATTTTGTTATAAATAAACGTTTCTTTTAATAAATCAAATATTATATAAATCACGTTCGCTAATGTAAACATTTCGATAATGTGAACCACACTTGGATTAAATTAGTTTACATTATCGAGCGTCTGCTGTATTTACCTTTCCAACGTAATAATTTTCATGAAAAAATTGAACCTTCCCTAGGTTCAGAAACTTATTTGGTCTAGAGCCACTCGATGTATTAGTGTAGGTATGTAAGTTTCAATCTCTGTTTTAAATACTTACAAAAAAAACAAATTAGCCACTGTATTGCCACCCAAAATCAATTCAATGCTCTCTCGCCCCATCCATTTCCCACTAGCAGGGGTACTGGCGGCCCAAAGCATGAATTTATGTGAGAAAAGTAAGATTTTCAAAAAGAAAGTGTGAAAATAGTGAGTTTGTACATGAAAAAGTGAGTTAATTTTCTGATAAACTGAATAACAATCTCAAATTTAAATGGATAGCATAAATAAAAATGTGCGAAAAAATCGTTATGCGTTGTCACAGAAACCAAACATTCTTCTCCTAGGCCCACCCTCCTCCAGAATGTGAGATACACAAGCCAGAATCGCAAAGATTTCCGCCTGGAAAATAGTGGTGTAGCCACCGAGAGGCAGAGATAGCCTAGTTCTAGGCCCGGAGACCCCAGCACTTGAGCCCTCTTCGGTGACCGAGCCGTCCGTGTACCAGACCTGCCCGCTCACTGCGGAGAGTCTCCGGCCACCGGCGTCCCACTCCTCCCTCGTTGGATACTCCACAATAAACTTGCGGTTGAAGCCATATTTGGGGGTAATACCCCTGCTTAGAAGGACGGAGTCCTCCCTTTGCAATTCGACTAAGATGGCAGTATGCCCCTTGACAGGATTCAAGAAAGCACAGCTGCCCTGACTCCACAGTCGATGAGTGACTACTCTCGCTGCACCGCGGATCACCAGATCCAACGGTGGGAGATCAACAGAGCTTCCATTGCACTCAATGGCGTTGTTCGCACTGCGCTTGTAATGCTAATACAGGCCAAACTCTGAATTTTATTGAGTTTGGCCTTAGTTGTCCCAGTTCTAATGCAAGGCCACCAGGCCAGGGAGCCGTACAAGAGAGATGGACGTAGTGTCGTCGTGTAGAGCCAGTATACCACTTTGGGTTTAAGCCCCCACCTTACACCGACAACACGTCTACAGGCCCACATTGAATTGCGAGCCTTGCTAACCTTGTATTCAACAAGCTATGTCCAGTTCGGTTTGCAATGCAGGATAATTCCAGATATTTCACAATCTTTCTTCTCCTAGTGAATAGGATCAGCTCGGTCTTTTCAGCATTAACAGAAATATCGACGCTCTGCATAATTTCCGAGACTGTTCTACAAAAACGTCCTCTAACTACTAAGCTCAAGTCATCAGCATAGGCTTGCACGTAGACACCCACACTGTTGAGCCTAACGAGTAGTTCGTTCACCACGATGCACCACAGTAGGGGTGACAGAAATCCGCCTCTAGCTACGCTGCAGCTACAGCTTACGTCATTCAGCATGGCTGTTGCTACCCGACCCTACAGAGTAGATAGGACCTAATCTATTAGGATTGATCCAACCCCGTGTCTAAATGAGGCGTGTCTGATAGAGTCGGTTGTGGTGCAATTAAATGCACCTTCAATGTCCAAAAAGGCCACGAGTGCCACTTCTCGCTGATCTAGAGTCTTCTCCAGCCTACCGACCAGATTGTGTAACGCCAGATCAGTCGATTTCCCAGCTTGGTATGCAAACTGATTTGCATGAATGACACACCTTTCCAGCGGGTCATCCCTTAAGTATCTATCAACTATCCTTTCCAGTATCTTAAGCACAAAAGATGAAAGAGTAATCGGACGAAAATCCTTCGGGCCAGTATATCTAGCTCTACCCTCTACACTACAATATGTACAGCGATGACGAAAATAGTGAGAAAAGTGAATATTTTCGATGAAAAGTGAGATGGATAAAAAAAACTGAGAAAAAGTCCCCAGCATCCCTGCACTAGGTTTAGACAAATCTGATGGATTCCTCCGTCGAAAAAAAACTATCTAAGCTAATTTAAAATCCTGAACAAAGTATTTTTTACCTCATTGTCCTTATCGCGTAATTTATCCTCAAGCACCTTGATACTATCCCGCAGGGTTTCAGTTTGTTTAGCCAATTCACCCATAACTTCGTTCTTCCTGTCAATGTGCGTTTGAACCTGGCTGGCCACATCTTCGATGTTCTTATTCAGATACGAAACGTCTTCCGCCTTTTTCAACTTCTTGTTCAGCTCCTCCATAGCCGTCTCCAGCGATCTATTGTCGGTTGTCAATTTGCAAATCGTGCTTTTATAATCGTTGGTTTCTTTCTGTAAATTAGCAAGCATCTGGCATTTTTCGTTCAGCTCTTTCTGTGCGTTCTTGTACGCCACTTCGAAATTAAACTTCTTGTTATGTTCTTCAACTTCCAGCTCCTTGGAAGCGTATTTCCTTTGGAGCTCAGCATATTCGTCTTGCAACTTTGCAAGCTTGTTCTGGATTTCAGCAACTAAAGCATTTTCTGAGTTTCCGTTTGTGTTCTTGTAACGCTTCTCAAGTTCATCCCTATCTAGTTCTGATTTCTTCACTGCTTTTTCTAGTTGTTCAATGTTCTCTTCTAGCTTAGATATCTCTTTATACAAATGATCAGTCTCTTTGGTCAGTTCTTCAAATTTTGTCTTCAAAGCACGATTTTCCGATTTTAAGCTCTCAATGTATTCTCTAGTCGCTTCGTCTATAGGAAAGTTCACCTTAAACAAATATAATTTTTTTCAGTAGTCGTCAATCACTAATACAGTGTGAATCCCTACTCTCATTTGAAACAAATGCGTTCTCTAAATATTACCGCTTAAATGTGAAAAAGTTTTTACATCTCCAAAAATAATGTAAGAAATAATCCATATCAATATCTTCACAAGATCATACCGAATCGTTTGAGACTACGAGCATATATACGTAGTCATGCCATAAGTTCTGTCCCTCGTTTTCAAACAAGTGTAGACCTGTTAATACTTGTCCGATTGTTTACATTGTGGTGTCAGTTGATTAAGCGCTTTTCGGGTAATTACATATACCTCAGTTTGTATTGATCTCTCGAAGCATAACGATGGAGTGGGGCAAGGCAGAGAACCGTATTGCAGTGATAGCTTTACATAAGTGTAATCACAGTGCTAGTCAGATTTTTGAACTCTTACGCGGCCTTCAAATATCGCGTAAATTTGTGTCTAGGACCATTCAGCGGTACAATGAGACGTCCTCTGTTGATGACAGGCCAAGAAGCGGAAGACCTCGTCAAGTAAGGACTCCAGCAGCCATCAAAGCCGTAAAAGCCAGGATTCAAAGGAATCCACTCCGGAAGCAGAAGATCCTATCCAGGGAAATGAAGATTCCTGTCCGGACGATGTCGCGCATCATTAAACAAGACCTAGGGCTAGGGGCTTACCGGAGACGTACGGGCCAGCGACTTACGGCCACCTTGCGACACATCAGGGCGACAAGATCCAAGAAGCTCTTGGAGAGGTACGCAGCTGGGGGATTCCGAAAGATTTTGTTCACGGATGAGAAAATCTTCACCATAGAAGAAAAATTCAACCGACAAAATGACAAAGTGTATGCAAGGAGTTCACAGGAAGCTTCGGAGATCATTCCGAGAGTTGAGAGAGGCCACCACCCTGCGTCAGTCATGGTTTGGTGGGGGGTGTCCTACGAAGGGGTCACTCAGCTCCATTTCTGTAAACAGGGCGTGAAAACAAAAGCGGCAAACTATCAGAGCGACATACTGGATCCTATCGTCAAGCCTTTAAGTGGTACATTGTTTGCCAGCCAACACTGGGTCTACCAGCAGGATTCCGCCCCCGCTCACAAGGCTAAGAGTACGCAGCGCTGGCTGGAAAGCAATGTGCCAGAGTTCATTGCTGCGGAAGATTGGCCCTCAGGGAGTCCGGACCTCAATCCTTTAGACTACAAGTTGTGGGACCTGCTAGAGCAGTTGGCCTGCTCCAAAGCCCACCGTAATATCGAGTCCCTGAAAGCGGATTTGATCCGATCAGCGGCAGCTATTCCTTTGGAAGCTGTGCGTGCAGTGATAGATGAGTGGCCCGCGAGATTGAAGCAGTGTGTGAAGGCCAAGGGGGGACATTTTGAATAAAACTGTTTGATTATGAATTCTAAAAATGTTGTCGAATAAATAATATCTTTCATATAAATATATCTTATCTTGTTTCATTTTTATCATGAGATTATCATGGGACAGAACTTATGGCACGACTACGTACAGTAGAGGACAAATGTTTGGAAACAAATATTAACATTTTTATGAACTATTTCATATACCTAAATTAAAATTTTGAAGGAACAGATAATATAAACACAGTGGACCTCCGGTAATCCGACAAACATTATGCAGGGCAGTGTCGGACTATCGAATTTGTCGGATTATAGAGCACTGCCTAAGACCCCCTTTAGTCCGGAATTTTCTACAAAAGAGTACCTTGTCATCCGACAAATTACATATCCAATGGTAAGATTATATATGTTATGTATATGTATGTATTTTGAAGTACAAATCATACATAGTTTATGTATGTCGAATTTAGTAAATTAAATAACAATAGAGAGCTTACGTTTTATTCTGAATTAAGCATAAATGCACATACATATGTACCAAAATAATCAAGATTTATTAATCAAAATCATTAATGAATTTATCAAATTATGAGGCTTGGAAATATTCATCATTTTTTTTTAAAGTTGTTATAACGCGAGATCAGAGCTTTGTCCCTCAGTAGCGACTTGTTCTATAACTTCCGAAGTAACACTGATTTGTGGAACGTTGCTAGGAGTGGTGACTATACCTGGCCATAACTTTTTCCAAGACGATTTAATAGTTGATGACGGTAACGCATTCCACGACTGACAAAGAGCAAAAACCAAGTCTTACATATTAAATTCTTTTAAAGTTTTTCTATTGGTTGGTCTTTTGATACGGCTCTCAGAAGTACGTTTTTCTTATAGTCTTGCTTGACAAACTGAATGATATTCTGGTCCATTGGTTGAATCAGTGCAGTGCAATTTGACGGAAGACACATCGCAGTGATGCATTTATCCTCAGTTGTTAGTTCTTCTTCAGACGGATGACCGGGAGCTTTATCAAGAAGCAACAACGTTATTTGAGGAAAATTATGATCTTTTAACCATTTTTAACTTCAGGTACGAAGCATTCATCAAACCACTTTTTGAAAAGGTCTTTTGTCATCCATGCACTTTTTTGTCCGTAACTGTGTACAGGTAAATTAATGTTTTTGAATGCCCGTAGTTTATTATATTTCCCAATGACCATCATCTTAAGCGCGTGTGTGCCCGCAGCGTTAGCACATGGTAGTATGGTTACACGCTCTTTACTTACTTTTCGTCTAGGTACGGATTTTTCGTTACAAGAAACGAAAGTTTTGTTAGGCATCACTCGCCAAAAAAGCCCTGATTCGTCTGCATTGTACACCTGTGACGGGTCAAGATTTAAATCGTTCACTTTTTGCAAAAATCTTATTTTAAAGGGCTCTATGCAGGTGGCATCGTTAGAAAGTTTCTCTCCTGTAATAGTCATTAAACGTATGCATGACGACTTTTAAAACGTTCTAGCCATCCTTTGCTGGCCACAAAATCATCTTTTTTATTATTTCCTTATAAAAAAACTTAGCTTTCAAGGCCAACATGGGTCCTGAAATTGGTGAATGCCTATTTCTTTCCTGAAGAAACCACATGTACAAAGCTTCTTCCACTTCTGGATGTTCAGCTTTCTTGAGTGTCTGTCTCTTGCCTAGCCCGCAGTCAGTAGTGGACACGAACTTCTTGATCTTCTCGAGGTTTCTTTTAATGTCATAAATTGTAGATCGGCCTACGCCGTATTCACTTGCTAAACTACTGAAAGTTTCATTGCGATTTAAGCGGTCATTTTTCTTTAATTGTCAATGTTTTGTGCTTTCGCTTCTGAGTTTGTGAAGACATTACTAGGTACTGTACTTAATACACAATAAATAAATAGTAAACAATGAACGCACGCTATGCCGTACCGCTATCAGCAGTAGTCAAATTCAAACTAAGTAAAACAATGCTTACGCGTCGAGCACGATAGCGGTGGCGCGTACAAGTTGTAACCTGTTCAGACCTGCGTGATCTACATTAGCGAAGATTGTCAAATACGTATGTATGTAATACATATTCAAAGACATGTCCGATTACCGGGGGCGCCGGATTAGACAGGGGGCGGATTATCGGGGGTCCACTATTAACTATTAACCCACCTTTGTCTCCCGTACTAAAAAGGTTTATATTATCAATATTCAAATTCTCTGAAAATAAAAATACGCGTTTTTAAAAATACCACAGTTTTTGTAACGACAAAAGTATGGAAACATTTCAGTTTTGCCGTATTTATTCATTCTGCGATACTCTGATATTGCGTCCGGTAAATATTAGCATCAGTGAGAATGGCAAAAGTAAAAGAATTTTCAAAAGATTTAAGAGACAAAGTAATTGAATTACATATTTAGAAGTGGTGCCAGAAATGTTGACATTTCTTAAAGATTAAAAATGAAGAATGGGACGATTTCGAAAATTGCTAGTAAATATCAAGAATACGGATCAACAGCAACGCGGCCCAGGTGCGGAAGACAGAAAAAAAAGATTATGTTTTGGATCGCTACATTAAACGTTTGTCCCATCCTCGAATGCAAGCCACACAGATTTTCAAAAGAATCTTTCTGACGGAACAGTGCAGAGACGCTTGGTGGATTTTGGGCTTTTTGGTAGGCGTCCAGTGCCAAAGCCTCTCATTTAAAACAAAATCGTATTGCTCGCCTTGAATTTGCTAAAACTCATCTAACTTGGATAGGACAACAATGGAATACAGTTTTACGAAGCAATGAAAGCAAATTTAACTTGTTTGGATCTGACGGTACAGCATATGTGAAACGTCCGATACAAAAAGTATCAGATGCCAACAGTTAAGCACGGTGGAGGTAACATCATTGTTTGGGGCTGTTTTTCTAGTTCTAGAACGGGTTCAGTTGTTAAAATTGATGGGAAAATGGAACAAAACCTTTACAAAGATATTCTTAGTGAACACACGATAACTTTTGCTGAAGAAGAAATGCCTTTACGATGGACATTCCAGCAAGATAATGACCCCATGCATTCCCCAAAAGTCGTAAAGGACTGGTTATGACTAAAAAATGTTAATGTTCTTATATAGCCTTCGCAAACCCCGGACCTAAACCCTATGGAACATCTTTGGAACAACTGACAAGAAAAACTTTAAAAAGAGGAACGATTTATTTGATTATGGAAAAAATATTTGGCAAAATATCCCAACAGACGTCTGTAAACAATTGGTGTCATCTAAAAGCAGCAGATATCAGGCAGTGTTGAATGCTAAAGGCTATACTACCAAATATTAGCTAAATAGTATATTTTAAATCTTTTTGTAGAGTATTTTCAATTTTGTAATAAAAAATATGTTTCCATACTTTTGTCGTCTCATTTGCGGTCATAAAATAATATGAAGGTATCTTAATGCTAGTCTGTAGTACCACAGCAAACACAAATTGTTATTTGTATCCTCAAGACTGTAAGCAAACTACATATATGAGAAAAAAAATAGTCCTTAAGAATAAAGAATACAAAATTAGCAAACTTTTTAAAAATTACTAAGAACGTTTTGTCTGAATCATCTGTGAAAAACATAAACTCTCTCCAGAAGACGTAGAAATTTAATGAGGTTTGTCCTGGTTCGGACAAGACAAACTGATGGTTAGTGATTCAAAATATTTTGCTAAGTTCCTAGTATTTCAAAAAGCATTGTGTACAATCTTAACTTGATATTGTGGAGGTAAAAGTAGTAACGATATATGGATTATTTATTTTATTTATTAATACCATTGACAGGATTTCCTTCGTAGGCCTTGAAATTATCAGATTTCATTTATTTCTTATTCATTCAAATTGAAGATTGTAACCGAGTTTGGAAGACTGAGAAGAAGAGAAATAAATCAATCAGTTTTTCTGAACTAACTAAGGTTGGGCAATGTCAATGTATGACATATGATACATTTTTGAAATCAGAATTAAAAACTATTCATCTGCGCAAAAATACAATATGGCGTCTATAAGAAACAATAACGCCGAGGACAAATGACGAAACGTCATATTGAAATTCTAATTATGCCATATCATAGAGGACAAAAAGTGGCAACGTTAATGTGCAATTTATTTTGACATCCCACTACAATTATAGTCAGGGAAAAATTAAAACGATTTTGGGAACATTCGTTTTTTTCCGTCTCCCTCTGGAAATACTTTTATATAAAATAAATACATAAATTTCGAAACTGTCTAAGCCGCATTTTGTTGATTACCTAAATACGCAACTCTGGCCCCATTCCAGCGACTTTGTATCTCTTTCTTAGATCCCAATGGTGAGGGTCGAATTTGAAACACCCTATATACCATTTCCTTGGGGAAAAAATGGCAGACTTGGGGGGATGGGTCGTTGCTCTCGCTCAAAATGGCGGACTAACAAGAGGTCAAAGTTAATTTTTGAACATTTAATCACTTATAACTGAACGACCAATGATCAAGACTTTCTAAAACGTTTTGATGATTAGTTGTAGAATTATAAGCAATTCAATGTACAAAAACGCTCAACTATGACAGCCCATGATAGGTAGTGAATTTAAATTCAAGTTGATGCTAATAAAGAGCTTCAAAATTAGGTATCACAACAACCGCCAACCGCCATGTTGCAGTTTTTAACTGTTATTTTTACATTAAATAATATTCATGCATGAAAATTTCATCATCAACATTCTGAGCTATACTATAACTATCTAAAACTGTAATGACTCATCGATGTTCACGTGAACATCACTTAACTACCAGTAGTCGGCTGTTCATAGGCGGGGTATGAATGTTTAACATGGGTGAACTAGATTTGTCACATGCTTAATAAAGAGTGGTTTGAAACATATTGTAAGTCAAAAATTTGGGAATTACCTTTATTCATCGTCGCTTCCACTTACATCTGACAGTAATAAACTGTCGCTGTCGCTTTCCTCGTTGAAATTGACTATAACTGGCTCTATGATGGTGTCGATGTGGTGGTCAAGCTGCCACATTTTTGTTTCTTCCTTCACAACATGACGGATAGCATTCTGCCAAACTTCGGGCGTTACTAGCTGTATGGAAGTCTCAAGTAAATCCTTAACGTCTGGTAATTTGAAGGTTGTGTTATGGCGCGCAATATAACCCTTCACTTGAGCCCAGATGAGCTCTATTGGGTTCAGTTCACAGTGGTAGGGCGGTAACCGCAGCACAGTGACACCACATTGACGGGGCATCTCATCAGTCACGTAACTAATGTTCGCAGGTTTGTGCTGTTTAATTTTTTCATACAATTCCGCTTTCACACATGAATCGTCAAACGGGATTCCTTTTTTGCGCAACCATTGCTACATGTCACTTTTTCGAGATCCCATAGTCGGTACACGTTCGGCTCGACGACTATGGTAGGAAGCATTATCCATGACGATCACAGAGTTGGGCTCAACTCGCTGAAGCACCCCTTGAAACCAGCTCTCGAAGCAGCTGGCCATTCATTTCGTCTTGGTAATCACCTCCTTTCTTAGAGACGAAAATCAAGTCACACTCTTCTAAAAAGCCACTATCGCTACCAATATGAGTTACGATCAATCTTTGACCTTTCCCTGACGGTCCACGAAGACCTGTTGACAAACCTTCAATGCTTGCTTGTCGGTTACTCACTACGTTTTTGTCTATCCAGGTTTTTGTAACTGTGTGACCTGCATTTACCCATGTCTCGTCCAAATAATAGATTTTTCTGCTTTGTCGCCTATATTCAATCATTTCGCCAGGCGACTATTTCAAGTCTCTCTATCAATACTGACTTCCGATTACGCGTTTCGTAACGAACATTAATTTCGTGCAGGGATTTCCTCATTACCTCGACGCTCATTTGGGGTATAATTTCATTTTCCTTGATCGCTGTATGTACAGCCTTGAGGGTTGGTATCTCATTCCTAAAGAAGAATGAATGTACGGTTCCCCTTAACGCCATTTTGCTATCGTCATCCAATTTAACGGCCTTTCGTAGCTTCAAATTAAACTTTGGATCAGTAGTAGCTCCAGTTTTCTTCTTTTCATGCACCACCCTGCGAATGGTCCACTCTGGAACGCCTGTCATACTTTCACAACGCGCGAGTGCATCTCCCTGCGACATAGTTCTGTTCAGATAATTGAACACGTTGAGCACGATTTCTTTCGCGTCCCTCTTCAGTGCTTTACGAAGCCGTCTACTTGTTACCTGGCTTTCAGTAGTTCCACTCGTGCCATTTGTACTCTCCATGGTTAAGTATAACCAAAACAGTAACCACAGAAACCACAACAATAATAATCACACAACAATTCTTATAAAAACTCACAATATGCGATCGCTCAACGAAACACATTCCAATGCGTTGCCGACGCCTATGAGTCTGCCGGTCGAGGCGCGTCTTTTATTTCATTGATTCTACCGGCGGAGAACAATCAGCCATTATTTCCATCTCTGTCTGTGCTGTTGACCACCGCAAAGCCACAGAAACGACATATGTCGTACGCTATACGGTTGTACTGGAAGTAAGCCGGGGTCGAGCTCTGATCACGTGTTGATCACACGTATGAGTCATTACAGTTTTAAATAGTTGCAGTATATATACAAATATGGGGCCTATTAATGTCTTGCCAGATGTCGAGAAACTGTTCAAAGGGATAATATACGAACCAATCATTGATTTCGTTGACGAAAACAAAATTTTCACAAAAAAACAAGCTGGATTTAGAAAAAAAATGTGTACAGAAACAGCAAACCAAACCGTGGCCGTCAAAGAACCTCTTCACCATTTGAGGACATGTTGTTTGCTTATACAGGTTTTCGATATACAGTACCGAGCAAAAGTAGAGAAACAAACCACATTACAAATAAAAAACCAGAAAGATTTACTCTAACCCAAATGTGTACACTAAAGTTTTTTATGTATGACTATCTGAAGATAATGAAATGCTTATCTTTGTATACATTCTTTTTTTTTCAATATAATATGGTCGGTTTTTTGTTCCAACGAGCAAAAGTAGAGAAACATTTTGTATATATTTAGTTTATATTTAGTCGTTGATTAGAATAGGTGCTATTTTTGGTGTATTTGGTAAAGTGTAGTTCAAAAACATGGCCATAGGAATTACACTGAATTTGCAAATAAAAGAATTGATTATTTTAAAATATCGATCAGGCATTACCATAACCATAGCCAAACAGCTGAATTTAAGCAGATCGGTAATTTGCAAAACTATTAAGCTGTTTCGCCTCAGAAAATCGTTGGTAAGCCCTCGTAAGAATGGTAGACCGCGAAAAACCAGACCTAGGATTATAGGAATATTTATAATTACACTTGCTCTTAAAAATCCATTTATTACTGCTATCGACATAAAAGCTCAACTTGAAGAAGTAAATATTGGTGTCCACAATGTAAGACGTTTAAGGCAGTGATTTACCAGCAAGGAGCCCATCTAAAAAACCCTTTATTTCCAAGAAAAATCGGACCGCCCGTATTCAATTTTCTTACGATCATTTGAAATGATCAGAAACAAGGTGGAATTCTGTATTATTTTCTGATGTTCTAAGTTCACTTTGGGCACAATCAAACACGGAGGCGGGAAGGTTCAATTATGGTGTTGCTTCTATGGTCTTCAAATGGGACCCATCGTCAAAATTGAAGAAATTATGGACCGGTACAAATACTTGGAAATATTAACTGATACCATGCTACCTTACGCAGAAGAAAACATGCCTCTCCGCTGGCGGTTCCAGCACGACAATGACCCCAAGCACACAGCGAAAATAATAAAAACATTTTTTGCAGATCACAATATTAATGTCATTAAGTGGCCAGCTCAGAGTCCAGACCTTAACCCCATAGAGAACCTATTGGATTTAGTTGATAAAAAACTTCGGACTGAACATCCAGAAAAGTTCAAAAATAGTGCCGAACTATTTGAAACAATCGAAGTCGCCTGGAATTCTATTCCAACATTAACAATAGATAGCATAGTTGGTTCTATGAGAAAAAGATGTCTAGCAGTTATAAAAAATAAAGGTTATGGAACCAAGTATTAGCTTCTTTGTATACTATGTTTCTCTATTTTTGCTGGCTGTATTTTCTAATAATAATTGTTAGCATAGTTTTATTAAAGCAGAAATTTTATTTTCATGTTGCCTTGAATTACAAGTTATAATAAAACATAAGTGTTTAGTTTACTTTGATAGTTTAATAAAATCTTTAAAAAAATAAAATGTTTCTCCACTTTAGATCGGTACTGTATGTACATCACTCGACTTGCGATGCATATCTAAGGGTGGTAACGTTTTTGCGTGCAAAAATCGCAAAGTTACAGCGTTGGTAACCTTATTTTTGAAGCAACCCTCGTAGTAGGAGGATTTAATACAATATTTTAATCAAAGAGCTGCCTAGATGTCTACGAAATTTTAATCTTTGATCTTTGGCCATGGGAAATGGATAAATGAAATAATTTTATAACTATACCTGCGAAAGCTCAGCTTGCAAAGACATGCACGGCGACAGCAGCGACACGTTCGTCTGGTATCCGAACGACAATTCCTCTTCGCTTCCGATATCTTGAACAAGATTAGAACATTCAGATGCCGATCTCACCAGCAGACAACTCGTCGGCCGACCCAACGGCAACGGCGCTGTCTGATTGGTTGCTACTTTGGGGCCCCCGACATCGAAAGACCTGCGAGCTGTATGAACACGGGCACTCTTGCGATGGGGGGTCGAATCAAGGCATGCGGGAGTGATCGGGGACACCGGGGAGGGTTTCTCATCGAAACTGATGTCACTTAAGGATTTGACGGAGGAATAAATCGGGACAGTACCTCGAAATGAGTCCGAGAATCGGGGAGCGTACGCTGTGGACGACGAGAAGCGACGTGCCGAGGTCTTCTCCAGGTTGTGAGTTCGATAGTCCAGCAGCTGTAACAACGACAAAGCTTTTAAATCTTAACGCCTGTCGCAATAACATGATTTTCTTATCCGATTCCCGATTGTTGTACACAGATGCACAGAGCTTTGGGCAACTAAAACATATTCTTCATTTGCATGGCCGGATTCACCCTGTCAGGGCTTCACCTGGTGTGTGGAAGTTTATTGAACGTATTAAAAAAATCCACTTATAAATACGAAATGTTTGAACTTGTTTAGAAGAAAAATCGTAACCCATCCTTTTTGCATAAAAATAACATTTATATTCCGGAATGGTTTACGATTCATATCGCAAGGTAAACTATTGTATTTTGCTATAAAATGCCCTTTGAACTAACCCTGCATATTGCTCAATAAATTAGTAGTGATGGCCGCAAAACAGGTGTTTTTGGATAGACATTTAGAAATTCTCAAAAACTAATTGACCATTCTACTACAATTTTGTTGTGGTTATTTAGAAGTACGAATATGAACAATTTTGAGCATCTGCCAGAAACCACATGTGCCAAAACCTGCAGTTTGCCTCGGCCATAGCTTTTTTGCCATTAGTCGGATCTTTTTACGTGTGGTCTCATTTTGTAGGTCTCATAAATACCTAAAAATCTTATTAGAAGAGTTTTTTCGTTCCTGCCAACACTTTCAATTGAATCCCAAGAAACACGTTGTCTCATTATTTGTTATCGAATAAAAAGTTTTCCCACAAAAATGGGTGTACCCATTTTATGCGTCCATGTTTTGAATACCCCTTTGAACAACTTGCAGCAATAAAAACAATTACAATCATTTTAGTCTGATATGATTAGACTAATTGACAATATTTAATATTCAAATTCCATTAAAAAAATGTATGTCCGTCAAGAAGAGACAAAAGTCCGTTGTACCTCTTATTGCTACAATTACCAAAAATACAAAATATTTGTTTTTTAAATAAAATCGTTGTTTATACTCACTTCATTGTTTTCAGAAGTCAAATCGATGATCTTCGTTTTGTTCATGTTAAGCTCAGCTTTCAAACCCTCATTTGCTTTATTCAGCTCAATCATTTTCTGTTCATTATTATCTAATTCAGCTCTTATGTCACATAACTCACTTTTAACTCTTTGCTCATTTTCGACATACTGCTTACAACGATTTTCCAACTTACCAATCTGTAAAATTCAATAAGAGTAGGATGCATTCTACTAAAAAAATTTGCATCTGCATACCTCCTGTTCTAGGTCCTTAACATACGTTGACATATAGTTTCTGTCTTTCTCGCACTGCTGCAATTTTGTCCTTAGAGATTCAATTTCTTTTTTGCTTTGGCAGATCTCATCCTTCAGTTCCTCACAGTATGCTTTGTTCTTTTGGAGATGTTCATTAACCTGTTGTTCGCTGAAAGAGAAAAATACTTTTTACAATGCTTACTTCGTTTTTTGACGTTTCAAAGGGTCCTGATCATTTTTGAAAAAAAATTTGCAGGTAAAAAATTTGGGGATGGGGGTTGTAGTATATTTATACAAGTTCCCAACCTTGCTACTTCTACACTCCTATTAGGCATATTTCACATTTTTCCCCGTACGTATAAAAATAATAATAATAATATTTATTTACTACTAAAACATCATACAACCAATGAGTAAATAAAAATGAACTAACGATGCATAGGAGGTATTGCCTGTACATGAACCATTGATCTTCCAACTGTATACAAGGTGTAAACTTTACGGTAGTCATTATTGAAATAGGTAATAGGGGCGGTCAAAACAAGTCAAAAAGTTCATATGACACATGTCACAAAAGTCAATAGATTTTTGTCTAAATGGCTTTATAGTTTACAACTTTAAGTGCTTTATATCGATCACAATCACCATAGTCTTACTAATTTTTATAATCTAATCTAAAACGTTTATAAATTGGGTAATTAACAAATAAATGGCATTGAGTTTTTCTAAGTTAAGCCAAAATTTGCAGTCAGTAAGTAAGTCGGTTTTTCATCACTCTTATCGAAACGGCAATCGATCGCAAACAGTAACAGTGGTTAGTATGTTGTTTTGTTTTTGTTCGCGTACGTCGTCGTGTTTAATACAATGTTCTCGAATCAAGAGTTCGCCGACATGTTAGTTTACGGTGAAGCTCGTCAGAATTCAAATCTTGCAGCTCAAATTTATCGCGATAGATTTCGCCAACGGGTACACCCAGGCAGAAGGATATTTGTGCAAGTGTACCAAAGACTTCGAGATACAAGAAGTGTTTAGCCCTAATATTTGCACTCGTGAAAGACAGGCTACTGTAGAGCAGTAGGAACAAATTTAAAATATAGTGAAGATCAATGCAGACATCAGCACTCGGGAATTATTCCTCCGCGTAGGACTATGGCATACCATAGTCCATAGAATCCTACGGGAATATTTGCTTTATCCCTGCCATGTACAACGAGTGCAGGCCTTGTTACCAAAGGACTATCCTCGCAGACTAACATTCTGTCAGTGGTTTTTGCACAAAAATATTGAAAATCCGGATTTTTTAGCTACGGACGAATGTACTTTTACGCGAGGCATGATATTAAATTTCCATAATACTCACACGTGGACCCAAGAAAATCCTCATACCATTCGTGAAGGTCATTTCCAACAACGTTTTAAAATAAATATTTGGGCGGGTATTCTTGACGATCAGGTAATTGGAACTTTCGAGTTACCCCCAAAGTTGTCAGGAGAAGGATACCTTAGCTTTCTAGCCAATAACCTACCAGAACTTTTGGAACAGACCTTAGACAACATGCCATTACAACGGAGACAGTCTTTGTGGTTTCTTCATGACGGGGCACCACAACACATTTTTAGAGGAGTCATTCAGTATTTGAATGAACATTATCCAAATCGCTGGATCGGTCGAAATGCTGATCCTCGAAAATGGCCAGCAAGATCTCCTGACCTCAATCCGATGGATTTCTGGTATTGGGGAGAAGTTAAAGGGATGGTTTATGAGGCTGGTCCAATAACAACTGAAGCACAACTTCGCGAAAAAAAATGTAATGCGGCTGAAATAATAAATGGACAACTTCGAGGACCTAGAGTAAGAAGAAACAAGGTTCGTCGTAATGAAACTTATGTGGAAAGTGGAGGACCACATTTTGAACAGGTTTGAATACAAAAAAGTGCAGTGTGGGTTTTAAAAAGAAAAACAATGTATGTATCAAAATTGTGTTCCCTATTTATAAGTGGATTTTTTTAATACGTTCAATAAACTTTCACACACCAGGTGAAGCGCTAAGACAGTTAGTGGTAAGTCCGTTTTTTTTAATTGTTAGCATTTTACCAATACATTATCAAACAATGAAATAATAATAATACCTAAGAGCCAAAAATAACAAACTCCATCTTTATTTACACTGCGTTCCGTCGTAATTTGCGTCTAGTATTGCGGCGTTGTCAGATTTTATTTTACTTTAAAGTCGCTTTTCTCTAAAAAATGCCGTTTGGACCACCCATGTTATATGAAACTTTTTGCTTCTTTCAACCCCCTCTATCACCCATTTAAATAATGACTATCATAACGTTTACATCCTGTGTATTAGTGAATTATGAATAGAGATACAACTAATCAACAAATTATTTGATGTCCACATTTATTATTATTATATTTGTATATGTCTGGTCTTGCTAGAGAAAAAATCCATTCTTTTAACTTTTTCATGAAATTATTCCCAAAGTTTAGGCCGTTTATACCATCAGGTAAATGTATGTATAATTTTGGACCTAAATACAGGTATGATCGTTGCACTATACATCTATTTGGTCTAGGTACGACTGTTCCTCTTAGTTTATGCCTTGTGTGGATACAATTTTGGTTTGTTAAACATTGTTTTTAAAATCATTTTGTGAAAAATATTCAAATCATAAATATGAGTTGAGCTTGTAGCTCTCCATGCCAATATACCATAGGTTAAATGTGGCTCCATCAAGGTTTAGTATAAGGTATAGAGATATTTTTCTTTTAAAATATATTTTTTTTAATTAAATTTATACGATACATATCTAGCTTTTTTAAATGTATGAAATATGGACATCCCAACGCAAGTGTGGATCCAGAAATATACCAAGATATTTTATATCTGATGCTCTGTTAATTTCTAATTTCTGATTATTTATGATAAAGGAGATGTTTGTGTAATTTGGTATAGGAAGAAAATTGTAAGAAATGTGTTTTTTGTAATGCTCAATTTTCTGTTATTAAGCCACTGGATAAACTTGACAAAATCATTTTCAACTATACTTTTCAAAAGAAACCAATCATCATCTTTATAAAGAACTGATGTGTCGTCTGCGAAACTTACTATTTTGCCCACACATTCAATTTGGAATATATCATTTAAATTTATATTAAAAAGCAGTAGACCTAAAAAAAATTTTTTGATACTTTAATGGATTGCTGTCTGTTGGATAAGAAATTGTCTAGTAATTTCCCCCAAAAAACTAACTCTCTCAAATGTGCCTAACAATAATTTATGGTTTACTGTGTCGAAACCTTTTCTTAGATCAGCAAAAATATAAAGACAGGAAATTTTGTTATTAATATTTTGGTGTATTTGATTAACAACATCTAATATTGCATCTGATGTAAAATCCCCTCTGTAAATCCGCACTGGTTTTCACATAAAATTTGATATTTAGTGAGAAACTGAAGCATTTAAGCAGATATTATTTTTTAAATATTACAAGTCATCTTATTGTTAATATCTGTTCAACCTCCTGATTTATACTTTGAAGTTGAGTCATTAATTTTCAGATAATGATTGTAGAAGGAAGATAAACCAAAATATGTGTGTAAAAATAAAAAAAAATAAAAAAAAAATGTTACCTTGTTTTATAAAGTATCCTCCCGACAAGTATTTCAGTGCGGACCTGTATTTGATCGTGCGGTCTTGGAGCACCGGCATGCCCTCCCCTGTGAGGTCTTAAGTCACCTGATTCACGAGCCCTTTGTACTACATTAACAAAGGCACGAGGGGTTGGTTGCACTTGATTGGGAAACCGATCCGCATAAATCCGTGATGCCGCGTAAATAAGAATCATGTCCACAAGTTCAGCATTTTCGTAAACATGTGCCATTTTTGATTTCGTTTGAGCCACGCAACAGACACCACTATTCACTCACGCGTTACCGACTGACACTGACTGTATACAACTGAATAAAATAATTGTAAAAACATCGTTCCAAATTCTTTCGCTTTTTTGTTTCCGATGCGATGAACCGATAAGGCGGATTATATCCGTTGTTGCCAAACACGAGCACATAATATTATTATTGAGACAGGGCGGTACTCAAACTTCCGAAGGGCTATAACTTTGTTACTTTAATTTTACCAGAAAAACGGTAAAGGAAAAAAAACATTTCTTTTGATCAGATCTACTCACTGTTAAAATAAATGACTCAACTTCGAAGTCACCCTGTATATTGGTATTATACCTTTTTCAAAATGAATGGGTATATACCAGATTCAAGACAAAGATAACTATATATTTCAATCTTTCTGCTTTATCCTCGTCTATAATTATCAGATGCTCTCTTTTAATAACGTCAAATTCTGGGCTTTTGCGATTTTTCTGGGACATTTGCAGTGTATACTTCACGTGGTTCTACTTTGTCTAAGACAAACGAATTTAGCGATCTTTTTGAAACTAGGGTATATCTTTTGGCAACTAATCAGGCAAATCTTCACCTATATTGGAAAAAAAAATGCATATTTTTTGGATGTCCTTTATAATTTCTCCCGACTTTGTTTTCAATTCAGTTATAGATTGTTTAAATTGACTATTTGTATTTTCAGTAATCTCATTAATAGTAGACCAGAGTCTTCAGGTAGCATTTTTACTAGAGTTCGACAGTCCCTTTTGTTGGCGCTAATTTCATTACTTAGTAAAGACTATCCTTCTCATCTGACGATTTTATTAGTCCGTTAGTAATCCAAGAACTTCTACCCCGCTGTTTTCATATAGTTTTTACTTTGTTGGTACTGATGTCTAACTTTTAATCTTCTCTAAGAATATGTCAATAGCTTTATCTGCATTGTTACTAGCATATCATTGTTCGTATGTTTCCTGTCTTGGGTTGGACATTAATTTTGAATTAACCCTTAAGATATTATTTCTGCGGCGCCAAAGAAAGTATCGGGGAGAGGCGACGTTGCCAGATGGACTAAAGATAGGGCAGGGAAAGAATGTCTATGGACTAATTGTATGGACATGTTGGAATGAGTCGAGCTTCTTCTGAACATAATTTTTTATGAACTGATAATAGCAGTGTGTGTGAGGTGCATTTTTTTCATAGATTTCAAATGATATCAGTTAGACAAGTTGCAATTATTGTAGCAGTAGTAGTATGCATACTAGAGAAGAAAACAAATCTAACAAAATGAATTCCCTTTCATCATGTTGGTACAGGGTGATTTGTGATATTCCTGAAAAAGGTTTCAGTGAAATATGTAATATATACCTCATCAATCTAGTCTTACACCTCTCTAAATCTGCCTGCAAATTCTCATTATGCTCCTCAGAAGCAGCAAGTTGCAATTTCACCATTTCCAATTCATTTGTACACTTATTCAGCTGATACTCTAAACGATTTATTTGATCTTCAAATGTAGTCTTTCCAACTAAAAGAATAATCCAAATTAAAAATGGATAATAAAAATAATTCCATGAATTTACCTGTATTTGTGTCTTTTGATTGGATAACTGATAAATTTGCTGAAGCTCCAGATATATTGAGGAGACATTCAGAGCTTAACAATTTCTGCCCAAAGCTGGCTCTTGGTGTGGATTGAGTATATGGTAAATGCTTTTCATCTATGGTATCCAAGTTACTAAAAAATAAAAAATATACATGGACATGAAATTATTAACACATAACATTTTTAGCAGCTTACTTTGGTGATATGTCATTGAAATCCTCATGGTCACTATTTGCAACTTTTTTAGCCCATTGTGTCATCACACTATAGAATACTTCACTACTTATGTATCCATCTTCATTGTTAAACTCAAGAAGGTACTTCAAATGATCAAGAGCAGATCTACAATAACAAAAAAATCAGTGCAATAATTTCTAATCTTAATCTTAAAGAATGAAAAAAAACTCAAAAAACCAATTTTATAAAAACTTACAGATCTCCTAGCATGTGTGGTTTTATGAACTCAATCAATTGAGAAATTGGTGCACGATTTGTATTGTCAACATCACATGAAGTATATATTTGTCTCATTACTAGTTGCAAAGTAGATTCTGAAAAGATGTTTCAGAAATTAGTTAAAAATTAAAGAGCATGACATGGTTACTAATTTAAAGAGAAAAATAAGATGTTTATGCATATTGAAGCTGATTTTTCTGAAAGCAGGTTTAATAGTGGATACTTCCTTTAGATGACAAAAATCAGATCCAATATGTAACCCTACAACAAATTATATATCCCTGCTTATGTATCTGCAAGCCCCGCTTCTTCACTGTCAACACCAAGAAAAAAATATGAGCCAAAGCTAAAATGAGGATTTTCAGAGAGTACATTATTTCAGGTCCAATTTTTATTTGAACATGGTAAAAATATTACCATCACTATGTGTATATGAACATGGTGATTAGTCATTTTTACAATGTGACAATATTGCAAAACGCTGCAGCTGTGTGAAATATTATTTTAAGACTCTACATATAGCTGCCCTCCAACTATAAACAGTTTTTTACTAAGTACTATTTTGTACAAAAAATGGAAGAAATGGCGGCATATATACATCGCAATAAAATGATTTTTGTGATTAACACTGAAAGAATCTAAATGAATTATAAGTTACATAAACCAGATACAAGCTCATAGAAACACTACAAGCTTGTATTACCAGCAGTAAATACATTATTTTTGTTAGAGACAACTTTGCGCTGTACTGCTATACTGGTTTTCTTACCAAAATCTGCATCTCCTGCCATTTTTCTTTCCTCGCTTTATTCTATTCAATAGTACAACATATACATCTAACATAAATTCACATTTATACTGGAAACATCCACATATTAAACAGAAATTAAAATTCAAAAACGCAAAAGTAAAGCAGACACATGAATTTGAACGCAAAAAGTCGACCAAAAAACACAAAATTCGAACGCCATAGAACAGCAGAAAAGGAAGTTACAGAATAAAGAAATGCAGGATAGGAGTACTGATGCAGGAACTTAGGGGCGTAGCAGTCTCCTCATTCACCGTAAGAATGATACGGCAACCCCAGCATGCACAGGCCCCGACATGTGAAAAAAAGCCTTTGTGCTGCTTATATTTCCTGAATGTGAATTTATTTGAATGTTTCATTTAAATTTACTGTGTTTTAGTTATAGAGGGTGTTCCTTAATGATATGCGAATATTTAAGGGTGTGAATCTACATGACAAATTAATGTTAGTTTGCTTTATAAACTATAGTCCAAAAATGTTTCCTTACAAAAACTCGGGGTGTTGAAGTTGTAGGACAAAAATGGAAATTAGTTAATAGATTCAGAACCGCTTCAGATATTTCACTGATATTTAGTACCCAGTAAAAGTTAATAAAGTTGCATATTTTTCAATGCAAAAATAATTTTTAGTATTAACAGTGGCGTGCGTACGGGTATTGACTTTGATATTTTTTTGAGAAAAAATGGTATCTACGCCAATGGTTTTTTGACAAATAAAAATTATTTCTTAATTTCCCTTTCAATTTAAAACAAATGATCTATCTTGAATTGTTTTCCTTCGATTCGCCATTTTTGACTAAAAAAATAAAAACCGTTCTATTGTCCGAGAAAATTAATGTAATAATTGAAGAATGCAATTTAGCAATAAATATCTAGTTGCTCTAGAATATGTCACTGGCTTTCGACATCTGACAAGTCTGTTATTCCAATCTGTTCGCTGTGACATCTTTTCCATTATTTAGTTTTTCCAATCTTGTTATTAATGGTGAATTATTCAAATGCAGAAATGCATTTCGTATATAGCCTTGCCGAAGGTAATGGTGAGCAAGCCAGACGGACTTATCACCAGAGATATCCTGATCGTGCTTTGCCAGATAGTCGAACCTTTTCTAATATTCATCGTCGTCTTGTTGAAACTGGTTCTGTCCGAAAAGGAACATCTGAAGGTAGACCTCTAAGTGTGAGAACATCTGAAATTGAGGAAGCAGTGCTGCACGAAGTCGAAGAACATCCTGAAACTAGTACGAGGAAGAACGCTAGACACTTAAATATTTGCCATCCAATTGCTTGGAAAATTTTAGTGGATTTTTACCATATTTTGAGAGTACAGGCGTGTGACCTTTTGACAGTGGTATCTTCAAAAAATTACAACAAAATCCGCAATTTGAATCAATGATTCTGTTCACGGACGAAGCTAATTTTTCTCGAAATGCCATTCAGAATTTCCACAATAATCATTTGTGGGCAGAAGAAAATCCCTATGCCGTAACCGAAACCCATTTCCAACACCAATTTTCGGTTAACGTATGGGCAGGAATTATTGGCAACCATTTTATTGGCCCATTCCTCTTGCCGGGACGACTTGACGGACAGACTTACCTCAATTTTCTTCATCAACGGCTGCCTTTGCTGCTTGATGAAGTTCCATTAGTAATAAGAAACAATATGTGGTACATGCATGATGGTGCATCAGCACATTTCAGTGTAGCGGTTCGTAATTATTTACAAACTGTTGGATTGGCCGCGGTGGGCCCCAAGAATGGCCACCAAGGTCCCCAGACCTCAACAGTTTAGATTTCTTTTTGTGGGGCTATCTTAAGACACTAGTGTACACAAGTCCCATTAACACTGTAGAGGAATTAAGAGAAAGAATAATTGCAGCTTGTAATAGAATAAAAAACACTCCAGGGATATTTTATCGAGTGCGCAATTCCATGAGAAGGAGGGCGGAAGCATGCATACTGAGTGAAAGGGAGCCATTTTCAACATTTTTGGTAACCATTTCGTTGGTTTTAACGTTATGTTTATGTTGTCAGTTGCTGTTGTTCATTACCCCTAATGTTTTTAGTTTTTCCAATTAATTTAATAATAATTTTGCAAGTTAGACAATAGAACGGTCTTTATTTTTTTACTCAAAAATGGCGCATCACAGGAAAACAATTCCAGAGTAATAATTTGTTTTGGATTGAACGGGGAATTCAAAAATAATTTTTGCATTGAAAAATATGCAACCTTATCATCTTTCACTACTTACAGTGAAATATCTGAAGCGGTTCTGAAAATATTAATTAATTTCCATTTTTTTTCTAAAACTTCAACACCCCGAGTTTTTGTAAGGAAACGTTTTTGGACCATAGTTTATAAAGCAAACTAACATTAATTTTTCATGTGGATTCACACCCTTAAATATTCGCATATCATTAAGGAACAACCTGTATATATTAGACGAAAATGTAGTTGGAAGAAATGTTTGTAACACTTTGTGCATAAATATAAAAATCTAAGTAATAAATAATAATATATTATTGAGTAATAGAACGACCGAGGGTGTTATAATTAATCTGGATAAAATTCAAGGAGTGACTTTTTTGGCGAAGAAAAAAAGTTTATATTGCCCGAAATTGCTCCATTTCAAGAAACAGGTAGACAAAGTTTTCTGCTTGGTTTTTCGTTATTTTTTTTTTCGAAGTATCCTAATAACTTCTTGATTTAACTTGTTAAACTTTTACGAAATATAGTAACCAAAGGTGTTGTATCTCCAAAAATTTAAATAAAAGCGTTAAAGAAACACCATAATTACATCGAGGAATTGTCATTAAGTTCATCAAATTTCAATTTTTCCTGTGTGAGTTTTTGTTTTATTGGCGTGTTTTTCTCATTTTCTTCCATTTGATTCTCGGCGATACGTCAGTAGGATCTAATATCAAATGAAATATTAACAAATTATAGCAAAATGGCTAAAAGTTATTTTTAAGAAAAAACATTAAATTATTAAGCACTTCCAAGATCACGTTTAATATGAACTTCTTTTCTTAAAGTTACTCAAGAAATCACCCGTTGAAGTTTAGGCAGGTACTTTATTAACACGTCCTGAATACGTAGATCAACTAAAAAATCCCGTATTTTCCACACACATCTTTCGTGCTATTTATGTATAGTTTTCTGTAACGTATCAGTACAGACCGATGATCTTTGACAACAGATAGCTTCTCCTATTTAGTCCTAGTACCAATTCGCACTTTAGATAGTTTCTTATCTATAGTTTATGGTGACAACTAGACTTGTTACCGTCGTCTTCAGCTAAGGATAAGATAAGATGATTGACTCGGTACTGCCCAAGCATTCACCATTCACATGTGCCTATTTTTAATTTTTCCATATGCACAAACTGAAAATCGTTGACATACAGATGCTGCTTAGGTATCATTATCTTTAAATGTTCGTTAAAAAGAAGTATTGATCAAGAATCTACATTTTTCAGCATTATAATTATGTTTTTGACTACACTCCAGCCTGAGAAATAATGAAAGCACGTTTTCGAAGTCTTTCGATATTGTAACTTCTCCAAACCGCTACCACATAAACGATTTATAAAGTGAAGTAGTATCACCTTCTGTGACAGAACAGCAAGCTGCTCAGGAAATTTCATCCAAATCTGTGCAGCCGTTTCCGAGATTACGGGAGTGAAATTACCCAGCACATCGACGGACCAACAGACTGACCGACAGAAATGAGTGATGTAAACACCGCAAAGCACAAAAACTTGTTATTTGGTATTTTCCTAACTTTGAACATTAATTCCAAAAGTCAATATGTAATATCTACCTATTTTATTCAAAGCAAGCGTTTTTGTTTCTTTTGTCAAAAATCTTAACCACAAAATGTAGGCACTCGGCTTGATACGCAAAGTTACTGTACTTGCAATAAATAGATGTAACTACTAACTTTTTGTTATGTTCAGTATAGTGATCACTTTTTTTAGAAAATGAATCCGGTTGTATCTTAAAATTTGTATAATCAGCCTGATTTTGTGTAAAATCTTGAGATGCCTACCCCCCTCAAAAAGTTTTGGGGGCAGTTACACACTTTCGCAAAAAGTTATCTCTTGCCGATCATCGCCCCTTTCTCCTGAGAAAAATGCTTGCGGGCGCCTATGCCATTCACACAGAACTGTTGCAGCGGTATCAGAAAAATTGACGAAAAAAGTCTTGTCATTAACCTGCATAGGTTAAGAAAAATTATGTCAGTATTATTGTCACATTATTTTTTAAATTTATACATATGATATACAACCTAGTTTTAATTTTTATCTCACTTTTTACATTTATTTCACCTTGTTGCCCACCACATACTTTACCAGTACAACGCCAAGAGGATTCATTGGAAAATAAATTTTATTTAGTCCACGAAAACTGCAATTTCTCTCTAATATCACCAAAAAAAGTCATCAACCCATACCGACAGGCAATCGATAATAGAGTTGAACCTAAGCCTTTTGGCGCCTTTTGGTTGAAGTGTGCAGCTTGTTTAGCAGTTGCAAACGAAGTAAGCTGTTGATTTTAATTATCCTTTTAAACAATAAAAATACACTGTTTTGTATTACAGGTAGGAAAAGCCGTGGAAAGTGCTAAGCAAGTGATAAAAGAAGATATACATATCAATGATGGGGTGTCCACCAACGATACTGCACTATTTGAAAGAAAGTTTAGCGAATTGTGTACCAATGGATTCAAAAAGTAATTTGTCTAGCAGTATTCTGAATTTCCGTTTATTTTTGCATCTAAATGATCAATGCCAAAATCATATTCATACGAAATTTTAGCTGGTTGTGCAGTTAATATTTCACCCTAATTTTTATACCGTTGTTCCGCTGCATTTTGAATAAATATCGTATACTGTAGTTTATGTAGTAGGGGAAGAAAAGCATAGCAAATTAAAATCTTAAAACTAATATTTCTAGCTACAATCTTAGAAAACACAAGGAAATCAGTCTGGTAACTAATATGCTACATTGTACTGAACACGTGAATACACAGATGGACGGGAGCTGGACGAAAAAGTAAGTATATTATAGGTATCTGTAGAGCATTCAACGTGCATGTTCAACGGATCAAGTCAGTCAAACAAGCCCATAGTTCCTGACCACTCGACACGCCAGACGCGGCAGTGCGTCACCGCGCCACTAATGATAGGACACTTATCCAGGCTGGCATGCCATCCGGTGAACCCAGAGAACAGAAGCAGAGATACAGATTGAAAACATTTCTTTATCATCCTAAAAATTTTAAGGGCAGATATATGGGTGAAACATCTATGATGTGTGAATTTATGTCTGGTAGGTGCGCAGAGTTACCGGGATTGGGAGCATATGAATATAAAAAATGGATATACGCCACTACCCTTATATCAAAACTCTTAATCCCACAAAAAGATATTTTTTTTGCTTTTGTCCCTTCCTTTATCGCCGCTGGACTGATTTTCAAAATCAACAAGGCATTTTTGTCCTTGGTATAGTAGTCAATTTGTGTGAAAATTTCATCAAAATCCGAGTGGTACTGAGTTGTCATGTCATATAACATCCAATATCTCAAACAAAAAATATCTCAATATCCAAATTGTTCGCGATTACAATATTTCCTTGCCAGTAGGCGTGGAGAGTCAGGGCGCCAGTTACAGGCGGTAAGTATGTGATAAGGAGGGCTTATATTTTTATCCTTTGCCTCAGAGCGCACAAAACTCTGAAGCCGGTCCTGGGGAAGAAATTCTTTGAATATATGTCAAGATACTTCTGCGGCAACTGTGTTGATTAAAGAGATGCCGCACTGACATGGGCGTGTAATGTGTTTTGCTGTTCTCTCTTCATTTTCGGTACAAGGGTATACATAGAAGAGAGCGTAGAACAGCATCACAGGGGCATTCATGTCACATATCAATTTGAAAACTGTCTGGAACTGTTTTTTGTTTTGTAGATTGAGAGAGCTATGTAATTTATACACTTCGTACATGGATATAGTGTATATTGCTAATTATATCAATAGCACTGAGGAATTAAGTGGATACTTATGCATGTTAGTATTAAATACAGTTTTTATTTCTATCTGATTTTTATTAATCATATTTTAGGGGCACAGGAATATTCAGAGATTGTGGCAATATGGAAACAACGGATATTTCCCACAGTATCGAGCAACTGAATTTTTGCAAAAACAAGCAGTGCTGTTAAAATAAAAACTCTTTTTAGTAACTCTATTTAGATTTTGCGAAAAGGTAAATGTTTTCTTTTTCTTGAACTGGAGCCCTTGAACTTATCTTGAATATCGTTGAAGAAACACAAACTTTCGCTACCCATTTCCATTCGCGGTCTGTGGTTCAATCTAGTAAATTGATGTTCTGTGCTATATGACAACAGACGAACGACTCAGTTTTGTGCGAACAACGATAACGAATAACGACAAACAGACATAACCTCAATTTTTTTAACCGGTATCTCTTCTTTAAAAGTCCCTTCTTTTGTCTATTTTTTTATGCTCAAAATCATTAAAGTATTCCTCGACAATGAACAAGTTTGTAGAAAAAGACAAAAGTAACATGGACAGCAAACGTGAAATGACAATTACATATTATTTGGAACTGAGTTCCGATTTTATTAGGATTCAAGGAATTCTGATGGGATTAGAAGAGAAATTAGGTGGTTTTGAGAGAATCAGATACACAGGAGGTATGTTAAATTTTGCCTACAATAAACTATTCAGTCTTAACTAATGAGGTCACATAAGCGCGGGCCCCCAAATGTTCAAAAATCATTGTCCGAGTACCCCCCATTCTTCAGCCACAGGCGCCGAGCTTGCTGTGGACCCATTGGCCACTGCATAGCTTAAGAAGGCTATGACAAACAATAGAAGGGCTAAATGTATATTTGTGAGAGCAAAGAATAGTATCCTCTTTTAAGAAATCTCTGGTGTGATTTTACCACTGATTATTCAAATGTCTAGAAAAATAATAGCAACTGCCCTTTTTTTAACATGAAATACTGCATTTTTAGTTTCGCTCCTCTATTAAAGTAAAAAAAATGACATTAAGGTTGAGACAATTTAATTTCCTATTTTGTAATGTAGCTTTATGTTTTTATGTTTTTTTGGGTCATTGTCATTAATAAAAATCCTTCTCAACTTTACTCTAATGTGCCACTAGTGTATTGTGCTTAAAATTAATACACGGTGTCCAGTGGGAATGTTCACTTTTTGATTTAAGAAAAAAAAATACAAACTTAAAAGAAAATATTTATTACTACCAACATATTCGTAAATTCGGCGGGTTTCATTTCTCAAATATCATTAAGTCTAAACGATTGCATCCCTTCAGACACACGCTCGCAAATTCTGAAACACACACACAGTATTTTATACTTTCTATTGATACCCGGGTACCAGGATATACCTGAGTACCCGGATATACCTGACCAGGATGCGTGGGTCCACCTGACCCAGATACCCAAGTCCAAAAACCCTGCCCTACAAGCACGTGGTGTATTTTATACAAAATGATGCAGTACAGAATAGTTTCTGTGTAAAAACTTGTTTGCAGGCAATGAAGATGCAATAGGGCTCATTGTGAAGGCAATAAAAGACTACCTATGCAAAAAGAAGAATTATTTGGTGGACAATAAAGTAAATCCCAAATATGATAAGCAACTGGAAGAACTTGTGTTCTTTTTAGCTATGAATACAACTTATAAAATACCAATTCACTATCCATCTGCAAATCTTATTGGAATAATTGCTCGTCTATCAAAATGCGTTCTTACAAATATTGTTTATCAGTTGAATCTTGTCAAGTATTTATCTGTTGTTATTGAACACATGCCCATGCATGTTGGCGCTGAACTGATTGATGAGATGATACAGTGTATGAAAAAATCTCCACCAAAGCTGCAAATTCAGAATACTTATTTGATTCTAAAGGCTGCAGCTGCTAGGATATCTGCTGTAGAGGACCCACTACCAGTTAGTATTATTTTAGATATAATTAATGTCTGATATATTTAACATATGATTTCTTAAATAATAATAAGTGTAGTTAACCATACATGTATATTAGAGCTAGTATACCCAATAAATTGAGACTAGGTAGAGTCAGCAAAGTCTGATAGTCTGTAGTCAGGATGAAAGTTCATACTACAAGTCGATTCAGGCTTGAGTCGCCAGTTTGACAAGTAACGTGAAATTCGTACTTTTCATACTAAAATTATGTGAAACTCTATAGAAGTAATATATCTTTTTTGATATTTTGGGAATAATGTATTTATTCATAATGCTTGTGAAACAGTAGTTTACTATCCACATATATACCGAGATATAAAATGATTCGACTATTTCAATTTTTTCATCATTAATCATGTCACCTAAATGTTCCCCTATTGACATACATTTTGTTTTATTACTGTTTAATTTACATTTATTAACATTTAACTAATTCATAATTTCTTAACTACTACTACTATTTAACAGTTCTAAAGTAGCGTCCAAATGCTTTTGTGATATATATATATATATATATATACAGGGTGGCGCATCGAAAACGAAACAGACGCAATTACTGGTAGCTCAGGTTTTTTTTTTGGAAAAACGCTCAGACCTGTCGATTTTGTTTTCGAGGGGGACACAAGTCAAAAGGCAAAAAATCACGTTAACACGTGCAGCCCCCTGGGCGGGGATGACACAATCCCTAAAATCTTAAATGGAAAGGGGGGTCGAGTGATACCTTATTTTAAAGGTCTTTCAATTCCCTTTATAATGATGTAAAATACATGAGCTTCAGTTCAGTAGTTTTGAAGATTTATTGATTTAAAGCTTAAAGTAGACTTTAATAGGTACACCAGATTAGTTTGTACTACTTTCAGAAGAAATTTGACTAAAAGAATTTACTTAATAAGTAAATGCTATTCTTCACTACGCCCATGGTTTGTTTATCATTTTGTTGTTGAAAATAGCTATTGGAGCGTTTTTTTGTGGCAAAAAGTTATTTCTTGAAGAAAGATAAGGAAATATCTCGTACTTATTTTAAATAGGAATTTATTACATAGTTTGCGATTGATTTGACCAAACTTTGTTGCTAAAATAACTTGTAACGCTTTATTACATAAATTAACCATGGTATATTCCACAGCAGAAACAGTTGAAATTATCGAAATATTTTTCGGAAATAATCAGTGCGCTAATAGAACAGCAGAAATATTTAATGAGCGACATGAGAACAGTAACGTGAATCGAAAATATGTTCTAGAACTTGTAGCTAAATTTCGGGAAACTGGGTCAGTCGCCAATAAAAAACGCAACAATGAAAATCCCACAAGGAACGAGGCAATAGAAGTGGGGGTTTTAGGCCAAGTTTATGTAGATCCTACGTTAAGTACCCGCAAATTGGAGACCGTGTGTGGTGTTAGTCGACGTACTGTCCAACGGATTCTAAAGGCCCATAGTTTTCATCCGCATAAAATTCACCTGGTACAAGAACTTAATGAAGACGATTCTGATCGGCGATTAAAATTTTGTGAAGATATGAGTGAACGAATTATAAACGATGAACGTTTTCTATTCAACACTTGCTTTTCCGACGAATGTTCCTTTTTTTTAAATGGCGTAGTAAATCGTTATAACTGGCGATATTGGTCCGATTCTAAACCCAGAATTTATGATGAGGTTCATACACAGCAACCACAAAAATTAAATGTTTGGGCTGGTATTTTTGGCGACCATTTAGTTGGTGCTTTTTTCTTACCTGGAAATTTGACCGGTGAAATGTATTTGGAATTACTGGAAGACGCCATAGATCCTGCATTAACAGCCATAATTGAAAATCAGAATGATCGGCGGTACATTGCGAATAGGTTGATGTTCCAACAGGATGGTGCCCCACCACATTACGCATTACGTGTTCGACAATATTTAGATCAGACGTTTCCAGATCGATGGATTGGCAGAAGAGGTGCCATTGAATGGCCCCCAAGATCGCCAGATTTATCACCTTTGGATTTCTTTGTGTGGGGTCATTTAAAAAGCAAAATCTATGCTACTTAGCCAACATCATTAGAAGACCTGCGACAAAGAATTGTGAATGAGTGCCTTCAAATTACTCTTCAAATATTGCAAAATGTGCGGCAACGTTTTGAGCAAAATCTTTATTATTGCATGGAGAGTCATGGTGGCCATTTTCAACATTTACTTGCCTAACGGGTTAGTTCATTCTTCATTTTTAAATTACTTTGCTGCCAAATGTATTGATCTCCACTAATGACGATGTATTAGTTTTATTTAAGCTTTAAATCAATAAATCTTCAAAACTACTGAACTGAAGTACATTAATTTTATATAATTATAAAGGGAATTGAAATTGAAAGACCTTTAAAATAAGGTATCACTCGACCCCCCTTTCCATTTAAGATTTTGGGGGTGGTGCGTTTTAAAAAAAAAACTGAGCTGCCAGTAAATGCGTCTGTTTCGTTTTCGATGCGCCACCCTGTATATATATATCAATGTATCATTCACAAATATTTGAATTTTGCAGTGTTCTAAAATTTCAGAGATATCATTCATTTAAATAATAAATAGTAACTGCCCTAATTTACTCCCCTGTGGCACCACTACTGATATATTTTGAACGCTTGACATAATATTTCCTACTTTATTTTTTTTTACTTATATTTACTAAATGATTTATAAAATGTTTAATACTGATCCTTTAAAACCATAGTGATGCAATTTCAATAACAATTTTCCCTATTAATAGTCTCAAATTCCCTTTTGGAGTCTAAAAATACTGTTAATACATTCTTTCTCATGTATAATTCTTCTCCAGTCTTCCGCCACAATTTGTATTGCTGTTTCTGTAGACTATTTTTTTTTTCAAATCCAGCTTGATTTTTTTGTCTCATCAATGAAATCAATGATTTGTTCGTATATTATCCCTTCGGACAGCTTCTCGACATCGGGCAAGACATTAATCGGTCGCGTATTTGTATACAGCTGAGAATTTTGAACTTTTGGCACAGGAGTAATGATGCAACACTTCAATTTTGACGGGAATTCATCATGTACTAAACATTAATTCACCAATAATAATATATTCTCTCCAATTATATTGAAACATTCATTTAGAACAATTTTGAGAGATTCTCTTACTTGGATTTTTAATAGATTTCAATTCTGAGATTGCTTTTCTTAGATTGTTGATGTTTATTCTCCCAAATTGTTTCATTGTTGAATTATGATATACTTGTAATGAACACAAGTTGGGATCACCGTCATCGATCGTCTTCACTATTTCATTTACACTTTCAAAAAAATAAGTGTTCATTCCTTCTGATATAAATAATTTTTCTGTTACTACCCCATCTTCGAAACGCATTTTAGAAAATTCAGTGTTTCTATTTGGAGAAACAATATTCTTTAATTTTTTCCACATCATTTTAGAATTATTTTCATTTCTATCGCTCTTATTATCGTAGTATTTTTCCTTTTTCCTCCTGAGAACTGCTACACACTCATTCTTTGATTTTGTATATTGTTTACAATCATTTTCACTTTAGGTTATCAAAAATTTTCTGGAGTCGTCATCGCGTATTCATTAAACTCCTTGAATATCTATGAAAAGTAAGCTGTGGGGACAGTTGTGAAGTAATTTTGATTAATTTCAGTCCACTAGTTTGTTTGTGTGCTCATACCGAATCCAAGGTTTGTTAACAGAATTGTATTCCTGACGACATTATCTGTAGAATGAAAAGTACTGGAGACAAACCAAATTTTTTGATGGATACTGAAAAGGTCCAACTAAAACTTAACTTGGAGTCTCATCTGCTTTAATTTTGAATCTAAAAGTTCTTAGGAAATGTCTTTGCTTCCATGCTTTAAATAATGATTTTACGTTCTCGTTTTATTCCCACGAAATTCTCTTGAGTAAGCTAAGTAGGGTCCAAAAAAAAGGAATATCAAATTACTTCTAAATCTTTTTATTGGATAAATATAATAGTAATTTTTAGATTATTTCTATAACTATTTAGAAAAACCGAATAGAATTCAGGGAAGGTATCCCACTATTTCCAATTTAAGGTATCCTGTCATTGCTACTGTTTGATGTAGACATTTTTTCATGCTTTCCATTTTCCACAATTATGAATAAGGTAGAATTGTTCATGATCTGTACAGCTAATACATATTTACTTTTTTGCTTTATTTAATTTATCCCTGTTTATTAATAACTGAGCGCGATTCACGTCGCAACACAGATAGCATTTCTGCCCTGGTACCACTTGAATACTTCTCCAGAGAATAAAAAATGTATACACTAAAACTACACAGTTTTGGCGACAAACAATGCAATGCAGGCTTGGCTCCCTCTAACCTATTCGAATTCTTTGAGTATACCCAAAATATGCAACACTAGCTGCAAGAGTAAACATGTTACAATATGGATTCTGCATGCAATCATAAGTTCTTTTTGTATTTATCAAGACTTATCAGTCTGATGTATTAAATATATTAGATTAAAGCCATATTGCTAGTAGCTAATGTTTTTTGTTACCTAAAAATATGATAAAGCTGTACTGTAATTTTTGCAGGTGGAAGATGACGTAAGTAATCTTGTAGAAGTGTCCAATATAATGATGCAAAACCTAACAATGCTTCCTGTTGATCAAGTTAACAATTGGAACTCCTCACAGATCTATAAACACATGGGTTATTGCCTCCTCAATTTATTTAATTTGCTTCTTGATTGCAAAAGGATTCCAGTCATGAAAACTTTTATCTACAATGTGCTCAGAGGATGCTGTTCTGTGGTTCAGAATATAACAGTTGATGTTTTTTGTTTATGGGCAGAGGTATGTATTTGATACATTGTTGCTAATATAAACAATACAAATAAATGGATCAAGCTCTTGATACTTATCATATATATATTAGATAAGACATTTTATTTTCAACCTGGTTACTCTATTTTTTGTTCACAAAAATTTTTAATGACTGAAACACTTGATAATATTGCTTCAGATGTATGTTTCAAAATACTGGGTGCGCCATCTATTACTTTTTTTACCTATAAGTTGATGGGTTACCATGTGAGTCAAAAGTCATGTGGTATGCATAAATTAACTGTCAAAGGTATGCCATTTATAGTCATGGATTCGTTTACAACACAACAACGCATTTTGGTTATCCAAACTTATTACGAAAACGGTCGAAATATAAAACTTTTCGCAAACTTCGCACTAGTTTTGGCCGATATGGACGCCCTACAGAGCCTGGAATTCGTTGGATTGTTAATCGTTTTGAGGAAACTGGTTCGGCTGAAGGTCGTAGATGATATCAACATGCTAGTCCAGCTCGTACTCGTGAAAACATAGCCGCAGTGAGTGAAAGCGTGCGAGAAGATCCAACCACCTCGACTAGGCACCGTTCGCAACAATTGGGAATTAGTGAGACCACTTTACGCCGGATTTTACACATTGATTTACACCTCCATCCATACAAAATCCAACTAACATAATAATTGAAGCCGGCATACCATCAACAGTGGCGTGTTTTTGTTAATTGGGCTGAAAATCCACACCAATATCATGAACAACCTCTCCATCCTGAAAAAGTGACTGTTTGGTGCGGATTATGGGCTGGTGGCATCTTTGGACCATTCTTCTTTGAAGATGCCGAAGAAAAGGCCATTACCGTCAACGGGGAACGTTATCGCGGCATGTTAACAGACTTTTTGTGGCCACAATTGGATCGCATTGGTACCGACGATCTTTGATTTCATCAAGACGAAGCAACGGCTCATACATCTCGCCAAACAATCGCCTTATTGCACACGAAATTTCAAGACCGCATAATTTCACGAATTCAAATGTCAGTTGGCCCCCGAGATCGTGCGATTTAAAACCTCTTGACTATTTTCTTTGGGGATTTTTGAAAGGAAAAGTGTTTGCGAATGGTCCACGGGTAATTCAAGACCTAAAGCGCAATACTCGGACTGAAATTGCGGCTATAGACCCGATTATTCTGGGAAAAGTCATTGAAAATTTTAATGTTCGGATATTGGCCTGTAAACGAAGCCGCGGTGATCACATGACTGATGTTATTTTCATACACAAATGGCATAAACCAACCTTCATTCATCAATAAAAAAATTAATAATAATAATAAAATGTCTTTATTAGGCACATTATATAAACTACAACACAATGTGACCTCTACGTAGGCGAAGTCTAGCTCTTGGCTACTTAACCTACCCAAATAATAAATTGAAACACTTAATCAAAGGAAACTTTGACAAGCAGCAAAAGACGCTTCAAAACAACGAGCTTGATAGCTTCCTGACATACGTACATATATTACGTAAAAATAAAATAAAATATAAGAATTAAAAACTAACTTTTCCACAATTACTACAATGACAAATAAATCTGTTTCACATAACTTCGATTTCACCTCGTAAAAAGCGTGTTGATTTTTCAAATAGAAAAAAAAAGTAATATATGACGCACCCTGTATTTCAAATGTATTTCTTCACAGATTAAAGAGGATGAAGAAAACCTACAAATTGTGATAGCCAACAAAGCATACATTGTAACCCAGTGCTTTGAAGCGTATCCTGACGCCTCAGGATTGTTATCTATGCTGAAAACCATTGCCAGGAAGCCAAAAACACTGACTGAGCAAATTCGTGAGGCTGACATTCCAAAGATGATCAGTCAGGTTAACAAAGAAAATAGTGATCAGAAGGTATATCGTCAAAGTATAATCATATGCAGTTATAATCCACATGATTATAACTTGCATTTGTAGATGGTTAATTTATCAAATGCTTTATAATGATGATTATTTCTAGGTTTGGTTTCAAGCACTTCTGAGCAGTCCTCAGTTGTTGGATGATAAGGAAGCCCTGAACTGCATCCAGAAGTGGTCCCGTCTTTGCAGTGAAGACGAACTGTTCTGTTTGCTAAACCTGTTTGCTGAAACTAAAAAACCTGCTCTGAAGAACGTTATTATCGACTCTGCAAAAAATTTGAGCTTAGATAAACTGATGTCAGTGATGGTGAAGCATTTTTATAGGAATAAGTTAGATTGCATACTTTCAGATGATGTGGAAGCACAACTGACACTTATTTTCAATAAGATTGGAAAGAATAAATGCCCGGTTGAAAACTTGGAATTAGAAGTTAGTTTGCGGTTATTGCAAAATCCTAAAACAGTCATTAGATTCTTGTACCAGGAATGTTTGAAAAGTTCGTTATTTAAAAACTTTCTTAAAAATGTATTTGAGAGTTTGAAGGAAATCGCAAGGATTAACGACATAGGCGTTTGTGTGTGGAACGACGTTATCAGGGAAAATCTCCCCACTCCAGGAAATGTGAAGAAGTATGCAGAGATGTTTAGCGGGTTACTGGAGATGGATTATATTTCAAACGAAATTGCTTGGCAGAAGATACTATATCCGTTGTTGAAAGTTTTACATGAAAGTGACAATCTCCAATGCTTAAGTTGTACCTTACAAATAGTTCAGGTAAGCTTGACATTTTATTATCTCCCAGCATTAATTAGCATATAATATATATATATATATATATATATATATATCCTTTCAATCTGGAGTATTTCCATCAGCTTTCAAGACAGCAATCATCATACCTGTCTATAAAGCTAATGATAATACGGATGTCACTAACTATCGGCCTGTTTCACTTATATTAAGTTTAGCTAAAGTTTTTGAGAAATTACTCCTTAATTTTCTTAATAAATTCTAAATTTTAAATTCAAATCAATATGGTTTTATAGCGGGCAAATCTACAACAGATGGGGTATTAAGTATAGTAGATGAAATTACCCAAAATACAGATGGAAAAGTACCATCGATATGCGTATTTGTGGATTTACAAAAAGCGTTTGACACAGTTAACCACAATATACTTTTGGAAATCTTAGAAAGAATAGGTTTTCGTGGAAAGATGTATACTTTAATGGGAAATTATTTATCAAATAGACTGCAATCAGTAAATTATTAAACTCATATATGTAGTAAAGAAATGTTTGTTAAATGTGATGTACCACAAGGTACAATTTTGGGTCCTCTGTTATTCAATATTTATTTAAACGATATATTCAAGATTAATAGTAGTGGTAAAATAGTCAGTTTTGCTGACGACACTGCTGTACTCTATAAAGGTAAAGATTGGAACGTCTTAAAAGATGTTATCCAAAATGACTTTTGCAAAATTATTCAGTGGTTTAATAACAGAAAATTAACAAGTAACTTTACTAATACTCATTTTTTACCATTTTCATCACTATCTAATCATCTACCAAAATATAACCACCTTCGTTTTAAGGTAAATGATACAACTTTAAAAATCAATAGAGTTAATGATACAAAATATTTAGGAATTTATCTAGATCCCCACTTGAGATGGGATGTACATATTTCTTACATATTAAAGAAAATTAGATTCATAGCATATAAAATAAAATTTCTAACCAGTATATTAACTGAGTATTATCTACGAATAATATTCAAACTTTAGTCGAGCCGCACATAACATATGGTATAGTAGCACGACATACCTTAACGATTTAGATGTGCTTCAAAGAACAATTTTAGAAATGTTTGGCAAATCAAAAACATACCCAACTAATGACTTAATAATGATGCACAAGTATATGATACTAAACAACTTTACTTCTTACATACCATCACTTATTATCACAAAATTATTAGTGAACGCGACATAATTAAACATAGTCATAACACCAGATATAAGTTACGCGCAAAAAATGTTCCTAAACCAAACAAATCTTTAATGAAACGATGTCACCTGTATTTAGCTCCAAAAATGTACGAACATTTACCAAATAATTTAAAACAATTACGCAATACATTAGGTTTTAAAAAAAATTATTAACACGATTGAGAAAAATCACAATAATAGAATAATCTCAAATATTAGACAATGAATGCTCTATCATTCTTACCAATCATTTTTTTCTCTATTCTTTTTTTATCTTTTGCAATTCAACATACATATGATCCATGCACGGATATTGTCCTCCTATGGATATATTATATTTATTTATTCGTTTCATGTTCATTGTAAAGTCTCATAAATATTTTCTTATTTTATTCCATAAATAGAAATACTTAGAATATTTTTACAAAGATAAATTTATTACCAAACGAAAGCCTAAACATTAATTTTATTTATGGAAAAGAGTATCGGATAAATGAGCACCGTTCATGTTTTCACACTCTCTTAATCTCGAACTGAAGTTTTCGATCACTCTCCGAAGCATTGCTCGAGGAATGGCGTTTATTTCATCTGTTATTTTTTGCTTCAACTCTCTCAAATCTTGTGGCGGTGGGGTGTATACCTTACTCTTCAGGTATCCCCATAAGAAAAAATCTGCTGGTGTCAAATCGGGACTTCTCGGTGGCCAGTTAATGTCTCCTCTGCGACTGATGACCCTCTCTGGGAATAACTGATGAAGAGCATCCAAGGATTCATTCGTGACATGAGAAGTCGCTCCATCTTGCTGGAAAAACGTGTTTCTATTGTAGCCACCATGGTTCTGTATAGCTGGAGTTAAAAAAGTTCTAATCATGTGGCAGTAGCGCTCAGATGTTACATTTTAAGCTTGGCCACGATTGTCTTCAAAAAAATACGGGCCAATGATTCCTTGCCCTGACATAGCAGCCCAGACGATAACTTTAGGCGAGTGTAATGGCGTCTCATGAAGATTTTGCGGGTTCTGCTCGGCCCAATATCGGCAGTTTTGTTTATTAACATGCCCGTTAATGTGAAAATTCGATTCATCAGAAAACCATATGTTGTTGTAACCGTTAAAATGCTCTCTCATTGTTCTACAGAACTCTAATCGATTAGCGGGATCTTGTGGTTTTAATTGTTGTGTAACAACAATCTTGTATGGGTGAAAATGCAAATCCTTGCGAATAATGCGATGAACAGTTGACTTATGCAAAGTTAGAGACGCTCCACGCAGTCTTAATGATTGCCGGGGATCCTCGTTAACGGACTGGCGCACACGTTCAATATTTTCGTTCGATCTTGCTGACCTTGGCCGTCCAGGCGGTTTACTAATACACGTGTTTCCAGTGCTCTCGAACTTTCTTACCCAATATTTAATTAAATTTGCGCTTGGGACATCTCTCATTCTTGCTATGTTATAATGATTTCTGTACAAACGACGTACAAGCACATAAGAATCCTTGTTTTTATAGAACTCGCGAACACAAAAAGCACGTTGCGGCCCTGTAAAACGCTCCATTGCAACTAAAATTTAAGAATGTTGCCAAACGTTTGTCAACTGTCTCGTTTCTCCGGAGCATGCGTATTCCGCCAGAGGACTGATCTAAAAACGAAAATATTTCTGAGACACCCTTTATTTTAGAGTAAATAAATATTATTATTATATTATATCCTACCAGCAGATATCCAATCCAATTGAAAGCAGTATTTGCTTGAAAATGAGGTACGGTGGTGCCGTCAAACATTATTGCATACAATTATATAGAAATTGACATGTTTTATTACCGTCTCTGTCACCACGACCCACCGCAGACAGCCCTGTTTCGTCCTCATTAGCAACTAATGAGTGCGATATAGGTCTAGTAATCCTGGAGACAGATGGATGGAAAGCAAACAAATGGATATGGTCGTTAGGGAAGCTCGAAATATTGGGCGGATGTAGCTGAAAAATCTGACGATATCCAGCAGGCATGTTATGGAGGTTCGGTTCCGATTCTGAAAAGTCGGAACTTCCGATTGTTTTTAAGCTTCCGATTTCGGTTGCGAACTTTTAATTCGGAGGTTCTTCAAATAATTTTATCAAATACACTCAGAACCAAGTTTGTCTGACCGCTTGAGTTCAATGTGTACGAAAGAGAAGTGTGTATAAACCACCACCAACTTCAAGAGGCAGACCGCCCAGGGCCGTAAACTGGGCAGGCAACTGAGTAGGTGCACCGCGCTGATTGGCCGATTGGCAATGATAGTCGCAATAGCACCCCCTCCGTAATAAAAAAGACAGGTCAGGATCGCTGCTGCACTTGTCTGTATGCCATTGCTCACGAATATAGCCTGCTAAACAGTGCTGTGCGAGTAATTGTTATTTTTGTTGTCGTTTCTGTTCTGCTAGATAGAAGCCGCCTGAAAAGCTCATCATGCGTGGCCTGGCAATGCTGACGCGGCAATCTGCCGCGTCGCCAATATGTTACTCCAATTCCTTGAATTAAGACGCATATTGAAAATATGCGTTAGTTTATTCCTTAGGCCCAAATATTTTGAGGTATACACATTTTTGAATTGTGTCGAATTTGTTTAGGAATGATTCTCGATCGGTCATAACGGCGCTCCATTTTAGATCGAAATGAAAGGTCAGGATCGCCACAAATTCTTCAACATTGCATCATTGGTTCGTTTGATAACACCGTAGTGTTCATTCCAAGCTAAGGTTTCCACCTCCATGATCATAGTTGAGCAATTTCACCTGCGTACACGCAGGTAGTGATATTGCGTATTGCGCAAAATGTAACAATAACTCAGGATGTGTTGATTTTATCATCATCGGTAGAAATCAAAGATGTTTCTAAAATAAATTAAAGCACCAAAGCCCTGGTCGTACAGCTGTCGCGTCAGTGATCGCGCCCAATATCCCGTCACATAAATTCCGCTCATTGTGTCCGTATAAAAGAAATACAACAAAAATCGTGTTTTTAATGAAGACTAAATATGTATATTAAAGAAACTGGGACCTTTAAAACGTATATGTATACTAAGTGACATATACATAAATCCGAACACCCAGTTTAAATGGTTTTATTTTAATAAAATTATGTATAAGTACTTAATGAAGCATAATAAGTATATGATAAAAATTTCAAAATGATTGCACTGCTTTAAAGCCCTTTGACCTTTAATAATGTGTGGTTGCACCCTGATGTGCTACGCATTCTCCAACGCGCCTAGGCCTTCTTCTGATCAGGTGGTCAATGTCCTCCTGTGGTATCTCATTCCAGGCAACCACCAACTCCTCTCGAAGTGCTTCTAGAGTCTGAGGAGGACGTTGCAAATTGAGCAATCTCCTACCCATCATATCCCACACGTGCTCAATTGGGGATAAGTCGGGAGATCTTGGTGGCCATGGTAACAATGTGACATGATTATGTTGAAAGAAGTCTATTGTGACTCTTGCAACATGTGGTCGGGCATTATCTTGTTGGAAAGTTGGATCTGCCAGGGTGTCAAGATAGGGTAAAAGACAAGCCAAAACTTCTCATTCGTCGGTAAACATTTCGCATGCCAATAGGTCTTCCGTGTTCTGCAAACCATTCATTTGCAATGGACCTGGTAGTGGAGAAACGGTCCCTTAAGGCCAATAATCTTAGGCGGCGATCTTCACGGTCTGTTGTTCTATGGCGGCGTCCAGTGCCCCTTGCTCTTTGCGTACGGCCTTCTCAAAGTCATGCCTGACAACACCTAACCACAGTGTCTACACTTCTTTGCACTCTAACTGCAATTGCCCGAAAAGAAAGTCCAGCTTCCCGAAGTCCCACTATACGGCCCCTATCAAACTCACTAAGTTGACGAAATCGTACAGGTCTCCGTACTCTAGGCATCGTAACCGATCGTAAAGGATGTCAAGAACCAAAATCCGCCAACGTTGATTCTTTACTGTGGCTGAAATATTCATTTTTAGAGCGTTAGTGAATTAAAAAAAAGCAGTATAAAAACCGGAATGTCCAACTGATAAGGCTGAAAATTTTTTCACTTGTTATTTACAGTAAGATAAATACATTCACCATCTTTTATTAAAATAAAACCATTTAAACTGGGTGTTCGGATTTATATGTCACTTAGTATATATAAACGTTTTTAAAATCGACAAAAATCTTTAAATCTCAGCAAAATAAGATTTGTTAGTTTTAGATATATACAAAGTATAAAATATGTATGTACATAAATATATTTAGTAACACAAAACAATGAAATATAAAGTCACCTATAAGGTCAAAAACAATTATATGTTGTCGTTTGTTTCCTCTTTCTCTTTAAAATGGGGTCTTGAAATCGTTTTTCTAATTTAGAAAGAAGCTACAAAGACTATCTCACTGATTTTTGACAAGACTTTTGAGTTGCTTGCTCAGAGAATAGCTGTATCATAATTTGGAATAGCAAAGCAAAGCTTCTGTTGCTACTGGAACCTTATCGGAATTTTCGGAAAGTTCTTGTATTTCAACTGGACTTTCAATTTCTTGACCTAAATCTAGATCTTTAACATACAAACTTTCAGCTAGGTTCAAAAAATCATAAAGGTTTACATTATCAGTCAATTTCAATGAATTCTTATTTTTGAGGATATCTGAAAGTACATTCAGTGGTAAGTCATCTTCTGGGTCAGGTGTATCAGACTCATGAAACTGGTCTTTACTTTGCATATTTTCATGCTTAAATCCTGCTTTGTGGAATCAATTTTGCACTGTTTCTTTGGTTAGCGGCTTTTGCCAAATAAACTTCATCCAGTGTCGTAATTTTTTTATCGACTCAAAAGCTGTACCAGCAGTTCCAATGTTTACTAGCAGGTGTTTGAGCATTAGACTTCGGTAAGAAGTTTTAAAACTCTATAATCCCTTGGTCAAGTGGTTGGATGTACAATGTTTGTCCGGAAAGTAATAGGACTGAGTTGATTTAAACAAATTTATTGAGCCAATCGTTACAATTCTTTAAAAACTGTCAAAATAGGCTCCTTCTGCGTCGACGCAGCGCTGCCAGCGCGATTTCCAAGCATTGAAGGCGTCACGGAAGGCATTCTCCGGAATAGCCTTGAGAGCCGCGGTGCATGCTGCTTGGATCCCCTCTGTCGTCTCAAAATGCTTGCCTTTCATCGGCCTTTTCAGGCGAGGAAACAAAAAAAGTCCGGGGGGGGGGGCACATCTGGGCTGTAGGGCGGCTGCGGAAGCGTTGGGATGCCGGCCTTGGTCAGGTAGCTGTTCACAAGAAAGGCGGTGTGAGCCGGGGCGTTGTCGTGGTGCAACTTCCAGTCGGCTGCGATGTCTTGTCGGACCCGACTGACCCTTCGTTTGAGTCTCCTGAGCACTTCCACGTAAAACTTGGCGTAGACGGTTTGTCCAGGAGGAACAAATTCATGGTGGACAAATTCATGGTGGACGATGCCTTTGATGTCAAAAAAGACAATGAGCATCGTTTTCACTTTGGATTTGCTCATTCTTCCCTGTTTTGGGCGAGGAGACGCCGTCGTCTGCCACTCGGAAGATTGCCTCTTTGTCTCGGGATCATACTCAAAGATCCACGACTCGTCACCTGTGATTACGTTATTCAATAATTGGGGGTCACTTTCACACATGTTCAAATTTTCTTGGCACACTTCCACTCGCTGCAATTTTTGGTCGTCAGTGAGCACTTTTGGGACCATCTTCGCGCACACCTTGCGCATGTTCAAATGCTGTGTCACAATGTCATGACATGGTAAATTTTACATCTGGGCAATTAAACGAATACTTATTCGACGGTCTGAGTTCAAAACTTTGCGCACACGAGTCACATTATCGGTGTTTGTCGAAGTCGAAGGTCTTCCAGTACGGTCTTCATCAGCGACCTCTTCCCGGCCCTCCAAAAAGGCCTGGTGCCACCGAAACACACCACTTCTTGCTAAAGCAACACCTGGGTAAGCCTGCTTGATCATATCAATCGTCTCTGTCGCAGATTTACCGAGTTTCACACAGAATTTAATCGCGTACCTCTGCTCTAACGAACGCTGCATTTTCGGCTTGCACCACTCACAGAAACACGACGCGCGAAAATGCCTATCCTGACTCTCCAAGTGCTCGTAGACAACTGACCAGCCGCTCATTCGTTAGCTAGGAACGCCCTCTACCGAATGCAGTCCTATTACTTTCCGGACAAACCCTGTACAATTAGGGGGCGAACATACGATTTTTATATTATTTAAGCCGATTAATGTCTTTTTGGATGAGATCCCGCGTTGTCTAAAAATAACAAAATGTTTCTTTTTTCTTTAGCCATTTTCCAATCTAGGTCTTACAACCAGTCGGTCATAATTTGTAGCCATGTCTACAATGAATGTGTCGTCCACTATGTCTTTTCTGTTTAGACGTCAGACTAATACTGAATGGAAATTTAATCGAAAGAGTGTACCAAAGAATACGATCGTTAAATCCCCGACTAACTCCCTAGACCCTAATTCACGCTGGGCAAAAATGCACCCATAGGCTGCGTTCGTACCGAAAGATGAAAGTCGGTAAATCCCGGGTTTACTCGCAATAGCGATACTCTCAACAAAAAAGAAATAAAATAAGGCATTTCTTTTTATTTTGTTTTTATCCTGATAGGAGAACATTTTCTCGTGTCCGCGTCGGTTCAAGGAAATGTCGTCCAAGAGAGAGTTAATATAATGCAAATTATCATCACTGTAGTTCCAATTTATTGTTATAAAGTTTTATTCATTCTGTATTTTTTTAGAACTCGAAGCTAAAGATTCACCGAAATCTGGAGAACAAAGAGGGTATCGAGTTTCTATTAACACTGATGACAGAATACAGATGCAAATTTTTCACATTCAATAGTCTGAAACAACACATTGTCAAACTCATTGTTGATATTATTCTGGACTCATGCATTGTTTACAAAGAAGGTAAGACACTTCACCCACTGGAGCGAAAATGTTGCCAATTCGCCTGTTGTAATTTTTGCATAAAAAAAATCATTTCCAGATAAACTGATATTACCCAAGGAAGATATGTTCAGCAGTTACTATAAGAACTACTTGACCGGTGATACAGAGAATTTCTTTTTTCAAACTTTGTGTCCAACATTTGATATTAGCAAGCATGGAGAATGTGTAGCTAAAATGTTGCAGGTACTGTATTTACCATTATGCCAAAATTAGTGTTTAAAAAAATCTGTCATGCCCGCATTTCTTAAGTGGTGCGAATAAGCCTTAAAAAACACATTTTATTATATGTTTATATGAATATTATATTTTTAAGTTTTTGATATTGCAGATCTTGCCCCTAGCTGTGACACGAGAGTGGCTAATCATCACAGAAGGCATAATCAATATTGGAGGGGCGGCTAGATGCACAGAATTACTGACGGACATGTTGATAATGCTTTGTCAACTAGTAAGAACTCAAAATTTTGAATCCGCCGAGTCACTTAAAGCAGCTCTAAAGTACAACATACAAAATTATGGAATATCTGTACAGGTAAATAATACAGGGTGTTTAAGTTTATTGTTGCATAACTTTAAGATTCGATAGAAATTTTTAAAATTAATGCATTAAGTCTATATTAACATGGGTCGCAAAAAGCGTAGCTTCCGAAATACAGGGTGTTTAAATTTACTTTCTAAAATAGTTTTTTTTAAATATTTCGAACAATATTTGATGTATAACAGTGAAAATTGGTATACGACAAAACGAACCATGGGCATAGTTTTACTGTAGCCGCTAGAGGGCGCTCTCTACTGTACCTGTAGTGTATTAAAATGACCGAAAATTTTTTCTTAGTGCAATTTTTTGCCTTTTTTAATAAAAAAAACTGATTCTTCGCACTTTTCAACATAAAAATGCTCTCTTGTGAATTTTCGTTATAGTTAGCCGTTTTTGAGATATTTCGATTTTTAAGGTCGATGCATTTTTAATTATTTATGATAAAATAACGTTAAAAAGTCAGTATCACGATAATTTTTAGAAGTAGGCTGAGCCTGCAAATATTTTTGAAATTGAAAGCAGAATAAGGTTAAACGTCAATTAGTTGACAGTTAGTTTTGTTGTCTGTTGAAACCTGAAACGTTTTTTTGCAATTGTGAATGCACGAAATTTAGTTTCTTTTACCTGTTTTTTTTTTGTTAGTTTTATAAAAATGCGATTTTTATTCTCCAATCAAGAGTTAGCGGATATTCATTTTGTGTATGGCTTTGTAAATGGAAACGCAGCAGAAGCAGCCAGGGAATACGCACGAAAATTTCCAAACAGACGACATCCAACTCGCTCAGTATTTGTAAGAGTGCATCGTAAAATAATTGAAAATGGTTTTGGAAATCTCCAAAGGGATCAAAACATAAATGTTCGTCAGCGCAGATTTACCCGTATGATTCTGCGTGAGTTTGATAGAGATCCGACCACAAGTGTTAGGAGAGTTTCTGGTGCCTTGGAAATTTCAGCAATCCATGTTCACCGTGTTCTTAGAAATGACCATAGACGTCCTTACCATTCGCAACCTGTGCAAGGACTACAGCCAGGGGACGGAGAACGAAGAATCACATTTTGTCAGTGGATTCGCATGAAAATCCGCATGCAGTTCGGGAAAGAAATTTTCAGCATGAATTTAGTGTGAACGTGTGGATTGGTATCTACCGTAATCGACTATTTGGACCCTACCTTTTGCCTGCAAGGTTAAATGCTGCGACCTTCTTGGAATTTTTAAAGGCTGAACATGTAAATATGTGGGATGATGTTATGTTAGATTTAAGAAGATTGGCCTGGTTCCAGCTTGATGGTTGTCCAGCTCATTATTCGAGAATAGTTAGAAACTGGCTGGACAACAATTATCCAGAAAGATGGATCGGCCGTGGAGGACTAGTCGCCTGGCCTCCACGATCCCCTGACCTAAATCCATTAGATTTCTTTGTGTGGGGATTTCTAAAAGAAACAGTGTACCAGACTCCCGTAACCACAAGAGATATGCTAATAGATAGAATCAGGAATGCATGTGATGAAATAAGGCCTTATTTGAATAATGCCTTACCACGTTCGATCATTCGTAGATGTGAATTGTGTATTGAATAATTGGGTTTACATTTCGAGCAACTACTTTAGATTTTGTATGTTTGTCCTAACTATCCAATAGCATTTTAGTTGTAAATAATTAATTTAATTTATTAAAAATAATATTGGAAAATTAGACAAATTAATATTCTGTTTTTTGTGTTTATTTGGAGTTAGGACTTATCGCTGTGTTTAAAAACACAATCTAAACGGTCATCTTAATTACTTGTACTGCCCAAATCGAAAATGTAAAAAAAATATTATTTTCCCATAGATAATTGAAAATGCATCGAACCTTAAAAATCGAAATATCTCAAAAACGGTTAACTATAACGAAAACTCACAATAGAGCTTTTTATGCAGAAAAGTGCGAAGAATCAGTTTTTTTATTCAAAAAGCAAAAAATTGCACTAAGAAAAATTTTTCGGTCATTTTAATACACTACAGGTACAGTAGAGAGCGACCTCTAGCGGCTATAGTAAAACTATGCCAATGGTTCGTTTTATCGTACCAAAAAACACTTGTATACCAATTTTCACTGTTATACATCAAATATTGTTCGAAATATTTAAAAAAAAACTAGTTTAAAAAGAAAATTTAAACACCCTGTATTTCGGAAGCCACGCTTTTTGCGACCCATGTTAATATAGACTTTATGCATTAATTTTAAAAGTTCTATCGAATCTTAAAGTTATGCAACAATAAACTGAAACACCCTGTATATTGCAAGACTATATTAATTTAGTTTTCAAGTTGCAATGGTCTTCACGTGCACGTGGATAAATGCAGGCGTTGCAGAACTTTAAGTTGATTATATGTCAAATACTGTCCTATTGATCGCTGGTATCATTTTCAGCAAAAAATTCTACATGATTCGCCTATAGAGACAGAGGTTCAAGTCAACATACAAGTGTGTCGTCTACTTTCTTATCTGCCGTCAGTTGTGAAAGAAGAGGAGGGACTGTCACTTGCAAATATTCTAACCGAGAGATCTCTGAAGTCGTTGAAAGATGATAAGGAATTTTTATGTTTATTGCTACTTATTGAACACACTAATATTTGTAAAGTACTGGCACAGAAAATAACCACTTAAATATTTATAACAGCGGCATTTTACATATGTCTGATTTTGGTTTTCTGGTGCAATTCTTGATTTGTATACATTTTATAGCCAACACCACCGAGCCTTATTGTTAAAAAGGCAACAACCCTCCCAAGTATTAATGAACGCCAACACACTTACACTTGCGAGTATGAGTGGCGATAAAATTAGCCATTGATTTGCTACCAATAAAATATTCATTTTCAAGAATAACACTTTTATGACTTCTTATTTATAGTCCACTTCGTTTAACTAAAAGGTAACATACAGTTTTAGGTGTATTGACAGCATAAATCACTTCTCTGCCGATCGAGAGCTGTGTGAAACGTATACAGGGTGTCCCAGAAGTCGACGTCAAGCCGAAACCGGGTGATAGACAAAGTCATAACAGCTATCAGAAAAATATTTAAAAAAATTCTAGAAAAATATTTAAAAAAATTCTATGTATGTGTTTTGAACCACGTACAGCGAGTTCAAGCTCTTCTGCCCCGGGATTATGAGCCCCGAGTTGCTTTTTGTCGCACAATGTTAGAAAGACACAGGGAAGATCCACGGTTCTTTGAAAAAATTTTATGGTCAGATGAGACCACATTTAAGAAAGATGGGTACATGAACCTGAACGAGTGGCACGTAGCAAACCCACATTGGATGGGAGAAGATAAATCTCAATATCGCTTCAAGATAAACCATTGGGCAGTAATTTTAAATGGAAAAATAATCGGTCCGTTTGAGTTCCCAGAGACTTTGACTGCTGAGGTTTATTTAGGTTTTTTGCAAAATCATTTAGAAAATTTATTCGAGGACGTGCCACTGAGTATTTACAGGGACATGTGGTTTCAGCATGATGGCTGCCCAGCGCACTATGCACTCTCAGTGAGAGAGTATCTCGATCAAAACTTTCCTGGCAGATGGATAGGACGGTCTGGTACAATACCGTGGCCAGCCCGGTCACCAGATTTGAATCCGTTAGATTTTTTTACTGGGGAACTGTAAAAGAAAAAGTGTAGTTCAAGCAGATTCAAAATGTAGCTGAGCTACGGTAAAGACTATTGGAAGCAGCTGAGTTTGTTAATAACCGTGGATTCGCTCGTTTAATAACCCTTTTCTTTTTAAGAAGATGTCGAGCGTGTATTGCGGCTGAAGGAAAACAGTTTGAGCATTTGCTGTAAAGGTAAATCATCATCAGCAGCATTTTGACGCCCACTGTTGTGCAAACAGTTATCCTTAAGGGTCGTTGTGCGTTTTCATAATCGCTGTTTAATTAGGAAATTTTGAAATATTTTCATCAGTTTTTCTTCAAATAAAAATTGTGCATAAGTTAACGAGTAATCTTCTAAGTGTTATACCATTTTGGAATCTTTATTAAATGCGCCAACTTTTAAGGTTACTTGCCAAACTCTCGTAGTACATTTTTTTCCAGTACAGCCAGTTAAAGTTGAGCAAAGTTTTACTTTGGAATACTTGGTTGGGAAATAAGTGGCAATTTTTCCTGAACGAGAAAAGTTGGCAGTAAGGTTGAGACACCAGTTTGAAGATGCATTATTCATCATTACATTGTAAAAATAAAATCCAAAAAAAGTTAATATTTGTAGTAACAGGAGTTGATAGACTGCCGTAGGGTGTGAAATTTCTATATTTTTTTCAAAGACATAATTTTCAAAACACATACATAAAATTTTTTTAAATATTTTTCTGATAGCTGTTATGACTTTGCCTATCACCCGGTTTCGGCTTGACGTCGACTTCTGGGACACCCTGTATACAGGGTCCGGCAATTTTTTTTAAATGGCTCCTACTCTCCGCCTATTCGGGCGAGAGTGGTTCGAAATCTGATGAATTTCACACAAACCATAGCAGAAAACATTGACAGAGGATTACAAACAGATGTGATCTACACAGACTTCTCCAAGGCTTTCGACAGAGTTGATCAAAGGATGCTATTATCCAAGTCTTTAATACAACTATTTAAGTCCTACCTCACTGGAAGAAATCAATTTGTTGTGTTTAATGGCATGAGATCGTCGGAGTATGTAGCCAATTCCGGAGTGCCACAAGGGAGTAACCTAGGGCCTTTATTGTACGTCATATTTGTGAATGACATAGTTAACGCTGTTGGCGAGAATTGTTTACTTTACGCTGATGATCTGAAGATACTTTGTCGTGTAGTTAATGAATCAGACTGTGATCAATTTTTAGAAAATCTGGTTAGATTGGATGCTTGGTGCCCACAAAACAATCTACCATTAAACATCAATAAATGTTACGTAATGTCTTACACTTTGAAGAAAAATCCTCTGTTATTGACTACACCCTGTCAGGTACCTCTATTCAGAGGACTTCAACTTTATGTGACTTAGGCGTAACGTTTGACTCCCAACTAACATTCGTCAAACACATTGACATACAAATTTCTGAGGCAAACCGCATGTACGGCTTTATTGTAAGAAACTGCCGTGACCTCTCAGAGTACCACCTTGATGTTGCTGTATTATGCATATGTTAGGTCGAAGCTTGAGTATGCATTGCTAATTTGGAATCTGCATCATATTCATATAAGTAGGCTTGAATGTGTTCAAACACGTTTCTTAAAATATTTGTCACTGAAAGTGGATGGCGTTTACGCGCCCATAGGTATACCTCATGATTCCTTACTTGAAAAACATCTAATCAGCAGTCCTGAAGCAAGGCGCACTTGCCAGTCAGTGATTTTTCGGTTTAAAGCGATCAATAATGCTAGTGATGGTTTAGCTTTCTTGGGTCAGTTGTCATTTAACGTACATCCCGACAAAACGTTTTATGTTTTATCTACCTGCGGCACGGACAAATTATTTACATTATTCCCCTTTTTATGTGATGTGTAGGAATTACAATTCTGCAAGTAACCGGATTGATATATTTAACTGCAGAATTGCAGACATAAAAAATACCATTAGGTAACCAGCATGTGTCTTTTACTCTTTGTAGTCTATTACTTATTACATATTGTCTTTTATATCTATGTTATGTTCTGTGTTTCCTCACCCTGTAAGTGGTATTCGCTGTAGGGTGTTGTAATGAATAAAATAAAAACTCTGGACGAGTTGAAGGAGGCAATTCGCGTGGAAGTCGCCGAAGTTGAGCGAACGATGTTGGAGAGACTCTGTCTCCAGCAATGCATCGGCAAAAACGGTCACCACATGACTGATGTGATTTTCCACGCTATTTCATTGTGAATCCGTCAATAAATGTGTTTTAGAGTAAAAATTACCGATTTTGTGAAAAACCGTCCGACCTTTGTGCCGGACCCTGTAGCTATAGATATTTAGGGACGCCCCTAGAAAGTGTCGTTCGACGTCAACAAAGCTTCTGGTCTGGACTCGATTCCTGCCATTGCACTGAAGAGATATGCAGCAGCGCTTGCTCCAGTTCTTTCGGGTATTTTCAAGATATGAATCCGGCACTTTCCCATAAAATTGGAAATTTGCTCATGGAGAGCTCATCCAAACAAAATAGTCTAAGACTGGACCCTTACAACTGCACCTCTGCTGTTATAAGTAAGGTGATGGAGAGACGGAGCTCTCCATCTTCCATCCTATGGCCTCCCAGAGAAGCTTTGCAGATGGGTGGCCGACTCCCTTTCTGGGATACCCGTCGTAGTTGACGGGTGATCTCCAGAGATTGTTCTGGGCTCTGACAATGTTAAAATTGATATACTTCATTTTTCTGTTGATGTTACAAAAAACATATAGGGATTTGTCAATCAAACTTGAAACTAGGGACAAAAAACAACAGTAAAATAAAAACAAATTTGCCACAGTTAAAACATTAAAAATGCCTACAAGAGAAAAACTCTTCACACTAAAAACCCTGATCGATCAAATTTCGTTTGAAGGACCTAACGTTTGTTTCTAACTTAACCTTATCTGCCTAATCTAAGGAGTTGGGGATAATGAAAGAAAATGATGTCGAGTATCAAAATATTCTTTATTCATTTCTCACATTTTTTCTGTTTTGAACAGAATTTTGGTTATAATTAATACAATGGTCCTGTTTGCTAAGGCATTTTTCATGTACTTACAGGTAATACAGTACGGATGCTGCAAAAAAATAAAAAAGTAATATATACCATGTAGATAAAATATGCAAAAATCGTATGGTATGTTTTTCAAAAAGCTATCTATCCCTGTCGCTATCGCTACAGTGAAAAATTTAAACAGAATTGTACCACTTATGCATATTTACAAGCACTAATAATTTTGCGATGTTCTCCCAAATTGAGAAAAAATGAAGTAAACTTTCCAAAATGATTTATGAGTGTGGTTGTCCCTTGTCCTGTCCAATAAAACTTCAAGAATTATTCCAAATTTTTTCTAAGAACACATTGACCAGAATAAGAGAAATGGGTCAGGGACGAGAGTTTGAGGAGTTTCTAAGGAGACTATCTCACCTTTCTCCTTTATGCATAAGATGGAAAGCTTCATTCAGTTGCTCAAACTTCAATTGATGCGAAATAAAGTCATCCAACTTCAGTTTGTTGAGCAGATATTCCTCGACTAGTTTTGGCACGCTGTCACGACTTTTCCATCCTGAAATAAAGGCATTGTTATTAGAATGAGGTTTTGAGTTCTTACAACATGGAATAAGATTTTTTTTGTATTTCCTACTATTATTTACGTGAATATAATACAGTAAACACATATTTCATTCATGGAATTTTTAATTAAATACTCGTATTTAAAACTGCAATGCCAATGATCATTTAAACGCCGCATTTTTGGCGCGCTTCGCAGAGACATCACTGGCCGCTTACGTCATGTTTATCACTAAAATTACATTAAGCAAAAATCAAATCCAAGCGAATAACCACAATTTCTGTGTTATGTGCCGCGGTTATAATATGGTTCAAGATGACACACGGGTTGATGACGTCAGTTACACGAATCGCTTGAACGCGTTGGTTTTAACCGCGGTTTTGTTGCAAGTTGTTTATTTTAGAAAAGCGCGTATATAATCTCTGATTATTTTTATTATCACTTAATAATCGGTGCTTTTTCGTCTACAACTGTATATGGAAAGTTTAAATAAGAAACCTTTCATAATATTCATGGGAGAATGTGTTTTTCAGATTTTTTTTAATGATGGAACCATGGCTTTGTAGCTATGATAACTTTCAATTCTCTTAATTTTTCCGCATTTCAAAGAAAACATTTATTGATTCAGCAGAAATGATGAAAAAAGAAATTAGCAAAACCGTATACAGGTGGATATCATCTAGTGAGTTTATATGGCCATATTTTAATATTCTTGTGGTATATGGCTACACAGGATACTTTGTTAAGCATAGGAACTACATTTAAAGTGTCCCAAACAACCGTAATGAGTATAACTAATAAGGTGCTCCACTTTATGGTAAAACTGAAGTCAGCCTGAATCATGTTTCTCAAAAATGAAGCTGAAGTACAATAACAATATCCAATACCCGGCAAAATTCTAACTTGTCACATTTCAAATAATAACCAGAAATATAAAACTACTCTTGAGTTGGTAAATACCACAATTTTGCGGTGATAACTATGACATATAACAGCTGATTCGTGACGTCACGGATCTTATAACCAAACTGATAACTACACTCGCTTGAACGGATTGGTAAATACCAACCCAAAATGGTAAATACCATTTCCATTTGGTTATCCGCTTGAAATTGATTAAATTCTTTTGGCTGTGGTTCTAACCCAAGGTCGACCAATGTACAGGCTGGCCAATATATAACTGACTGATTTAAATTGCGCGCCATTTTTGATGCACGCATTTCAGTAGGTGACGCCATAAGTAGTTGTTTAAACCACATATGTCCAATTCATCATCGAGCGATACACGATCCCATAACGCGTCCGTATTGTTAAACGTTAAAACGTTTTACTTAAATAACGAGTCGATTGTTGCAACGATTCGGAAGCTACGACAAGATTTCGATCAAAATAATGTGCTCAGTGTCAACACCATTCGCCAGTTGGTATCAGAAATTTAAACAAACAGGTGAAGTTAAAGATTTGCCAAGGTCGGGCTGTGTTCGTACTCCGGAAAATATCGAGAGTTCGTGAAAGTCTAGTGAAGCGCCCTGAGACGTCTACCAGACATCGTCCTCCAGTACTTGGTATTCGTCGCACGTCATAACGCACTATTTTAAAACAAAAATTTGCAAATGCGGCCATAAAAAAATCAGTTAACCCAAGAACTACAGCCTAGTGTCCATGAAAGTCGCTGACAATACAGTCATGCATTATTGCAGCTTAATACCCAAAATAACGATTTTTACCGACAACTGATAATGAGCGATGAAGCACACTTCGATATTAGAGAATCCACGTGTCATCCATCAAGGGCCACTACCCCACCACTGGCGAGCGCTACCGTGATATGGTGCAAAACTTTTTGGCTCCTTAAATCCAACAATTTAACCTGCAAACCATGTGGATCCAGCAGTAGGGAGCAGCTTATCACTCAGCTAAGGAAAAAATGAATCTTTTTCGAACAATATTTCCGGGACGTTTAATTTCTCGATTTGGTGATGTCAACTGGCCGCCAAGGTCACCGGATTTAACGGCTCCTAGCTTTTTTATGGAGATTTTTTGTAAAATTGGGTTTATGCCAGCAAACCAAATACTGTAGAGCAGCTGAAGAACAATAACGATTGAAAATATTCCTCCCAACACCTACCAAAAAGTGATGGAAAATATAATCAAGAGGGCTCAGGCTTGGGCGGCTTCTAAACGCGAACATTTGTCTGATATTATTTATCATACATAATTTCTAAGTTTCAATAAAAGATTCAAGATGAAAAAATGGACATATTTTACTTCATTTCACAAATATTCAAGATAGAAACCAGTCAGTTATGGCATATGTCATGGATTTGGAGTGAATTGCAAATATGGAGCAACAATATTTAGTATTTACTGTTTTAGTTTCATGTTCTGAGAGTCCAAAAACATCAAGCAAGACATGAAAAGTTAAAAATTTGCAGCACAATTTGTAGTAATTATTTTGCAAGTCGCGAAAACGTCATTATCAGAACCATTCTCGACCTCTGCTAAAAAATCCTGCAATTTTTATGTCAACCACAACCGCAATCGCTTGCGAAAAGAATTTGCTCATTGAAAAGCTGGAAAATAATGCAAACATCAAACTGTTAAAATGACAATCAATGACAGTGAGAACAAACGCCTGCCATTTTATATCAACAATATTGATCGTGGTAGAATAAACGATTTTAAAACATTCTCGTTGGGCCTGTTTAGCAAGAGTTTCTATTGCACTGTGCCCAAGTCTGAAGCATAACCTGAAAGCACCCCATTGCTTAAAATTGATATCACTCATTTTTAGAACACAAAAACTGTTTCCCAAAAATGACTCGAGCGAGTTCAAACTTGCACTGAAGGCGGATCACATGTCCCCCTGTCTTCCCTCCAAGCTCGGCGCTTCCAGTATTGCCAGATCGAACGCTACGTTGCCACTCTCATCACTTAATTTACAGACCTCGTACTAACCTCCAAAAGCAGTTCCCTTCCAAACACGTCCCGTCACCAACTGGAATGGCCTGGTAGAGATTTCTTGACCGGCGCCGGCAACTCCGACAATGGTCGAAACTCCCCAACCTTTGTGGCACGACTCGAGGGCCGCGCGCATGGTGTTGACGTTTCCGACGCATTCGAAGGTGAAGTCCGGGCCACCGTCTGTCAAATCGACCATCACTTCTTGAATCGGTTTCTCGTAGTCCTTGGGGTTGACGAATTCGGTGAAGCCAAATTTCTTTGCTGGAAAAGACATAAACATTGGTTACAGATCACAGAGGTGATCAAATAAAAAAAAATCCCGAAAAATGGTATCGCAATCTTTGTACTTGTTTGAAATATCATACAAGGCGACCTTATACTTAGGATTTTCCTTTACATGGTATAGTTTATAAAGAGATAAGTAAAGCCGAGAATAGCCACTCACTATAGCCATGAATCATATATACAGGGTCCGGCACAATAAGTTTTTAAAAAATCACGAAATCGGTACTTTTTTCTCAAAAACATTTATTGACGGATTCGGGTTCACAATGAAATAGCTTGATAAATGCTTCCTTCTCATGTGCGAAGCTCATTCGTTGTGCGTAATCTCCAGGCTGTAACTGTTGCACAAAGGCCAACTTGTAGGAGTCAAAGTGGAGTTCCATATGCAAAATACGCCTTAACGGACGATCACTGAGACAAAGTTCAGCAGCATGTTGACGAGCAGATTGAGCTGGACGGCTTGTCGAACTTGTTTCACATTTTCAGGAGTTCGAACCGTTCGTGAAGCTCCTGGTGGTCTTTTGTTGATCAGTACACCACGTGTGCGAAGTGACTGAACCCAACGAAGGATGGAGTTTCGAGACGGAACAGCTCGATTCCGATGAATATTGAAGTGGCGACGAAACTCACTTACTGGTAAAAATGCAAGGAACGCCCGAGTCGAATGGCACTCTCCCCACCACTCTCGTCCAATAGGCGGATAGTACTAGCCATTTCACCAAGTGCAGTACACACTGCAAAACTTTTACTAGTTGAAGATAAGACGGCAGAGTGTATTGCACAAAAACGCCGAGCAGAATACTGGAAAAAGTGAGTCAATAGTGCATAGCAATGGAAGTTTAGCGGTCAGTTCCAGTGGAAGTGTTTCTGGCAAAACCCAACTTTCAGAACACCTTGTATTTACTACACGCTGTCGATTTTGTTAATAAAAACCATTAATCTGTATAACTTTTGGGTTTGTTATAGAATCTCAACTGGTAGAGCAAGAGTGTCCATAATTCTTACATTGATGGCATCTAAAAGCTACTGTTTATTTGCTCTTCTCCATCCATGCCTTTACGTATTTAAACTTATTTGAAACAGATACATCTGTGACTCTTTTTTTTTTATTTCCATACGATTTTCAAGTTTACTTCCAGTAGTCTTATTCCTTTGTTCTCTCAAACTTACCTATCTCAAACTTGGCCGGGTTCACATCGACTCCAATTATTCTTTTTGCTCCTGCTACTTGACAGCCAAGTCCAACTGCAAGACCAACTGCTCCCAAGCCCCATACAGCACAAGTTGAGCCTTTCTCTACTTTAGCTGTGTTCAGGGCAGCACCATAACCGGTTGGTACTCCACAACCTAGCAGGCATACCTTTTCCAATGGAGCACTGGGATGGATCTTAAAGAACACGGAAGAGAAATGATTACATAAAATTGTGAGAATATTAGCATGCTCTCATAACATTGATGGAAAAAGGATTGGAATAGAATCAATTGATGAATTTGTGGTGGGTTTCTCGGATATCCTTCAGACACCCTTTCTATGTATTTTGCTAACTTACGTCGGGTCTAAAATTCTAGTATTTTCCGCATAGTAAAATAATGGCGTCAAATAGGTTGACTTTGTACATCTTCTATAACGCTGTCATCAGTTTGTTTGTTTGTTTAAGATTTATTTAGCATGATTGCTACAATTACATTCTTCTAAAAAACTAAACAATTACATAACATACAGATATTCAGAAAAAAAAAACAAAATTTGCATCTCTAAGAATTTTCATTGTCCATGAAATATTCCTTTAACTTTCTTTTAAATATCTTTAAATTACAAGTATACTTTATATCATTATTTAGTTTATTAAATTCAAGTAATACTTTCTGAAATATTGATTTACTAGTTATATTACTATTGCAATTTTGTAAATGAAAATCTATATTTCCTCTTGTATAATAATTTTGTTTGTTTGTTTAAAATTTATTTAGCATGATTGCTACAATTACATTCTTTTAAACAACTCAACAATTACATAACATACAGATATCCAGAAAAAACTTTGCATCTCTGAGAATTTTCATTGTCCATGAAATATTCCTTTAGTTTTCTTTTAAATATCTTTAAATTACAAGTAGACTTTATATCATTATTTAGTTTATTAAATTCAAGTAATCCTTTCTGAAATATTGATTTGTTAGTTATATTACTATTGCAATTTTGTAACTGAAAATATATATTTCTTCTTGTATAATAATTGTGGTAATGATTATTCAATACTTGTAGTGTTCTAAATTAATGTTCTGGCAAAAGATGATTTCTTATTTCAAATATAAAAGTAAGAACCAAATATGATATGAAATTTTTTTATATTCAACCACTGCAATTATGTAACATAGATTTTATTTTGGTGTACTTATTTTTATTCAATATTATTCTTATAGCTTTATTTTGCAAGACCTGTAATTTTGAGAATACAGCTTCATTGACAGTGAACAAGATACTTGAACAATATACTAAATGCGGTAGAATAATTGTACTCGTATTATAAACTATTTTCTTGGGATAGGTACCAAGACTATGAGAAGCGCTATAAAAGTAATTTGTTTTTTTGGCAATTTTTTAAATAATGTATTCATACTGATCCTCAAACTTTAGTTTACTATCAATATATATATATATATATATATATATATATATAAAGAGTAAATTATCATGCGGAGGAAGGTATATAACAAAAATAGGAAAATAATGGGCAAAATCCGCAAAAACTGGATTTGAGCAGAATAGGATAGGTAACCCGAGCGATACGTATTTCTGCTGGTTGGCTTCATCAGGCCCGAAATGAATGCACATATGCAACTACAAAAGTAGAGACACATGCCCATACATCCGGATACGGGTGTAACCTGAGGAAACAAAGATGGAGAGGAAAAAAAAGACACACGAAGTCCACAACAAAAGCAACATTGTCCTTTTCCAGATCTGCGCGGCTACGGTGGAGCGAGTTATCGTACATTTCGTGCGAGGTCCGTGTACACTGTATAAGGTAATGTTTTTTGCGCTGCAGTACGGATAGATTAGTCAGCCAGACCGGTTCGCAAGGCGGTGAGCTTGAATAGGTGGAGTACGCGGATCGAAAACATTTCTCTATCATGCAAATGTAGGGGGAAATTTATGATGTGTGAGATCAAAACATTTGTTACTCCCCCGAAATTAAACCCCTAAATTTTTTTCTGAAATGATAGGACCTTCTGAAACGTCAAAAAAGTTTGAGCTTTTATTTTTTTAGTTTTTTTTTGCATAGTACCTTGTGTGAAAATTTCATCAAAATAATGATGTACATGTCATATAACATCCGAAAAACACAATGTCTGATTTTCAAAATCTTTCGTGAGTACAATACTTCCTCGCCCATTGGCCAGTGGCGTAGGAAGTAAAAACGGATTCTTATAAATGTATAAGAATAACAACGACTACTCAAATCGTTTCACTTTCAGCGCCAACTGAGACCACAAACACAGAGTTTTGAGACATAGCACTCATACACAAAAAGTGTATTGTGCCTCTTACTGGGATACTTTTTCAAGTATGAATTTGAATACATAAAAAATGCAAAATTCAGATTTTCGCCGATGACACTATGATTTATATAAGTACTAAAAATATTCAGTCTGGTATCTCTTATATAAATGAAGACTTGGAACTTGTCTCAAAATGGTTAGCATCTAACAGACTAAAATTAAATACAAGTAAAACGAAAGCCTTGTTAATCGGAAAAAACAATGTACAAATGTTCAACTGAATATTGATGGTGAAGATATTGAATTCGTACAAAAGTTTAAATACCTGGGGGTTTTTGTTGACTCAATTAATTTTTGATATTCATCATGAAAAAGTTATAAATAAGATTAGTAGTAAAGTGGGATATTTATCGAGAGTTTCTGGATGTCTGAGTTCATATAGCAGAAAAATTATCTATAATACCATCATTCTTCCAAATTTCTTGTACTGTTCGACTATTCTATATTTAGCAAATAATTCCATTTTTGAAAGACTGAAAATTTTACAAAATAAGTGCTTGCGGTTAATACTAAATAAAGATAAATATACTAGAATTAGGCAAATGCTTAGCAAATTAAAATGGCTCAATGTAAAAATTTTTATCTAATATCTTGTAATGATATTCATTTATAAAGTAAAAAATAATATATTTCCATCAAGTCTAACTAATTTAACATCGTCAAATGTCGACCATCATTTACATAATACCAGAAATAAAGATGACTTCCATTTAATGACCAAAAAGTATAACATATGCTATATCAAGGGTTGATTGAATATAATAAATTATACTCAGAGATAAAAGACCAGAAAACTTTGACAAATTTTTAAGTAAAATTGAGAAATCACTTGTTAAATCTACAATTATAGGTTGCCCAGCATTTACATCATACACCATATGGCTTGAATTTACTAGTTCTATGTAGTTTACAATTATGCTGTTTATGTAGCCAAATGTGCTAAATAAATCTTACTACTACTACTACTTAGAATATTATGAATTTCACTGGACTGAGATACATTTCTTATCAATGAGAGTTCAGAATTTGTAATCCACATATGTCTTCATATCGTGAAAGGTTAAATAAACATACAGTGATACCAATTAGAGTCCCAAATTGAATGTAAATTTGTAAATAACACCCTTAGATGTAAAAAATAAATAAATTCTATCAGATTCTATCAAAACATTTGAAGATAAAAGGAAATGCATATTTAAATAGTAACTTCACAAAATAATGTAGTTAGTTTTCAAAGAGGACAAAATATATATTGACATTGCAATTTTCGACAGCAATTAATGTTATAAAAAATTATAATGGTATCATCAACTTACCGCAGCAACAGAGATATCAGCTACAACTGTGTATTCAGTGAAGGTAGAACATCCCATGAAGTGGTATAATGTTTTCCCTTTACAAGTAAATCTTGATGTGCCATCAGGCATTACTCCTTTTCCTTGGGTAGTACGAATTTTCTGGCACAGGTTTGTTTTTGGAGATTTGCAAAATTTGCATTCTCCACATTGCGGTACATAAAGGGGAATCACATGATCTCCTGGAACATAATATGTAGTTAAAGCTCACTATTCAAGAAAAGCTGTCTGATAATCTTAGAAACATCACTCATTTTCAAATATATCAGCTATCCTTATTGCAATACAAAAACAGGACACATTTTACATGAAAAGACAACTGGCTGTAACTTGTAAATAATAAAAAGCACAGACATATTTATTTGTTCATCAACAGGCCTGACTAAGTTTAGTTTATTCCTTTACCTGTTTTAACATTGGTGACACCCTCTCCAACACTCTCAACAATTCCAGCACCTTCATGACCCAAAATAACAGGAAAAATTCCTTCTGGATCTTGACCACTCAGAGTATAAGCATCAGTATGACACACAGCAGTGAAAAGAATCTTGATTCTTACTTCATGAGCATTTGGTGGAGCGACTTCAATGGTTTCCATCTTCAGATCTTTCTTTGGACCCCATGCTACAGCAGCTTTGCATGTGATGGGCTAGAACAACAACAAAGTTTGTTGGATTAAAATTGATAACTCTGAATTTACATTAGTTTTTTCAATCCATTGTCATTTCATATGCTGGAAAAAAAATTATGGAAAGTTGCAGTGCACAAAATGTAAAATAGGAAGTATATAACAATGCAAAAGTTTTATTTTAATATAATCATAATGTTTTTGGTACCTGCTGAATTCATTTTGAAGCACCTATGGAGAAAATATATACTGTACTGTAAATATATTGTTGTTTGGTACTTGGATGGTGAAACAATCAGGAAAGGAATATCAACCCCAATCATTTATCTATTTAGGCATGACGACATATATTTGAGATGTGTGAAACTTTTGAGTAGTGAAACCTGTTTATTTATATTTCTCAGTGATTATTTTAGACAAAGTGAAAACAGTATTTAAATGAACATGACAAATGACATTTGCTCTGCTTTGGTGTGAAGATTGGTTTCTGAGAAAGAAATGCAATAGATATTTTGGAAATCAACATTTTTTTATCCACATTTTAATGCAACGAAAAATTAATTTCAATGTTTCACTTTTTCATATCTGCTCAAAAAAAAGCATGGTCGTGGTCAGGTTCCTATGCAAGGATATACTTGCAACTCAAAATTATCCACAATTTGTACTTGGAGGAGAAAATAGTTGTTTTCTGTTAAAAATCCATTTGATCTTTGAATGATCTTGATGACCATAATGAAGGTTATGGACATTCTTGAACATATATACACTATTTCACGAGTATCAATCTTGCTTTGACATCTACTGAGGTGAACAGCTGATCAGCAAGTGACATTTTTGTCTGCATCGTTGGCAATGACGAATCCGGTGTAAATCTAGTAAAACTTGTTTATAGCATTTTGTTTTTGTAAGCAAATGAACTTTATTAAATAAAAGAGCTGTTAGCAAGTACAAAATGAATCTGTAGGGTACAAAGAAAACCAAACCAAATAAGACTGACGGATCCGTCAGAATTATGTGTCCTGTGCTGATATGGGGAATTTTGAGATATTACTAGATAATGAGCTGTCATTCTACCCTGATGCATGCTCATGAAATAGTATATAGATCTTACTTTTATATATGCTATATATTCTTGTTTGCTTTACTGGTAAAGAGTCGAAGTCAAATTGAAGATATTGGACACAATACAGACTATGCAAAAATGTTTTGAAATAATTGGCTCATTTTGGCGAATTTTTTGGAGAGTACCAGGTACTGAATTTTTTCCAATTGGCACAATGTTGGCAAAATTATTAAAAAAAAAATAACAGGAAATATGTTCCACCTTTACGGATTCTCGGCCGATGCAGAGTCTCTAATGCGTAGCTACTTCAGCGATCGTCAACAGCAGGTAATGCTGAATGATAAGTACTCCATGCCATTGAAAGTGACCATTGGTGTTCCTCAGGTGCCTTATTCTGGGTCTGCTAATGTTCATTATTTACACCTCTAAAAAAGATGATACACAAGTGCACTTATCATTTCCTCCAGCTCCAACATTGCCTGCTGTGGATCTGATAAATAAAGACCTTGACCGTCTCACTAAAGCGTCCCGAATGCTTAGACTTGAATCCGGCTAAAAGTACAGTCATGTTATTCGGGCCGAAAAATTGGAGAGACCATTGTGAACCTCTGGTGAAAACAAACCTCGACAACAATACATTAGAAATAAGCTCGATAGCGCGTAATTTAGGCTAAAGCATCCCACAAACCGGCGCGAAATAATCGCGGCGAAGTATTCGCAACGAAATTCAGAGCGAAATTCGCAATCTGTTTCGCCTGTTTATTCATACCAAAGCGTCTTATTCGCTCCGCGAACGTGAAGGTTTCGACAGGTTGCGTACATTTTATTTTTGCCTTTTGCAATGAGCTCGTCTTCAGAAGAAGAGGAGGCACTTCTATTTCTTGCTTTAGAAGAGGAACAAAATGCACGGTAAGTTATGTTTATTTAACGCCATTTGATAGTTGGGTATGTATTAAGTTGTAACGAAGTAAATAAAACAAATATTTTCAATTTTGTTTAGGAAACGAAGGAAGTGGGTACATGATATTAACTTGGAACGAAATAAATTTGGGGAATACCATACCTTGATGCCACAACTTCGGCTGGATGAACAGCGCTTTTACGTATATTTTAGAATGACTCCAGAGTGTTTCGATGAAATATTGAACTTGGTGAAAGATGAAATACGAAAATCTGACACAAATTATCGTGAAGCTATTTCGCCAGAAGAACGACTTGCTATTACACTCAGGGAAAAAAATTATATGTATTAAAATTAGTAGGCTTATCGAATACGAAAACTTCAGGGATCGTGAAATAAATATTTCATTGTAATAATTGCACTACATGTTGCCACTAGGATTAAATGTTGCTAAATAATTCGAGGCAGAATTTGCCTCCTCTGTTGGGTATATTATTGGAGTAAACCCAGTGCCGCTTGGGAAGGATGACATACTACTATCATACATACTTGCAGAATTCTGGGTAGACGCTGAAGACATTTCTTCAATATATTCAAATTCTTCGTGCGCTATTAATTCGGCTATTTTTAGTTTTATTCGGGCTTGACGCTTTAAGGGAAGTGTTTTCACAGTCTGTGCATGTGCCAAGAAAAGTGAATCAATGGCCTCGTTCTCTTTTTTAGGTTTTTTACCTTCAAAATAATCAATGAGCTGTTGTACAGACGAAGATGGTGGTTCATAGCGTTTTCTGCTCGTTTTATATTTTGGTGTAGTTGCAGTCTGCGGAAAGGTGTGCCCTGGAGTAGTCACTGCTGTAGTGTTCAATGAAGAAGGTGGTTCCGTCTGTGTTGCCGAGGCGTTCTGTGCACCTTCTGCATCTACATCAGCATTTTCATCTTCTCCATGGCCGCGGTCTTCCAAATTTTCGGTTTCTACATTTCCAGCCCTTTCCTGATATATATTTGAGTTAAATTCGGCAGTCTCATAATGTATGACGTCAATATCTTTCACATTAGACGACGTTTTGGCAAATACCAAAAAAGGACGGAAAAATTCCATGTAGTCAGCCCACTGCCATTTTTTTATGTTGCCCACTGCTTGGCCAGTCTTTGGTTTGGTAGATTTTATATATTTTGCAAATGTGTCTCTAATATTCTTCCACCTTTGTTTTTACTTCATCACCTAAAAACGATTTTTTTATAGATTCCTTGCCACTGGTGACACCTTCTATACCATTGAGCATAGCTTTCAAGTTGGCTTTACAACAGTGAGTGCAATCGTAACCGAAGTCTGTGAAGCGATATGCAGACATATGGAGCATATATATTCACCAGAACCAACAGAGAATATATGGAAAAAATGTGCTGAAGAATTTGAAAATAGATGGGGATTTCCCAATTGCATTGGCAGCGTGGACGGTAAACATGTAACAATCAAGAGACCTAACAACAGTGGCTCCAATTACTGGTGCTATTTACATAAATATTCAATAGTACTTATGGCCATTGTTGGCCCGGACTATAAATTTGTTTGTGTTGATATTGGTGGTTTCGGAAAAAATAGTGATGGGGGTATTTTCGAAAGCTCAAACATGGGAAAACGATTTGAAGAAAATTTAATGAGTGTCCCTGCACCTAGATTTCTCCCTGGGCAAAATGAAATCAGCTCGTACGTCTTAATTGGTGATGAAGCATTTGCTTTAAAACCATACCTTATGAGACCATTTCCTTATAAGCAGACTTTAACAGACGTCAGAAAAGAGAAATACAATGTAAGACTTTGTCGAGCTAGAAGGGTCGTGGAAAATGCGTTTGGTATTTTGTCTCAAAAATGGCGAATATTTTACAGGCCATTAGAAACTAAAGTAGATACTACTATTCTAATTGTACGTACGGCATGTGTTTTACACAATTTTTTACGAAGTAAAAGTGGCGATGACAAATATTTTCAATTCTTAGATCCCCCCAGAACCCGTGCTTGGAGCTTTTACTGATATAGCAAATGATCCTCGGCGGGCAGCAAGGCTAGCATTTTCTACTCGTGACAAATTCGTAAATTATTTTAATTCTGATATGCCTATGCCCAATATATAGAATGTTTGTTTTCACATTTGTGTAGACTGTAAATTATTTAACAAGTTAATAAAAAATATTAGGTACATACCATTTGTATTTAATTATTTTCCTATTTCCATCCAAATCTTGTCTTTCTTTCTCACATTCCTGTATTCATCGTTCGAAAATCATACAAACAAGGATACTTTTTCACTATTTCTATCAATAATTCCGTCTTTGCCATTGCGAATTTTTGAAGAACGGCGTCAAAAACGCGGTCAAAGGCGAACTGAAATACGCCGCGATAAAAACGCTGGAACAATCGCATTCGCTTCGCACAAGTCTGAGCCTGTCCGTAAACCGCCGCGTTTTAATCTGATCGCGAATTCATCGCCGCGAAATTTTCGCAGCCAAAGCGAATATTTCGCGCCGGTTTGTGGGAAGCTACCTTGACAAAAACTTAAGGTTTGAGGATCATGTTAACAAGTGCTCCAGAAGGGCGTATTGTAATTTAAAGACGATATACGGTCAAAAATCTTACATGAAGCAAAAAACTAAAATCATACTTTGCAATTCTCTTGTTCTGAGGCATTTTAACTTCTGTGATGTCGTCTATGACAAATGTCTAACTAAATTCACCTCTGATAAAATACAATGCGTGCAAAATTCTTGTCTGAGACTTATTTTTGGTTTAAGAAAATATGATACTGTTTCATCAAAGCGTACTGATGCTGGCTGGCTGAATATGAAGCAACGCAGGCTGCTTCATAGCCTCGTACACTACCATAAGATTATACATAAACTACCATCCTACTTAAACGAAAAAAATCATTTCCTTTACTTAGCTCACAAAACTGACACCGCCTTTTCATTTCATTTTTTCGTATATCAGTAAACTTTATAATAATATCCCGCAAGAGTATACTTCTCTTTATTGATTTGTTTAAAAAACGTATACGCTATTACATTGCAGGTAATTGCATGGTATGACTGGAGTCATTATGTATTTTTATAGTACCATTTATCAAATTAGCCGCTAGGGTTCATTTTCTGATACTGCTTATACATACATATATTTTTTTACCTCATTTATATATTTATATATATGCTTATCTTATTATGATGTAAACCTAAAACCAGGGGTTAGGTAGAGGAGCAGATATGCCGAACTTCGCCCCTCCCACTATATATTCATATAAAACTGGTTTTACAACTTGTTTTGTATTTTCTTTTGTGAGAATAAAGACATTATTATTATTAAGCTCAACAATGATTTGTCCTTTGTGATCATTTGAGACATAGAAAAAATCAAACATTTCTAGATTGCTGCCCCTAATTTTTATTTCTCTTTTAGCAATTTTGGGTCAAATATAGTAGCTATTTTTTGTGGCTCACAAAAGGCTAATATCATGTGAAATTGTTCTGACAGATGTGATAAAGGTACTACAGATTGCCCAAAAGTACAGTTAACAGCATGAATTTCAAGCATAGCAAGTTATTGGGCCATCGAGCCTGAATCAATTTTTCCATCTTGAACACATGCATACCGCTCGTATTAAAACATTCCAAGCACATGCAAAATGGTATCAATTATGCAAGATATTTATATGATTAATATGCAAAAATGTACTTATAAAAAACGTTATCACTTCATTTATGTTGTAATTTGTTCAAGGTCTTACCTTTCCTGCAGTAGCTTCAGAAGCCATGATCAAAATTTTCTTTTAAGAGCGTGTGGAAAATAATTTTATACCTAAAAAACAATCAATGCTTATTATATTTCATACGCGACAATTTGAAATTTCATTTCGTATCCGCGTATTTATGAGCCGGCGAAATATTCTACTGGAATACTGAAGCGAACACCGATAATTACAAGAATAATAAGGAATAAAACATAGACCTTCGAATCAACTAACATTTTTAATGAATAAACGTACCTTAACCTACAAGGGTAACACGACCTTTTCGCCAAAAAGAAATTTCCGAAAAATAAATACTGGAATATTACTTATATTTCAATTAGCTGTTCTCTGATATATAGTGACAAGAGAAGAGGGGAAAATAATACGTCAATCAATAGGCGTAAGGTGTCAAACTCCGACGTTGCCAAGTTCACGCTGACATAGACGTCCCGTTCCGCTGTTACAGGAGGTACAGTTGTTTTGAATAATGTATTACATTTATGCATACATTAACATTGATTTACACAAAACTCTGGGAAACAAAATGAAGTGATGCGACAAATGAATAACCCGTCTATTTATATGTAAATATTTAACATACACATGGAAAGTAAATAAATTGTGGCAAAAATATGTGATTATACAAAGTGGAAACAGTCTACTCATATAATTCAAAATCTATCCTATTAGAAGTGTAAAAGTTGGAATTTTCCCCACACTTCCGAACCATAACTCCATCTTTGAAATACTTTTCTTTGGCCCATTTCACCATCTGTGCTGTAGAGTATGGTCCTTGAACTTCAGTGTCCTCTATCTTCCATTTGAACTCCCACTTCAACACTTTAGTTTCAGGCTCTGCTTGATCTGATGTTTCAGTTTGTGGTTTTTCTCCTGTACTTGATGATGGCCCTTGTGTGATCTTTTCTTTCTCTTTAACATCAAAATCATCCGCATACATGTCAAGTTCAGCTTCTTTAGCCACACTTTTGTTTTTCATCTCGCTCCTATCGACTTTTGCCTTTATTTGCTCGTAAGTTTCTTGATAGATGTCCATGTTGCCTAGTTTTGTTAATATCTGGTTGGCTAGTTCTGTCAATTCTGTTACTTCTTTGTTATCCTGGAGGGTTCCTGCTTTTTTACGCCTCAGTCTTTCCACACTAGAAAGCTTCATATCAGCCCCACCAAGTCTCTTCAGAGCTTTATTTACAGTTTCTTTCGGTTTCATGTAGTTCAGCATCTTTTTGTATGCTCCTATTTCGTCAAATTCTTCTTCAGGTTCTGATTCCGAGTCTGACTCATCTCCTGGAAAATAAAACATACTTTAATTTTAACTTCCAGAGTAATATGAGGAATTTTCCAAGCTGTCCTTAATGGTGCCGAATATTATTCCCCTGAAATGTCCACTGACAGGGCTACACACGGTAAGTGAGACAGCCGCCTCTAGGCGCAGTGTCATGGGGGCGCAAAATTCTCAAATAATAAATTATAGGAGAGATTGGGCGATCTTGCATTTATGCCATTTGAAGAAAGCATGTTCCGGGTGTTTCAAATTCGTCTCTCACCATTGGGATCGCGGAAACCGTGAGAGATACGAAGTCGCTCAAATGGAGCAAAGTTGGGTATTTAGGTAACTAACAAAATGCCTTTAGAAAGTTCCGAAATTCAAAGTACTTTCGGAGAGAGACGGAAAAAACTGAATTCGTTTTAATTTTCCAGTCCTTTTGTAGTGGAATTTTAAAATAAATTGAACAATAAAACTGCAATTCTTTCTCCTCTACAAGATGGCCTAATTAGAATTTCGATATGACGTTTCGTCTCTTATCCTCCAGCATCAACTATATTTTTACTTAAGGACACCACATTGGATTTTTACACAGATGAATAGAGTTTATAATTATGTTTCCAAAACATGTCATTTCAAAAAAATTAAATTTCCTATGTAGGCTTGTAAATTATCAGATAGTCATTTTATTTTCTGCTTTTGATCTCCACCATCACAATTTTTGATCCTGCATTTAGTTATAAATATTATTCATTTATTTATGTTTTTATTTATTTATTTTGTTTATTTATTTACTACAAAAGAATTTACTACAAAAGAATAGACACCTAGGCTATAAACTTCACATATTTAATTAAAGTGATATGTATTCTTATTCTTAAATATACAAAAATTTCAATATAGTATCCAAATCGAAAAACAAAGTTAGTGATGGAAGTCCAAACGAGAAACATGGATTTGAAAATTTGATTATGCCATCTTCTAGAGGAGAAAAAGTGGCAATGACAACATGCTATTTATTTTGAAATAACATCTCAAATAAAGTCAGGAAAAAATCAAAATGACTTTGCAATAAATCTGGTATTATGACTATCTGATAATTTCAAGGCCTACCTAGGAAATTCCTATTTTTAAAATAACTAAAGTTTGACAATGACAATAGCATGTTATACATTTTTGGAATCAGAATTAAAAACTCGATTCAACTGTAGAAAAATCTAATATGGCGCCCATAAGAGAGTTGATGCTGGATGACAATAAATGTCATCGAAATTCTAATTCATATTGTAGAGGAGAAAATGTGGCAATGTGCAATTTATTTTAAAATCCACTATAAGTCAGGAATAAATTTTGAGAAAATTCAGTTTTTTTCCGTTTCTTTCCAGAAGAACTTTGAATTTTGAAACTATCTGAGTGGCATTTTGTTAGCTTCCTAAATTCGTCACTTTGCCTCCATTTAGGCGAATTTGTATTTTTTACCGTTTCGGAGATCCCAATGGTGAGGGTCGTATTTGAAACACTCAGCATATTTAAAACTTTTGAGTTTATATTTATAAGTTATTTGTCTGTATTTGTTTTATTAAAAAATATTTTAAATAGTTTTTTTGGTGTGAGGGGAGGCTGTATATTTGATCCTTTGCCTCAGTGCGCACGAAATTCTGAAGCCGACCCTGCTTGAATAGACACATTCCAAAGAATGGATCCATCCTCAATACTGCATAGAAGATATTAGAAAATCAGCAGAGGCATATTTTTTGCTACAACCAACCAAAAAAATATGTAAGCTCTAAAGCGATAAAGTTAAAAAAAACACTCGCTACTGGTTGCGGTCGGACTGTGACGATGCTTTCATGTTTCTAGATTGCCATATGTCACTAAAATAATTCATGATATAACAATGTGGATCTTGTATACAATTTTACGAATAATATATGGGACACTGAATCATTATGGTGGTAAAAAATACTGCTATGACTTGCGCATCTGGAAATAGTGCCATGCCAGGCTCCACACAAAGAAATAATTATTTTCTCCTATGATCAGCATAAACATGAACTTTCACCCAATCCTGTGTTTTCATCTTAACTAAAGAAAATCGTTGAAATTTCGACTGAATTATTATGGTGGTAAAAAAATACTGCTACGACTTGCGCGTCTGGAAATAGTGCCATACCAGGCTCCGCACAAAGAAATAATTATTTTCTTCTATCATCAGCATGAACATGAACTTTCACCCAATATTGTGTTCTTATCTTAACTGAAGAAAATTGTCAGATTGTTCGCAGTGAGATGGTCTTTTCACGACCAGCCAATCAAAGTGCGTTCTATTTTCTGCAGTCTCTGAAATGAACTGAAAAAGCATCACTTTATGGTATCTAATAATCTTCTCCTCAATGTATTTTCCGATTCAAGATTGAATAAAAAGAGCAAAATAATAACCTTCTGGTGCACTGGTTAGAGATGTAAGGCATAAAAGACCACTTCTTTGTACCGAAGGTGTTTGTTGTGACTTCTCCATTTCAATTCTGTCAAAACATAAGTTATATTCAACTCATAAATGTTTGCTTGTTTTGATATCTCTGTTTGAGATAATTATGACGCGATTTAAAATGGAAGAGTGACCACAGCACATTGTATGCAGGTGTGTATGCAAATTTAATGTTATGAGGACAGAACAAATTTGACAAGCCTGACAAAAAAACCTTCATGCATGTACAAGCTCCTACTAACCTTTAACTATAATATATGAAAAGGAGAAATGCAGCAGTAGTTCACAAAATTTATCTTCACACTAGTTCTCAAAATATTGTTAACATATTTAGAACTTTAAGTGATAAAATAGCATCATGCTATTATTATGTTTTCTCCAGGTACTTTAGTCTGTTCCAAAATGTTCAACTCTATTAATTAAATTTCTTTCTTCCATATTTACTTAAAAAGGTCTGTGCTGCAGGTTTCAAATTTGGTATTGATGTAAAGTCAAAGTATGCACAAGATAAATCCCTTAAATTATTGTCTGACCTTGTTTGAAATATTGTCATAACTGATCTACCAAATGTGGTAAAGAATCACCAATGACATCTCTATTCAAATTCAAATCAAATTGTACAATGTGCTGCCAGATGAGGTGAGGTCACTTCAGCTGAGCAAATTTAAATGTAAATTGAAATCTGTATTAACTAGGGCCTGTATTTACAGGTTTGAGCAGTGGTGAAGCATCCATGTAACCATTGTTACCATCGGTAACAGTTAAAAATCTTAAAAATAAATATTTTATGACTACGTACTGTGAAATAATTTCATTTATTTGTTTACCAACAGCGATATGTAATAGTAATTCGGTAAACAGCAAATTAGCCCCACGAAAATAATGCGCCCTATAGTGTCTAGGTTTTTGCTAACACGATGAAGCTGACTTGCCTCAACTTGGTTGTCGGTTGTTATCATTTTCATGTATGGATACACTTGGTAGTCTGTCGGGGACCGTCGGTACCGGCTCGTGTCTGATCGCGGTCGCCCGAGTGCGTGGGACGCTGTGACTATTATGTGGGCTTGTTACCATTTTTTGATTTGGTTACTCACTCGTTAGTAGCCGTTTTGGTTACCGGCTGTAGTATGCGTGCAATTAAACATGGATGAGTATCGCTGCGTAATCGATCAACTACTTGAAAAGTCATTCTCCTTGTATAATTTTTAAGAAAAAAAGGAGATCATTGAAAATGGAAGACCAACGCCTATTTTAGATGGTTTTTAAAAAGGAATAAAAAAACGTAGTTTAATATTTTAAATTATGTTGGTATATGGAAACTCTTATTTATGTGGTTGTAACAAAACAGATTGTATTGTTGACGATGTCTTCTGTTTTATACAGAATAAAATGCAGCGGAGTCAACGATTTAAATAGTTTTAGGGCTCTAAAGAGGAGACATGAAATGTCTCCGTTACATGTGAGATGTGAAGCCAATTTAATTCAGTTTGGCAAAACAAGAATCGAAAGTTGTCTTAACCAAGCTTTTAGGTAGCACACTTTTAGATATCGTATGTTTTTTGGCAAAACAGGAAATAACGTTCATTTTGAAGGGGATGACTCTGACAATAGAGGAAATTACAGGGAATTGTTAACATTCATTGCCAAAAAAGATTAAAAATTTTACGAACATCTAGAAACGTCGACTGTTTTTTCGGACGGCTTGAATTAGTCGTAGCATAAGACGATGAGGTATATCCCCAGACGCTCAGTCCAGGAATGTTTACCTTAATTTAAAAATAGTTTAAATAAAATACCTAAAATAAGCAAAAACTTAAAAAAAAAACTTTTTTCAATAAGATTTTTCACATCTGGTTTTGGTAACAGTTTAGGAAAAGTCACGCGTCGCCACTGGGAATATTATGCTTTGGCAAGAGACAGGCAGGCCTTCTTGACTAAATTGAATGGATAATTTAATAATGTTCTTGACATTTTGCTCAACTTTATAAAATCATATTAGTGTCTTTTTGTATATCAAGTTTATTATAGTTAGTGTACTTTTATGTCTACTTTTTTTTTCATCACTGGCATGTCTATGAACACTTGTGTATTGGTGCTGTTGTGTCTTGTAGAACTTCCTATTTCACTGTCTTTTCTCTTAAAACTTTTAGAGGGTAGTCTGATAGATTATTTAGAAACAAAAAAAGTGTGGATGAAGCAAGCTTTTCATGAAAATTTTTTAATAAAACATTGTACTTTTAGCTGTTCTTTCCATCATTATTTACACCGCCATCTATCTGCCATATGACGTAGACGTCTGTGCAAATGTCATACATGAGAGGCGCTTGCCTGCGGTGTTGCCGGATTGGACTCCGCATTTAGGGAAAAATGTAAAAAGTTGAAAATTTATATGCATATGTATATTAATTAATGAATCACAAACACGAAAAAGAGAAACAAACAACAGTAGCAAAATAAGAGGCGATTCATAATAAGTATAAATCAAAAAATAACAGTAGTAAGCTAAAAAATGATGAATTATAAATAATTACAAAAAACAAAAACAGTAGTAAAACAAAAACTAATTCCATGTAATTATAAAAATCAAAAAATAACAAACAATACTACGTGATTATAAAAAACAAAAAATAAAAACAAGTAAAACAAAAATAAACAATTCCATGTTGAATGAAAAGCAATTCTAAGTGACCACACAAAACAAAAAGTAAAAACAGTAGTAAAAGGAAGAACAATTTCATTCCACCCAAATTGCTTTTTATTTTACTGTTTGTTATTTTTTGTTTTCTTATAATTAAATGGAATTGTTTTTTGTTTTACTGTTTTAATTTTTTGTTTTTATAATCACTTAGAATTGCTTTTTATTGTACTGCTGTTTGTTATTTTTTGTTTTATAGTTAGTAAGAATCATTTTAATATAATACCGTAGGCAAGCGCCTATCATTTATAACATATCCACAGACTTCAGTGTCATATGGTAGATGGAGGTGGAAATAATGGGGGAAATAACTGCTAAAAAATACAGTGTTTTGGGAAAAAAATTTCATGAAAAGCATGCTTCATCCACACTTTTTATGATGTAAAATAATTTATCAGACTACCCCCTATAAGTTTTAAGTCAAAAAACAGTGAAATCTGAAGTTCTACAAGACGCAACAGTACCTGTGTATTTTCTCTATGATCAATAAAGATGATTAATATTATTACTTGGGAGCTGGAGCATGCCCATTTTTTTGCTCATCAATTAGCTACTGAAAGTGTTTTTAGGTTTAGTTTTTAAATACACATCTTCATAAACAAAAAAGTCAATCACAATATTGTGGGGGGTCAGAAGAGCTTGGGCTCTAATCAAGTGCTAGTGCTGGGAAATGAAATCAAAAATGTATTTTATCATTCTTACCCAAGCCACTCTCATCTACGCCGTACTTCTCTTTTGCTCCAGGAGTGGACTTGATCTTCTGCCAATCAATATTATCCAACCAATTGTCCCTGATCTCCTTTTCGTTCTTCCAAATGAAATGTCCCTCCTTATCAAAGTGACCTTCTTCCATTTCTTCCTTCATATTGAAAGCAGTCATCTTCTGTTCACCCTCCTGTCTGTCCACTCCTTCTTCTTCACCCTCAATATCGTCGGTATCCAAGACATTATCTTCATCAACATTGTCCTCTTCATCACTGTCCAAGGTGTGTTTTTTCACTCTTTCTCTTCTTGGGTCCGTGCGTTTACTGCTCAAAAATGCGGTGTCATATTCTCTTTTCGACATGATTTATCTATTTTTCGAATATGTGATTTTGGAAAAATTGTTTAAGGAATCGTAAACACAACACAAGTTTGTTTTGTACGAGGTTGAGGTTAACGTTTTATTTGTCATTTTTATGTTCTTCTTTATGGTTTACGACACTGACAATCTTTTTTTTTTTGGTCATAAACATTCAAAATCTAATACGACCATGGGCGAAAGGTAAACTGTTATAAGCAGCATACCGTGAGTTTGATTGATTTGATAATTTTCAAATGTAAATGAGTTTTCAAAATGTCTCATAAAAAAAACATTTTTCAGTCTTTCATATTTTGCGATCGACAATACAGTTGGAAACACTACAGCTTCAAGTGTCACTGTCAAAGGTCATGACGTCATAGCTGTCACTTGCGAATTGGTTTGGTGTTGTTTAAATATTTTGAACAAAAAATCGATACACTTTAAAATTAAAAAATGAGTATTCCACTATTTCCAAGCTTAAAGCCTAGACTGATACACTCCTCTTGGTTTGATGTGGATCAACCTTGTGATGATGAAGATGAAGTATCTCAACTGGAAAGAGAACATACAAACTGGGTAAATATATTTTGAGCTATAAATAATTCGTTTCCCATATTATTAAATATTCCAGATTATGTCTATAAAGCAGATGAATTCTGATTTGACCCCTATTGGAAAGACCGCATCTGAGGTAAGTTACTAATTTGTAGTTGCGTTGTTGTCAACTTTTGTTCCATTCACGTTTCATATTTTGTTGTAGAGTATGGAAGAAGATGAAGAAGAAGACGATGAGGATGATAACGACGATGATGAGGAGTCAGAAACACATGACGAAGAGGAAGAAGATGAAATAGAAATGGATGTTTCACAAGAACGTAACTCTCCTGTTGATGTCAGCATAAGACTTGTGTAATGTATAATGATCAGATACTCAACACCAAGTTATTAATGAAATGTGATGTAATTTAATCTTTTTCCATTGTGAATATGTATTTTAAAACTAATTTCAAATAAAAAAAAATTAAATAGGTACTTGCTACTTCTTTGGCTTCGGCACCTTTTGAATAACAGCAGGTGAAATACATTGATTTGTTAATAGATACCTAGAAAATGCAAATGTTGTATCGTGTACAACATTTCCGAAGGACAGCTGCGTATGAATCACCAGTCTTAAAGTAAGCCTTCCTATCCAACGTTCCATTGTGACTATTTAACCCGCACGCTGTACGCATCGATCAAGACTTCTCCCCTCTTCCTCGCGTATTCGGTTGCCGCGCAGTTTAAATTTGAAATTTCCAACTGGACATCCTTAAAATTGTTTCACTACATATCAATTAATATGTAAAAACACCACATAACTACAAAAAAATTAAATTCGTAATTTCGTGCATTCAGTTTCTTGACAGCGATTGGTTTTCTCCCAGGGGGGCGTCTCGATCAATCAAAACAAAGCAATTCAGCTAGCCAAAGAAAATATTCAGTTTGTTCACCCTCCTAAAAATTAGTGGTTTTAACCTCTGTTTGTTATGGGGTTTACCTTTAAAAAAGCTTTACCTGCTTAAAAAACCATGCTCTAAAAATAATGGCACAAAACCTGAATTAGGTGGATTTTGTCTTCATATATACAGATATTCTAATAATATCATCATAGTGTAAGCTTACCCAGTGGATGGGAGTCAGAATTGTAGAAAGTTTTATTAGATGACAATTATAAATAATGTAAATAAAAAAGTGAAGTATGGGACAAATAAAAGTTCACAAGAGTGAACATAACTATGGGCATGGGGTACTAGTTTTTATTAGGTTTCTCATAATTGATAATTCCATAAATATATACTTATGAATCCACTAAATGAATAAATACAATTTTTACATGCTATATACAACAATTAAATCCTTCAGCCTTTATCACTTATGATGTAAGATTATGTGATCAACTTTTCACGACACTATCTTGTGCACTACCTAAAGATACTGTACATATCAAAATATTGATTTGCTCTGGAGATGGGCATGCTATCAGTAGTTGGTCTTCATCTGTGTAACCCCCCTTTAACAAGATTTGATCCAGTTGCACAAAGGCGTTGATCAGGTTGTTCTTCACAGGCCTGAAAATAATTTCCTATGATTATTAAAAAAAAATTGTATAACTTCAAAATGGACGACAGGCCCTCGACACCACTGTAACCCTTTACTACCCACAAAGCAGTATTAAGACCCGTCCTTCATATTGATTCAACCATGAAAGCCTTTGATATACACTGAGAACCAAATTTGTCTGATGGCTCAAGTTCAGTATGTACGACAGAGTAGTGTATAGACACATATGTTAAAAAGAGAAAAAAGCCGGTTGGATAGCGAAGTTCATCTCCGCGTTGCCTAGCGACAATCTGCCGCGTTGCCAAATATGTTACACCAGTTCCTTGAATTAAGATGCATGCTGAAAATATGCGTTAGTTTATTCTATACGCCCAGCAATCGTTTTATTTTGACCCTATACATTTTTGATTTGTGTCGAATTTGCTTAGGACCGATTCCGGATCGGTTTTAACGGCGCCCCATTTTAGTTCAAAATGAAAGCTCAGGTTCGCCACAAATTCTGCAATATTGCATCGTTGGTTCGCTTGACAACGCCGATTCTCGTAATTCCAAGGCAAGGTTTCCACCTCCATGATCATAGATGAGCGATTTTGGTCAGTATCCGCCTAGCGCTCATTGGGGAGTGTCGTCCTGCTTCGAAATGGTTTTCACCTGCGTCCACGCAGGCAGTGAATTTTTTATTTCGTAATGGTATTTATTACATTTTCCGCCCGCTCGCTTCCGCAAAATGTAACAATAACTCAGGCTGTGTGGATCATCATTGGTGGAAATCAAAGATAATCCTAAGATAAATTAAAACACTAAGTCGCATCAAAACTGAAATAAGTCACTATGCCATCGTGCGAGATTGATGATTTGTCAAGGTTACAGTAAAGCATAACTATTCAGGTAATCCATAGGAAATGGTCTACCAGTCATCCTAGGCAGTGGGACCGGTTTTCCTTTCTCCTATGAGTAGCCATATGACGTACGCAGTAGCTGATTAATGTGACAATGCTGTCAACCGAGATATCATTTATCATCACTTTATCCGTGTACAATTTACAGTGTTGCCTAGGGCTACGGTTACTATGGATGCAAATTCTGACAAATTCGTTCGAACTTAAAAACACCTGTTTTCGAATGAGCGTGTTTACACTGATAAAGATCAGCACGTCGTCGTCAAAACTATTTGAGCTTTCAAACAGTTTGATTTTTTCGTATGACCTGTGACTATTTTGAGTAAATTAAGAAATATTTATCAGCAAAGACGGGAGAAAATTGCTACAGAACTCCACACACCCAGTAAGTTTCTTTTAATCTGACGTGGATACATTATTTATCAATTACATGAAACACATTTATATCCATCCTGAAGTACTCGAAAAACTTTTGCGGTTGGTGCAGCAATTCTTCAAATAACATTTCAAACTCCCCTTTGTCATCGCTACTAGAAAATAAAGCATTGCATGCTTTTCCACCATTTACTAACAGTAACTTCGGTAAATGATTTTCAAGGAAATAAGATTTGTGAACTTTGTCCACATTTGGGTGGCAGAAACGTACTGACTATCAAAATGTTAGAAAAGTGTAACCGCCTTGTTCTAACCATACGTCCGAGTTCCTTGTCAGAATTCTTATCCACAGTAACCGTAACTTTTTGTTAATACTGAGCCGGTTGCTCAAACTCCTACCTGAACAGTATAAATTCGGTTTCCCTGTTAGCCAAATACAGCTGCATAGATCGCTGTATCTCCGGAATCTTTGACTTGATGTTCTTCTGAGCTTCGCTGACGATCCCAGCAACGACATTGGCTTTCCCGAAATCTTGTCCGGCCACCGTAAGCTCCTGATTCGGCGCATTTTCCGCTTGGATTATCTTAAGAATATGCTCCGATTTTTCTATCCACGTCTGAACGTTTCCGATCAGCAAACTGGTAGCGTGTGCGATGAACGCTTCACACGATTGTTTCAATTGCTTGTCGATCTCTTTTCTTGAGTCCACCAGATATTCTTTGACCTTGGGGGTGCCTTCGAGTAGGAATTCTAGCAGGGCGTTGTTGGAACCGAAGGTGAATATGTTGTTGCGGTGGTGTATGAGCTCCATAGCGGCTTTTTGTACGGTGCTGAAGTCCAGAGCGAGTTCCTTTACTGAAAATCAATTTATAAGATCATAGAAGATTTGCCAAAAATATGGTATAGGTAGATTACGGCTCTTCAAATCGCGGCATTAGTCAGAATCTTAAATATTCATTTACCGAAAACGTCCTCATTTTCTACGATTTTTTAAAATAACTCTGATATCTCCAAATTCTACCGAAAAAGAAACTGGAATGGAAAATAAAGCAAAAAAATGAATTATATGAATCCGGCGTAGTTTTATGCCCCAATCCAATCATACATATGCGTACACTTCGGAAGTCGGGACTACGGCGGATGTTGATTCGGGGTGCCTGTAATTATAATACATAAGCACATCCCTTACTCCACTTTTCCTCTATTGGTTTTTGTACGTACGACAAGTACACAGTCGTAGATCACCGTCATTACCCCATAACCGGACAAGCAATAAGGAAAATAAAGCTCGTCTGTTTCAATTGAATATTAAATTGAAATGCCAGGTGGTGAGGCTTCAAGTTCAGACGTAAACTATTCATAATTTTATAAAGAAGTACGAGAAAATGAGTTTCCAGGATGGTTCAAATAAGTTTCAAGAGCGATTAGTATGCTCATTGTACAAGTTATAAAAAAGAAGTTGATATTTTTTCAGGAAAAGATGCCCTGGAAATACCTGTGTCGTGTGTGCACTTGCAATACAAAAATCTACTTTTTTTCAGAGACGGCGCTGCGTGAAGCAAATACCCTTGGTCCACTGCAGATCTTGTGACGGTCCTAATTTTTTTCTCCTACAGATTTTGTCCTTGAATCTACCAAATTTCAATGACACTATCTACCGATTTCGTCTTTTTCGGTTCCGCAACACTGGATATTATGCTGCACAGTTCAATCTCGCGACATCGAAAATTGTACGAGACCTCTTGGAAATATCGCAACAACGACGCTCCCCTGAGGAACGTTCAAAAGTTGTCACCACAAGCCATCATTGGATTTCTATGTAAGCCTATACGTCAATAATGACTGACGTCCTGGCTACACGGTCAAGAAATATCAATTTTTTTCATTTCATTTGGTATTTGATCTTCTCCTGGTGACTTTATATTTTTTAATTTATTTATTCCTTGTTTCACATCTTCTTGGGAGATTTCGGTCTTTTCAACAGTTATTATATTTGGCGTTTCTGGTAAAGATTCTTCGTTTTCTTTTTTAAACTTTTCTGTCAGGAAGGCCACCCATGTATCCTCTTTTATGTGTTCTATTTCAACTAGTTCTGTCATTTCGCTTCTTTGTTGTCTTATGAAGCGCCATACTTGTTTCTGTTGTCTGTAGAAATCCATCTCTAGTCCTTTTGCGAATCTTTCCCAGTAATCTGTTTTTGTTTTTATTACCATTTGATGAGTTTCAGTTCTTATTCTTTTATATTCTTCATATGATTCATTGGTTTTATCTGACTTATATTTTAGGAAAGATTTTTTTTGGTGACATTTTTGTTTAACCTCTAGTGTAAAAACCATGGTGTTTTCGTTGACCACTTTTTATTTTTGTTTATTTTTTTCGTTCCAAGGGCTTCTAGGGCAGCATCCAAAATATTTTTCTTAAGCTTTCTCCAGCTAGTTTCTACATTGCTTTCATTTTCGATATTTTATATTTTTATCTTCTGTTCTAGCTTTTTTTGATATAATGATAAAATATTAAATTCAATGATAGATACTGACGAATCACAGTCATGCGAAACTGTTTGAATAATCAAAGATACAACTGTAATTCGCGACAGAAAATTGTAGCATTTTCACAAACGAAAAGAAAACAGATTACGAAAAAACTGGATCTCAGAACGCAATACGGAGATCCACGTTTCAGTAGCTAAATTGCATTGCACTTTCATACCTGTAAAATCGACTTGGAACGGTGCAATTTGCTCCCTGACAATGAGCAAATGTTTGATTTGAAACAGATGGGCATCGACAGGCGTCCTTCTAGCTCGAATCAGTTCAGCTGCGCTTTTTATGGTCCTGATGCAGATTACTAGAGCCTCTTGCGCTAAGCCTTGGAAAGTATTACGATCCAGGCAGAAGTACAGTCGTGACAAACAGACCAATGTTCTTTTAACTGTTGGGTACCACATGCCATGTAGGTCAGCTGGAGAGTTACCTGTAAACAATTTACATACAGTTTGATATAAAAAATATTAGACAACAAGCACCATACGAAATGTAAATTGCAGCATATCTTCTTGGTGATACTCGTCTTGTTGTGTGTAATTTGGTAGAAAATGGAATCTGTTAAGTAATTCCGTTAAATCAACAACACCAAACTAGTGTTGCCATTTACATTTCTTATGATACACGAGTTTACGACAATATACATGACAATAAGTTTTATATAGCATTTATAGGATAATACAGATCGTTATGAAAGCAGACTTCTTAGAAACAGCTGCGTTTATATAAGCTGTGTGCGCTATAAGAGAGGCGCCATTTACTTGTTACTTATAAATATGGTTCGTAGTCATCGCCATTGGATTGAAAACCATGTTTGAGGTTCAGTCTTCTTCTGTGCTCACTTTGACGTTTCTGCAAACATCATTTGTACGAGATAAGCAAACCTACGTAGCGTGGACTGAAAATATCTACAAAAAAATGGCGTCAAGTAGGTTGACTCTGCACTTCCCACGCAACGCCGTCATCAGTTCATAAAGGATTATGTTCAGCATAGAGAAAACATTGGAAATTATTCGCGATTACAATCGCCAGTAGGTTTGAGAAATAAATCGATCTGAATACACTTGCTAAGCATCAGCAGATTCTTGAGGACACTGCCCATATTAATGTCACCTTGTGCATTTCAGTATTGCTATAGGAATCTACCATTTTCGATTTTTTCAAATCCCATCGATATGTTAATAGCTTGGTGTAGCGCCTAATTCAAGTACTGGGCCGTATTTGGTGTCACAGACTTTTTTGGAACTGAATATCCCAGTTATCTTTGGTGTATGTATTTCTAGGAAATATTGCTTATTTTACAAGAGCCATGCAACATATGTATAAAGGAAATTCCCAACTTCGACAACACCTTAGGAAATAAATTACTTTTTAAAACGTTTGACACCTGTGGTTCAGAAAGGCATATTCTTACCAGTATAAGAGTAAAAATGTGCCATCTGTGCTGCATTGATTTGGGCGACCTCTTGTGACTCCAAAGAAGCTACAGAACTCCTGGAATCTGATCTTCTATCTTTCAACTCAAGAGCTATATTCTCCATCTGCTCTAACTTTTCAGGATATGCCAAATCCCCAGGTGAGGGCTTGTATCCCAGCAGATCATGTTGGAAAAACACATTTGCTCTGAAAACGTTAAGTAATAGTAAATTTTTCCTTGAAATCCTGTAAATTCACATACCTGAACACTAGTCTCTCTTCCACATCCTGTAAAAGTTGCCTTATAACTTGAACATACTTTTCCAATTGCTCACTTTCAACGATTCTGTCATTCAACATCTCACCTTTTAAGATCCCACAGAGCTCACTCAACACTTCAATGTGATTGATGGTTATAAGATCAGGCCTCAGTGAATCATATAGATGTTGACAAAGGGATCCTAAATAATTGCTCAACTGATCAGATACCTTGCTGAAAAAGTAACCAAAGCATGCTGCCTCATCTTGACATACTTTCATTGTGAATAAGCAACATGATCTGAACAATGTACTGTGATCGGTTTTGTGTTTTTCTTTCAGCTCGTTCAGTGCTTTGGACATTGCTGCATTCAGCATTGGAGAACGTTGTGTGAAGTAACTTTTCTGACAATCACTTATAAATGACTTATATTGACTGTTATTATCTTCTCTTTCTTCTATATGGCTTAGAAGAAATTTTATTTTGATAGATATACTTTGGAATTTTCCATAATATAAAGCAAATGCAGAATCTACAGAGACATCAGCGTTACTTGAAGCTTGAGGCAAAATTTGATCTGGATCAACAACTTGTTTTGTTGTCTCTATCAGTAAGGTGTTAACATAATCATATATCTTGTTCAAAAGGTTACTGAGTAAACTTTCATACTTCATCTTGTAGATCCTTGATTCTTTGTAATGTAAGTGATCATTCAAATACCTTATACTTTCATCAATTTTGTCCAAAATTTGTAAACTCTCTTCATTATTAACTTTATTGTTTAACCTGTCTATCTTCTCTTGGCATTTGTTGAAATTTGTAAAATACTGTAATTTCTCATGCAAACTATTCCTTTTTTCTTTAAGGATTTTCTGATGACACATTAGTTGCTCACTCAAGTCATGCAGATAGTTTGTTTTTTCAGTGACATTTGTATAGTTCATTTTCAGTTCATTCAATGAATTTAACGCAGCATCAGAATGTGAAAATAATAACTCAGTATTTTCCTTATGCTGAGCGAGTATTTGATGGTACTTTTCATGTTGCTTCAAGTTTTCATACTTAATATCTTTCTCAACTGAGATCATCCACTGAATATAGTCTTGCATGGTATAGATTTTTTCAGGAGCTGTAGGCTCAGGCTCTGTTTCAGCTTTCTGTTGAGCTTCTTCTTCATCTGGTTTATAATACAAGGTCGATACCAAGTCCCCAAGTTCATAAACTGCCTCCATTTGATCTTTAGACAAAGGGGCCAGTGGGTCTTCTGAATCTTGCCATTTTGCTAGGTTTTCTAGAATTTTATGTTCTTTTGTGTCTTGCTGTAAATTTTTCGCACCGTATCGACTCATAACAAGTACGTATGATATGCCAAGCAATATAAACTCCAAATATGTTCAAATGAAGATGTTTGTTGTCTGACAGCTTGGCATGTAAACATAACCTAAAAATGATCGATTGACTTCAAGTACTATTTGCATACCCTCTGTAACATAGAATAAAGCGAAGCGGATCAGAGTAGGCAACCAGTCTTACAAGAACGAAGACAGCCGTCTCCAGCATTGAGATTGAACGTTTGAATGATTTTGAATATTTAAAAATTCGAAATGTGTTGAATTGGGCTTTCAAGCGCCACAGCCTCTTCGATATAATGATTGACGAAATCTATACAATTTGCCGTTTATTTCTGTGGAGTTTGCGGAAACGCCCATGTGCGGAGTCAGAGAGAGTTTGCAGTTTGAGTAGCGGCATAGGGAAGGTAAACTGCACAATGTATGTAAAGAGAAGCGTGACGAAGGGTAGCAATTTTTTTCTTTATGCCTGGCAGTGAGACTTATGGGGCAACGCTCCCCTTAACTTTGTATATCCAAGCTCCCAGGCTCCCACGCCATTCTTTGCACGAGAAGACTCAGGTAGAATTCTTTAACCAATGGAAGAATCGAAAGGCTTTGTAGCTTTGGAAAACCGTCCAGAAGCGAGGAATTCTTTATGAATAAAAATGAGGAAAATAAAACCGCAGCAACTTTTTGTAGGCAATCACTCTTTTGGCCGCCCTTTATCGGCCATTATTTCTCATTATTACAGAAAAATGTTGCATTTTACTTTCCTTACTTCCAGTGAATATGGCTTAGTCTTTGGTACAGACCTTCTTAGCTGTGTAACAGTGATTCATTTTACCGTTGACGTCATATAAGTGACGTCACAGCTGAGTAATGATAATGAGCATTTTTGACCAGTGAAAGGACATGTGGGGCGAGAGGAGTGACATGGACTTGTCAAGCCACACGCTGATAGGGCAGTCCCTGTCAAAACAAAATAGGGAGGGGGAGTTTAGACGCGTCGGTCAGTCGCAGTGAGAGTTGCTTGTGTCTCTGTAGCAGAGCAGATGTTTTTAACCGTTTGTCGATTCTCGTCGTCGTGAGTCGGATTTGAGTGTGCGACTGTGCGTTGCCAATGGATGCAATTTTTTATTATTTATTGGAAAACGAGAGAGTGGTTTGTCAGAAATAGAACGCTGCGAAGAGAGTGCTTGATTTGAAAGTCGTTTCTGTGTGTGTTTCGATAAAACTGGTAAGTAGTTCCATTCACATTTTATGTAAATTTGCAATTTACATTATTCTAACCTACATTTTATTTGTTGTTTTAAAGTTCACGATCAAATTTTCAAGGTAATGTTGGAATTATACTTATAAATATTGAAATCTTATTATACGCTCTTTCTAATGTAATCAAGTTTTTGTGCGTTGAAAGCTGAAATATTTTGAGACATCAAACACACCCCAATCCATGGACCATTGATACCTTGATTGCTCCTTGGTTTTCGATTATTTTTGTCGTTTGTCCTTTAATTTTTTCCACAGTTTTCAGATATTCTTACAGTATTATAAGTGATATATTTAAACCTGTATGGTTAAAAAGAATAGTGTTAATGCATTTGTACTAAAATTATTTGATAGCGCACTAAAGACGAAACACACCCCATTTGCGATAATCACGACACTTTCATTGCTCATTTGTTTTTCAATTATTATCTGTTGTTGTTAAATTTACTCTCTCTTGTTTCTTCGATTTTATTATTGTATAAATTGGAAGTGATATGTTATTTATCTGTATGATTGAAATACCTAAGCCTATTATTATCATGTTTTTTTTGTATGGTAAACATTATAGATACCTACATAATCAGAAGTATCTGATATTTAGATATTAGTCCATAAAAAAATGGATATGGCACTCTAATAACCTTCATTATAGTTGTTATAGTGACTAAATCCTGGAAAATATCAATAGGAGTGCCAGCTTGTACCAGTTTAGTTATTTTATTACACATGCTATGCAAAAATTTTGCCTCGCATATCCTATCTCTGTAGGTATATCAATATCAAAACGAATTAGAGCAGGTCCAGAGCTTGTTGCCCAAGAGATATTGGAAATTATACTGAAAATTCTTTATTAAAACTGACACATACATGTTGGGTGTCAATAAAGTACATGGGAAACTTCAAGGGTGATTGCAAGACGAAAAGCTATAAATATAGGCCCGATAATCCATTGGCATATACAAATACTTTTTGTCGTCAATCTATTCGCGACCAATAAGTAGATACCTGCCTTTCTCAAAATTATGGTATTGATATCTGAATTAGTACCATAAAATAGTAAAAAAACCTACGAGAATATAAAATCAGCCCACACGTCATTTTCTATTAGCTAATCCACCAATTAAGTTAAATCGGATATTATACTTGTTTGTTATATATCCCAATTAATATATTCAACACTAAACGTTATCGCTATATATAGCATATGCCTCATGCTAAAAATAAATGTTTATCATATCTTTCCTTCCACTTTATCGTCACGTAAATTGTAAATTGCATATAGCGATCGCGACTATAAAAAAATAACGCAATCAAGTACGACCAAAAGTGCGACGTATTCCATTTTTGTCTTGGGCGTGATGTCATGGTTCACGGTGCACTGATTCAGGCAATTATCTGTCTTTTTTTAAATCATTATCCCATGAAAGTCATGTAGGCAGGATGAATGGTAGTGTTCCAGTTAGTTGAGATGTTCTTCAATGTTGAATACAGCTGTCCATGGAGCTATACTAAGTGACATATAAATCCGAACACCCACTTTAAATGGTTTTATTTTAATAAAATTTTGTATAAGTACTTAATGAAGCATAATAAGTAAATGATAAAAATTTCAAAATGATTGCACTGCTTTAAAGCCCTTTGAGCTTTAATAATGTGTGGATGCAGCCTGATGTGCTACGCATTCTCCAACGCGCCTAGGCATGCTTCTGATCAGGTGGTCAATGTCCTCCTGTGGTATCTCATTCCAGGCAACCACCAACTCCTCTCGAAGTGCTTCTAGAGCCTGAGGAGGACGTTGCAAATTGAGCAATCTCCTACCCATCATATCCCACACGTGCTCAATTGGGGATAAGTCGGGAGATCTTGGTGGCCATGGTAACAATGTGACATCATTATGTTGAAAGAAGTCGATTGTGACTCTTGCAACATGTGGTCGGGCATTATCTTGTTGGAAAGTTGGATCTGCCAGGGTGTCAATATAGGGTAAAAGATGGGGTTCTAGAACTTCGTGGATATAACGCTGCGCGTTCATGTTACCTCTGATGAAGATTAAAGGTGACCTGGAACCATAAGCTATAGCACCCCAAACCATAACTCCAACAGTGTGATGTCTTTCATCAAAAAACTGTGGATTCCTCCTTTCACCACATCGCCTTCTAACCCTGGCACGACCATCGTGCATGCCTAAACAAAATCGAGACTCGTCACTAAAGATAATACTGTTCCATTCCTGATCCCAGAGTGACCGTTGTCTGCACCACTCAAGGCGATTACGTCGGTGTTCTCGAGTTAAAGGGAGGACCCAGTGTGGCCTATATGAAAACAAGCCAAAACTTCTCATTCGTCGGTAAACACTTCGCATGCCAATAGGTCTTCCGTGTTCTGCAAACCATTCATTTGCAATGGACCTAGTAGTGAAGAAACGGTCCCTTAAGGCCAATAATCTGAGGCGGCGATCTTCACGGTCTGTTGTTCTACGGCGGCGTCCAGTGCCCCTTGCTCTTTGCGTACGGCCTTCTCGAAGCCATGCCTGACAACACCTAACCACAGTGTCTACACTTCTTTGCACTCTAACTGCAATTGCCCGAAAAGAAAGTCCAGCTTCCCGAAGTCCCACTATACGGCCCCTATCAAACTCACTAAGTTGACGAAATCGTACAGGTCTCCGTACTCTTGGCATCGTAACCGATCGTAAAGGATGTCAAGAACCAAAATCCGCCAACGTTGATTCTTTACTGCGGCTGAAATATTCATTTTTAGAGCGTTAGTGAATTAAAAAAAACAGTATAAAAACCGGAATGTCCAACTGATAAGGCTGAAATTTTTTTCACTTGTTATTTCAAATGACCCCGGAAAATCATTTCCCATTTTTTCGGCATTCAACTATTCACACGTGGAAAACCGAAAATTTGGTTGTAAAAATGTGTTATTCAGATGAGTTCAGACATAAAAGTTATTTGGTTTTACGTACATTTAGAGGGATTTCTTCTTGTTGAAGATTCGCCTTTCAATGTTAAGGGTAAAAAGAAAGGAACAATTAAATTGTCACCAACAATACCCATCCACGCATTTAAACAAAATTGTTCCTGGTGGCGACATTTTACGTCAGCATGAGGATTTTTGTCAGTCCATACATAAGTGTTATAGTCATTAACAAAATCCATCGCGCCGAAATCGTGCTTCGGCCGTAAAAAGTATGTTTTATTAAAATTCCTATTATTTTTAACCTTTTGATAATACCATTGGCAAAACTGTAAACGAGGTAATAATGCTTGCACACGTTGGACCTGATAGGGATATAAAAGCTTCTCGGAGGGAACCTGCCACACAGTGCTGCTCTTCAAGAAGAACTTCCATGCAGACATGATTTTTTGTTTTCCAAGGTACTTGTGATTTTTTTGTAGCAAAAATTAATGAACCAATTTTGTCCAGTGACATACAATAAAACGGTTTTTATTTTGTTCTCGAAACCGAGGTGAGATAAAAAATGCAAGAGGCAAAGAAGTATTTTTAGATGCTTAATCAAACAACGAATATTAATGTTACAAAAAAGGCGGTGGCGTACATTTTTTCCCAATAATATTCGCTAAGGTGCCCCCTGGACGCCACTGGACCTAATAATTATAATATATTTAGAGCTAAGTTAGTCTCTTAAGACAACAAATAATATTGAAAAATTTCAACAGAATCTAGTAAATATTTTTTTAAGATATCAATGAAAAAATTATAATTTATAACCCTGTACCTTGAAAACTTGAAATATATTATCAGAATGTGAGAGGTCTCAGGACTAAAACTGTTACACTTACAACTGTTACACTTCTTAATGCTTCCTATTCTTGTGCGTATGATATCATTGCACTATCTGAAACTTGGGCTAATGCCTCTATACGTGACTCTGAACTAGTAGGAGAAAACTACACCTTGTTCAGATCAGACAGGAATTATGATGCACTGGGCGTTAACAGAGGCGGAGGTGTACTAGTAGCAGTTCATAATTCATTCAAAGTCAGTAAAATCGACTTGATACGCAGTGTATCATCTGTCGATATTGTTACTATTAATATTGACAGATTGGGGCGTACCGCTATTATCATACTCGTATATATTCCTCCAAATCTGTCTGCAGACATAAGGAGCCAGTGCATAGGCCGCTTAAGCGGGCCCTTATGCACCTCTACAATACTTAGATCACAAGCCTTTTAGCGAAGTTGAGAATCGCCTTGAGTCCAAGCTCCTTGACGTCCTGAGGGTCCAAAGTAATGGACCCCAGTATAGTCTGCCTATAGTAGCTCAGAGCTTCACAGCGACACAAAATGTGCGCTGAGGTCTCTTCCTCTACCCCGCAGCGTTCACACAAGGGATCCTCAGCCACCCCCATCACGTGCAGGTGACGCCTTGACGTGTTATGGCCAGACAACAGTCCCACCAGCAACCTTAGGTTGGCTCTATCCAGAGATAGGCAGAAGCGTCCATCCTTAACACTGGGACCTTCAATGAGTTCCCGTGCCTGGCGGAGATGTCTGGAGATACTTCTCCATTTCTGCGAGTGTTGTCTTGCAACCCACGTCTCCATTTTCCTCCTAGCTTTATGTGCGGACACTCCTAGAGCTGGCTCAGGACCAACGAGCTTGCTGGCTGATCCTGTCTTCGCCAGAGTGTCCGCCGTCTCATTGCCCCTTATCCCAGCGTGCCCCGGTACCCGTATTAACGATACCGGATGCCTCGCTGCGAGGCAATCCAGAGCCTCCCTGCATTGCAATACAAGACTCGAAGTAATCTTACATGCACTTAGTGCTTTCATTGCAGCCTGGCTGTCGGATAAGATTGTTATTCTTCTCCTAGGCCCACCTTCCTCTAGAATGTGAGATACACAAGCCAGAATCGCTAAGATTTCCGCCTGGAAAATAGTGGTGTATCCACCGAGAGGCAGAGATAGCCTAGTTCTAGGCCCAGAGACCCCAGCAC